GTGAGATTTGACCCCCTGTGCTAGGTTTCACCGCCTTACATAAGAGTTTCTGCCTGCCTTATTGTGTTCCTCTTTCCATAGCCAGAAGTCAGGGTTGTGACCCCTGGGTTCCAAGCTTTAGTTTAAGAAGGAGTGGCCACAGGAAGCTAAAGAATTTAATAAAGCCCAACTAGGGCACTGTTGGTCATTGTATCTTTTATGATGAAAGAGATACAGGAAATTTATATAGCAAGAGATCTTATGTTACAGAGGCAAGCTGCCAGGCTTTCTAGTTCAGCTCCACAGGCCAGCAAGGAATGCCATTCACACACTCCCCTCATTAATCATGGTCAGATGAACCAGGCCTGAGTGACCACTGAGTGACCACTGGGCAGTACTAAGGGTGTTAGATTACTCACCATTACCTGGATGTTGTGTCACTACGAATTCTTCCTGATAAAAAGGCTTTAGATCTCAACTGGACTGATATGTAGTGTATCTCTGTCGGATTTTGTCCCGGCTATGGATTTCTGAGCATAAACGATTAATACGACAATGCATGGTCATTCTGTGTACAACAAAAACCAATAAAATGTTAATGAGGTTGAGTTAGATGTAAGTAAATTTGAATATTCCTATGGGTATGCTTTATATATGGTATTGTTAAAAAGAATTAAAAAACACCAGGCTAAAAATGAGGAAGAAATGCCATTTAATTGGTAGTCATATTAACTGTTTATTAAAATCTGTTATAGGTTTAATTAACAGAATGGCTATATACCTAAAAATGTAAGATGAATATCATTTTAAAATGTAGCGACATGTCACCATATTTATAGAAATTAGATTTAACTGGGAGTTAATATTAAGTGGTAAGAGGGAAATATTACAAGTGATGATAAGTACAGTGTAGATACTAGCAGTAAGAATATACACAGTTAAAAAGTTACGATATGTTTGGTTTCTATCTATGAATTAAAAGTAGGTCAAAATGTCAATTTATGATCGAATAATAATAATAAGAAACTTCATGACACAATTTACAAGAATTGGTAGAGGTTCTTGTTTACTGCAGTGTCCAATTTCATAAAAACAATGTCAGGAATAGGTCAGTGTTGATCGTCAGTATCAGAAATAATGGTCATATAGAGGCTATGTCAGCTGTATACACTGTAGAAAGCATGACTACTTCAGTCCTAAAAGCACTGATGACCAGATTAAATCTAATTACATTTTATTTGGTTATGACCACCATCAACACTGACTGACTGACCATGACATTAGATAGCACTGTTGACCACCCGGACATCTGACCATCATAATACATTAGTTTGTCCACTGATTTATGTAGACTGACCGACATCAAAGGCTGGTCAGACAATGATGGTCCGAAATTCAATCCCAGTTTAACAGAGGGTCTATTGTTATAACAATCAATATGCTGGACTTTGTCCATTTCTGTTGGTCTGACTGACCTGTGGAAAAACAAGGTCATCAGATTCGGACATTTCATTATCCAGTAAAATAGATGTACTTTGAATGGTCAATAATCAGGACTGAAGCAGGTTTACTCAGGTACTTTTTAGGATATAGGGTTCCTAAGGAATATAGACTAGTTGTTTGTACTGACAGTAACAGTGGCTGTTTACAGTACTCCACTAGGAAAACAGGGTCAGAAAATCTATACCAGGAACTAACAGGTCCTGAATATACCAAGGTACATCAGGGCTGGTGGTTCTAAGACAATGAAAAATAATACAAATAGATATATCAGATACTGGACCACAAGTATTAGTATATAACCCCACTGTCTGGTATTGTAATTAACTGAATATATATGTTATTGTATTTACAGGTAGCACAATATTTACTCAGAATTTAAGAAATATTTTAATTGATATTGCTGTATTCATCAAGTAATAAGCCCATGCCTGTTAATATGTATTGTTATTTAGTAAAAATACTATTTTATTGCCTGTAATAAGTCCATCCTCTGATTTTAAGTAAGAAGTAATGTATTTGTCACCTGACCATCTCGCAGGATAAATAAGGGAAAATATCTGAATGGTCAACATTTCATCAGGTTTCACATAGGGTTATAGCCATATTAATTTGTGAATATGTTGTCTGTGATCATAAAAGGTTTCCCATATCTCCAGAGCCTGTGTGGTCAGTATGTGTAAAGGTCTCCCATATCTCCAGAGCCTGTGTGGTCAGTGTATGTAAAGTCTCCCATATCTCCAGAGCCTGTGTGGTCAGTGAATATTAAGGTGTCCGATATCTCCAGAGCCTGTGTGGTCAGTGTGTGACAAGGGCTTGTGTAGTTGGTGAATTATTTTATGCAACAGAGTCCGCTGGGAATATTTTAACACATGCAGAGACCCTGTAGTGAGCTTAGAGCCATTATCTAAGTCATAGGAGATTAGAATTTTGGATGGTCAGTAATTTCAACGGATTTCATTATTGAAAATAATTTTTTCATTTTTGAAATAAACATGCAAGCTGTATGAATCTCTGTCAGTATGTGGTTTGTAGAAGTAAACTATTTCTCAGAATTACTTGTTCTAGTAAACAAGATCATGTGCAATAGATATATAATAACTGAGGTCCAGGTCAAGGTCAAATAAAGCAAGGGAGAGAGGGGATGTTACAGACATTAAGGGCTCCATGCTGACCTGTCTGTATGATCTCTTCAGCACCAGATGTTAGATAATGTATATTTAGTTAGTGGGTAGTGATGAGATAATAATTTTGAATAATTTACACTGTGGTATCGTGATGGTGGTGGTGGTCAGTGGTGGTCAGTAGTGGATAAGGACACTGACCGACTGGTTGTTACACACCTGGTCAGTTGTTACCTGTGTGTGCATTATCTTATGTTGAATGATTTAATGGTGGGAAGGATGACATAACCTCATTCTGTTTATCTACACCATAAACACACTTGACCTCTGGGTCAGGTGTCAAGTGACCTTTACATCTTGTCTGTGTCACACATGTTCACCTACAGCTCCTTGACTGAAGAGCACATGCACTAACTGATAGAGAGTGTAAGATAGTAGTACTAATGGGCAATTGTGAAGTTTTACACCTGTAAAAGACATTGTGAAAATAACATAGGAGTTATCCTATAACTATTTTAATTTCCTCATCAAATTCTGTTTAATTTGTATCCTTTTACAACAGTATTATGAATTAATTACGCGATTGTTCACACCTAGGTGAGCTGTGATCCACTGAAGGTTCCTATACCAGTGTGATGTTAACTAAAGGCATACCTCATATGTATTATCACACAACATGAGTAAAAGATTAAAATTTTTCATACTAGTATAAAATTCTGTTTTTCACAAATATTGCCCAAGTATCTGAGTTATGTAATAAATAGATTCATACATTCATTTTCTTTTCATGTAATATTTCTGAAGCTCAACATCAACTTAAACTTGTTTCTAGTTTAGTGAAAACTCTTGTAGGATGCTCATTATGTGATAAAAGTTTGAAATCTTACAACTGTCACCAACTAAAAAAATAGTACTGTTGAAGATATTTTTTATATTAAGTTATAATTAAGATAATTGTCTGTCACCTTTGTCCCACACCAGCTGTTCTAAATCTCAATATCTTGAGAACCTTCCCACAATGGCACTGGTTTGCATAAAATAAGGAGACATTTTATAGACCTTTTCTATTTTCTTTATCAGTATATTCCTTTTAATTTTCAAATACCTTTTAAAAATTTCTAACCTGTTCTTCTATAATACCCTTGAATAGACAAGGTTTCCCTTTGTGACTGAAAAAAGAAATTTATTGTCAGAAGGACATTAACAAACACACTGTGCTGGTACCTGCATGTGTTGCATGGTACCAATACAATGTTACGACTTCATCACCTTGGAAACTTTTACTTAACTCAACATTAACTAGCATTTGTCAGGATACTTTCGACATGTCAGGTGTTTTTTTTAACATCCCTGAAATCTCCTGATACAAATGTAGATTGTAAGGCACCTTAAATGATGAAACACCGGGGTATCATGTGAAATTGTGGTGAAACAGAGCAGAGGCACGTGTAAGTGTAATATATACCACTTCAGCTAAAAGTGCTAAGAATAACTGAAACATCAGGATTCATATGTAACTGAACTAATAACAACTTAGTTAAGAGTGCTAAAAATAATTGAAACCAAGTGGAATCATGTGAAACTTATTAGTTAATAGGGTTGTGAGTAGACCTGTATAGGCAATGATTTAAAATTATCGCTGAAACGATCACGATTCTGGGCACAGGTTAAGAAGTTTAAATTGGATATTTCTCAAATCTGTAAAAGTTATATTCAAGAGACAATTCACAGGGTTTTAACATCAGAATTAGAATAATTCTGTCCAAGAGGCAATACACTGAAATTGTCTCCTCATCCTACGCTAAGATACCAAAGCCTATCACGTGCCAGTCACTTGATGGATCTGCCAACAAAAGTTTTAAACCAGTTGATTTTCTGTACCATGAAATCTTCACCAGAGAGGGGACTTAGTACTGATTAAAGAATGTTGTCAATGTTGGCATGCTTGATAATCTTACAGGTTACAAAATATTGTACAGTATTTTTAGATGAAATTCCCCGGATCTGTTAAGGCGTAAGAGTCCTGGATACAGGCTATTGACATATCAATATTAATAAATTTGATATTAGAAGTGTTTATTTGCTCTTATCGTGAAAGGGATGTAATTGTTCTTTTACAATTTCTTACTCCACTACACTTTGACGAGGCAAAAATGTTTGCTTTAGAACAAGGGGAGACAACTCCTTAAGTCCTTGAATATTTACTGGAGAAGAAGCTTATTTTAGGATATCAGATATATACCAGTGTTACAGTACAGTTGGCAGCTGTTTTATCTGTATTGTATTGTACGTTTGTTGTCCTGGTTTTAATGCTGTGGTGGTTGTACTGTTGTTATAGTTTTGTATTAATGGTGTTGTTGTAGTTTTGTACTCTTGAGATGATTTTTTTACTTTCAGACTTTCCGACTACCCCTGGGTTACAAATACAACTGCCCATCCCCCACCACCTGGACACTGGTCATCCACTCCCTCCTCACAATCCTCAATGTAGGTCTCTCTGTGGCCAGGAAACATGGTAAGTAGAGGCTGTTTATCAACCAGACTCGTCAGGATGATCATGAGTAGTGTCAACTGTCTTATGTCTACTGACTGGTGTCTACTGACTGGTGTCTACTAACTAGTGTCTACTGACTGGTGTCTACTGACTGGTGTCTACTAACTAGTGTCTACTGACTGGTGTCTACTGACTGGTGTCTATTAACTAGTGTTTACTTACTGGTGTCTGTTGACTGGTGTCAACTGAGAGATGCCTACTAACAGGTGTCTGCTAACTCTTGTCAACTGACTTGTGTCTGTTGATTGATGTCTACTTAGAAGTGTCTACTGAGTGTTTTTCAATGGGTATCTCACTTGTGTCTATTGACTGATGTCTAGTAACTAGTGTCTACCGAATAGAGTTTAATCACTAAACCTGTCTACTGACTATAACATGTTGATTGGTATCTACTGACTGGTGTCTATTGATTGATGTCTAGTAACTAGTGTCTACCGAATAGAGTTTAATCACTAAACCTGTCTACTGACTGTAACATAGAGTTTAATCACTAAACCTGTCTACTGACTGTAACATGTTGGTTGGTATCTACTGACTGGTGTCTATTGATTGATGTCTAGTAACTAGTGTCTACCGAATAGAGTTTAATCACTAAACCTGTCTACTGACTGTAACATGTTGGTTGGTATCTACTGACTGGTGTCTATTGATTGATGTCTAGTAACTAGTGTCTACCGAATAGAGTTTAATCACTAAACCTGTCTACTGACTGTAACATGTTGGTTGGTATCTACTGACTGGTGTCTATTGATTGATGTCTAGTAACTAGTGTCTACCGAATAGAGTTTAATCACTAAACCTGTCTACTGACTGTAACATGTTGGTTGGTATCTACTGACTGGTGTCTATTGATTGATGTCTAGTAACTAGTGTCTACCGAATAGAGTTTAATCACTAAACCTGTCTACTGACTGTAACATGTTGATTGGTATCTACTGACTAGTGTCTGTCAGTTTGTATCTGTTGTTTGCTGTATACAAAATTGTGTCTACTGACTAGTGTCTGTCAGTTTGTATCTGTTGTTTGCTGTATACAAAATACTGCCTACTGACTAGTGTCTGTCAGTTTGTAACTGTTGTTTGCTGTATACAAAATACTGCCTACTGACTAGTGTCTGTCAGTTTGTATCTGTTGTTTGCTGTATACAAAATACTGCCTACTGACTACTGTCTGTCAGTTTGTATCTGTTGTTTGCTGTATACAAAATAGTGTCTACTGACTACTGTCTAATAACTAATATATACTGACTTGTGCATGTTGATCGGTATCTACTGACTGGTGTCTACTGATTAAAGTCTATTGGCTAGTGTCTACCACTACCTAGTGTCTACTGAATACTGTCCACTGACTAGTGTCTACATTTTGGTGTCTACTGACCAGTGTCTACTGGCTAGAGTCCACTACAATCTGGTGTCTACTGACTAGTTTTTGCTTATGAGTTTCTACTGACTAGTGTATACTGACAAGTGTCTACTGGCTAGAGTCTACTACTATCTAGTTTCTACTGACTAGTTTCTACTGACCTGTGTTTTCAGTATTTTCTTTTTAGTCTAATGCTGACATTATAGGCTTTGGGAGAATACATACTTTATAGTATACAGTTGCCATGTATTAGCTTACAGACACTACATATCAGACACTAGTCAAAAGACTTTGTCAGTAAATTAAAGTGATCAGACACTTAACATAATACACTACTTATTAGACACTATTACACAAACATACTAAGACATATCAGATCAGCACTTCTAGTCAACTACATCAAATTAGTATAAGCTGATAATTCTGACCTTGCAGTTAAGAAAATAATTGTCTCATTTCAATCCTAACAACTAAGTGTCAAAGACAGATCAGTCACAATTCTTTCCAAATTTTTGTTTTTTAAAGGGTGAGAAAAAAACCACATCCAAACATGTACACTTTTGTAATTTTTGTGGTTGAATGTTTTTATCTGTATTGTAGAAGCAGCCTTCCAATCTATGTGGCCAGAGCTTGCACATACACTGGAGGAATTTCTGTTCTCTAAGAGGTTAGTTTTAATCTTCAATTAGCACATTTTATTGTGTGTCCTTTCTTAATGAGATTTTGTATTTTGATGCAAAATATTGGATTGTTCTAAGGGGAGTAACTCTTGTTTCAGTACTTCACCACCCACCATGTCTGTTGAAGACTTCCAGCGGGATGAAGCCATTGACTGTAAGGTAGGTCAATACAAAGTCATACAAAGTGACTAGGATTTTACTGAACTAATCAAGGTCAAGGTCAATTAAGACACAAATCTAAGTAACACTTTAAGTGTTGTCAGCTCAGCTGATTTTGTCATGTCAAGACAATATTGACCATATGACTGGCTTAAATCCTGAAAAATACTAAAATATCATGATATTTCTTAACTGTTAATCAGTGTTTGAAATTACAAACTTAAATAATGCTCAGAGAAAACAAAGAACATCATCTAAATTCAAAGCATTGATTTGATGACCCTTTCAAACACCCTGTAGTCCTTGATTTTGGAAGGTCTATGACAAGATATTAGAAGAGGTTGGAAACACTGTTTTTCATTATAATCATATCAACCTGAATAAACACAAAATTGAAATTTAAACATTCTATCTACAATATTTGTTTCAGTATGATATCCAAAACATTAATGTTATACCATGACAGGTAAACAACAATGCTGTATTTTGTGTCTTTCCAGTCGCACATCTTTAATATCATGAGCCTTGCAAAGAAATTTTGTCCTGGTTCTATGATCCTTGGTTATATAGCCTGATTTTATTGTAGGTGATTCAGATGATACGAGATGATATTCTGCCCTACGCTGGTAACATGCCTAAAGACTTTGTCAAGAGAATAATGAAGCTGCTGAATCGTGGCTCAATCCATTCTACTACCTCCGACAACTTCATCGGTCAGTCAAACATTCATCACTGTTTTCCTTTACACCTGATTCACATTATCAGTGGAACTCACTTCATTTGGTACACAGAAAGACATCCTATCATGATGTTTGACTAGTATGTGTTAGGAACAAAAATAAAAAAAATGGTCATAGTTGTAAGAATATCACAACTTCTTTTAAATAACTAAAAGGCCTACAATGACATATAGCCAATAGCTTTCTGACCTTGAGAGATGTCACAGTTTTCAGAAAATGACTTTTACCCGCATTCAAGGTCATTAGCATTGAGTGTGTTGAACAACTTCTGCTGTTCAGTCAAAAGACCCCAATAATTTCTGCTGTTTATTGTCAGCTGATGTCTTCTCTCAGTTGTAGATGATGAAGGTGCTCTTTAACTTTCAGTGTTAGCATTACTTTATTACCTTGTGTTACCTTGGTTGCTTTTAAAGTGGATGTAAACAAATTTGAGGATGTTAGAAGAGTATTTTTGTTCTGCACTTTGAATACCGTACTGAAGTTTTCATTTTGGGGACTTAAAGTGTTATTATTATATGCCATTCTGTCGAAATCTTTTTTTCTGCTTGTTTACTCTAAAATGGCTTCAGATATAGCTTTGCAATTTGGTATATGTATGCAGTTGTGTAATAATGAAATGAAGGTCAAGGTCTAATTCAGGTTTGGTTAACTTTTTTTCAGAGTTATAGTCATTTAACTGAAAGAATTTTCTTGGAAATTTTAACAAAAAGAGTCAAATTTTAACAAAAAAAGTCAGACCATTTTTGGAGAGCCTTGTCTAACTCCAATTGAATCTTGGGGGAAAAAGAAAGATGGAAATTTTATTTCGGATTCCTTATCATAGATTTTGTGGCAGAATATCATTTTCATTTTATGAGTTGAGTACATATCATAACAAAGCAAAAAACATCAAAGTTTTAAGATTCTCTGAGCTTGACAGTGATGGCATTCACGTCACTTTGACACATCAGGTTTTCATTATTATAAGGAATATAACAAGTCTGCTAGGATATGTAAAATACTGTTGTATTTGATAACATTTTTTACCACACTGTCTTAGTGAACCTTCTGTTATTTACAGATACAGACTCAAGTCGGAAACTGCGAGAGGAGTTTGCCAAGACCTGTTTTGAAACATTACTGCAGTTTTCATTTATCAGCCAAACAAAATCTGAGGAGGGAACCATCACCAAACTTGCTGTATTGTCTCTGTTGCAACGCTGTCAGGACGTTGTCAAGAAATATGTTGACGACGAGAAACTCAGTGGCAAATGTCCACTTCCTAGGTATCTTTAAATTTGTTTAAAATTACAAATGAATGCCTCATACATACCGTAAATTTTCGCGTATAGTGCGCACTTTTTCAAGCTAAAACTGTCGTGTCAAAAAGGGGGTGCGCATTATACACAGGAACATGCCATTCTTGGGGTTATCGTTCCCGAGTTCTGCGTCCGCCATATTGAATTACCTCCCTTCACATAGTTACATGTAAAAGTCGTCGGTCTTATATGATAGTTTGAAGATAAAAACAACAAAAAATGAAATAAAATAAAATAAATTTCGAATGTTTTAATCATCAGCCATTCACGCTAACACTACCTTGAATCCCGTCGTTCAAATAGTGACGGTCTTACTATTGGTCGGGGCTACAGTAGTGTCTAAATTTCTGCCTCATTTTGATGATGTATCTGGAATTCAATGAGTCCGGAAGTTTTTTGGGCGATTGTCGTTCTGTTCATAAATCGGACAGCCCATCCCACCGATCCCAAAGTTGGTGACCCCATGACCTCTCTTGATTTGCATGGCCCACACGCGCAGTAAAAATGAAGGGAAATAACTCCCACTTAGGTTCGGAATGATCAACAAAGGCCTATAGGCCTATTGTTTTTTGCATATCCTCTTTGACAATGATGAGAAATGTTTACAGATCTATGTGTTTTTGTTCCAGACCCCGTTTGGCTGAGATGGCATCAGTTTTAAAGGCCATTACGACATTATTAGTATCACTGAAAAAGGCCCCTCCTGGAAATGGTAATGTTGTACACAGGCATATTTAATTTATGATCAACACTTAACATTGGGGTCTTCGTTCTGTTTTATTGTAGGTTATGCTTAATGTTTTTGATTTGTAAGATCACCGAGATATTTAATGTAATAAACATGTAAACTTTGGTTCCTTTCAATGGTTGAAAGTTTCATAATTTTTGTTTTTTGTTAATTTTTTTGTAATTTGTGCAAATCTGAGTTAATGAGCTTTTGTAGCCAAGAAATGGACTGGTCTGTGCTGATTTGGTATATGGGCAAGACACTTTAGACTAATTGCCTCAAAATGACAAAATGGCTGTTAATGGGCCAATGAACTCGGCAAACAAATTACACCTGTAATATTAATTGTTAAGTTTATTTGTGTTACAGTGGAACTGAGTGTATGGAAGCAGGTTATACAACTCTATCCCTATCTAGTCGACTGTACCACCTCCTCCTCACCCAATGTCTGCCGTGCCCTCAAGGATGCTCTCCACCAGTACCGAGCCCTCTTGGTGCCACCCATGTCCACTGCTCTCAACGGAACATCATAGAATTAAATAGCTAGTCACCTGAGCAAGACTGACATTTTGACCAGAGCCAGACTCACCTTCATTGGATTGGCCTTGAGGAATCAAGGTCACCAGTACTGGATTGTGTCTTCAAAACAGGAGTCAAGGTCGCTGAGATTGGCCATGATCCGGGTCACATATATTGTACTATCCTTAGTACTATCCTTAGTGAAAGAGCCAAGGTTATCTATACAGGGGTCAGTGGAAAGGAACAGGAGTCAAAGTTAGCTAAAATGAAATGAAGGTTCTAATGATCAAATTTTAAACTGGAACCACCTAAGACAATGTGTGGCTGTGTAATACACTGTCTTACACCATGACCTCTAACTTTCAAGGTTAAAGGTCACTAGATAATATATTGTACATGTAATTTGTATGACTATTCACGAGGGTCTTTTTACTGGTTTAATATTTTTCACTGCCAGTTTGTAGACCTTATATATGAAGGTCAGAGTTCAGTCAAGGTCACATAGTGGTTGTGGGTTGTAGGATAGCTATTGATGACAAAGGTTGTTGTTGAAAGATTAAAACAAACTCGTCTAGTCTTTCATCTGCTGATTTATGTTATGTGATATATCTAGTTATGTTAACTATAATGATCGTTAATTTCTGATATACAAACTATGTGCAAGGTCAAAGTTCAACAGAATGATGAGTGTTCTGTTGCTGGGTAACTATATATTATAATCTTGGGAATGTGCAACTGTATGTGTTGGTATAGATTGGTCTCTATAGATCTATATGGGAGTTTACTGTGTAGAGAGGTCTATTTTATTCAGAGTAGTGGTGTGATGTGTAAAGGTCAATTTGTGAGTTAACTGTACATATTGTTACACACTTTTCTATTATTTGTATTGTTATTTGTATATTTCCTCGAGTAAATTGATTTGTAGAATGTGTTCTATCGTGATTGGTATACATGTAATACGAAATCTCTGGGCCCCTCACACCATGATTGGTATACATGTAATACGAAATCTTCGGGCCCCTCACACCATGATTGGTATACATGTAATACGAAATCTTCAGGCCCCTCACACCATGATTGGTATACTTGTAATACCAAATCTTCGGGCCCCTCACACCATGATTGGTATACTTGTAATACCAAATCTTTGGGCCCCTCCTAACATACTATTTCATTTACCGTATTCTTTTGATGGATCTGTTATTTGTAAAATATAACAACATGTATACCTCCAAGGTGGTTACATACAAAATGGCACTTATTTTTTTTTTAAATAAAAAGATATGAAATGATGATTATATATTCCCAATCTGTTTGGGGAATTTGAATTGAATCCAAGTTAATACATTTTACAATGGAATTGGGTATCATTTCCCAGTATCTACCCAGTAGATTCATGGTTTACCCAAATCCTCAATAGGTAGGTGTATAGGAGAACCTAGTTATCTTCTCTGGGGCATCACATAGGTGTATATTGAGTTAGATGGGGTGCCCAGTAACCCTCTCAAGGGCCTCACATTGGTGTATATTAAATCAGATAGGGTGCCCAGTAACCCTGTGAAGGGCCTCACATTGGTGTATATTAAATTAGATAGGGTTCCCAGTAACCCTCTCAAGGGCCTCACACAGTAACCTTCTCTATGGTGTCACACATGTATATAATTAATAAGAGTGGACACCCATTGACCTTTTCTAAGGTGTCACACAGGTATATATTTAATAAGAGTTGATACCCAGTAACCCTCTCTAGGGCCTCACACAGGTATATATTTAATAAGAGTTGACACCCAGTAACCCTCTCTAGGGCCTCACACAGGTATATATTTAAGAAGAGAGGATACCCAGTAACCCTCTCTAGGGCCTCACACAAGTATATTAAACAAATGGATCACTTGAAGAAGGTATATACATGGTTATATTGACAGTAGAAAGAAATACCATCCAAGGTTGATATTATTTTTCAGGTTGATATAACCATGTATTAACTGTAATTATAATGCTATAATTATCTTATCATTTTTCTTGATTTCGTTGGAGATTAGGGAGTAGGATGTGTAGGGAGATACAAAATATTGAATCACAATACATGTGATATTTATTTTGCGGAAAAAGATTAATTATCTGGACAATGATGTGGTACTCTGCGATTACAATTCATATAATAAACACTATGTTTATTTTGTTATGATACTGTAGCTTCTAATTCCTGAACACAATTTTCAAACCTCATGAGTTTGTTTGAGGTGGTAATATAAACATTAAATAGTTTTGCTGTAATATTAGTTGGTTGCTTAGAATTGGTAGAATAATATACATTCTCTAAAACATTTTTCCATATCTGTTTATGACAAACTAGGAAACCTTCCTGTCCAACTTGTGTTGGCTGCCATTTTTTATGTTACACTAACTCCGAGTTAGTGAAATGTTTGTTTCAAGTGCCTATAAACATATCTATGTATGATTTATTAGCACCCATAACACTGAGTGACCTGTAAGCAAAATAACAACATATATTAATAATAACATTGCAACATACATTTTTTATAAATATTTTCATTGATGCTGTTAATAGGTGGTCACCTGACCTGCATCCAGCCAATGAGAATCAGACAAAAATCAAGAAAAATGATAAATGAAGTTATAGTAAATACCCAGTAACCCTCTTTAGAGCTAGCTCACACAGGTATATCTTGTATATTGTATTGTAAAAAAAAAAACAGAGTCCATGACCCCTGACCCCAAGACAAGGCAACGTTTTCTCTAATTATGAGTATTTTATCCCTTTTTTTATATGAGAAAATCACATGTATTGTTGAACATATGAAACACAATTTTTTGTTTCCTTTTATATCATAACTTTTGTCATTGTTTTTGGAAAATTTTTCAAAATACAATCTTCATTTTCCAATGTTATATTTAAAAGTTTGTTCTAAATATTCATTTTTTAATTGCATACAGAAATGTGTTCTTATCACAATCTATCAGAACAGGTTAAAAAAAACAAAAAGATTTTTTTGTAATTAACAGATTGAACATGTCCAGCAATAGTAATTATAAAAGGTCAATAAGTACAGGAATTCAGCCACTGTCATCATTATGTTATTTTATATAACATGGCTTATTGTATAAATAGTTAAATAAAAGATAAGCCTACTGCTGTTATAGCGTGCATTGTGTCAAGTGAAGGTAGAACCTTTGAGCCCTTATATTTGAAAGTAGACACAAACTTTACCCTGCTAAGAAAGCATATGGCACTGTTTATAGCCATCATGGCAGGATACGGAAACTTGTCAAAACAGGATGAGGATTACTTAATACTATTATAATTTGTATAACAGGAAAAATGTTCTGAAATAACATGCATGTATATATTTATTATCAATGCATTAAAGAAATGAAATGCATGTTAATGATATTTTTAAGTTATTTGATAGCAACTGGAACTCAAATGTAACAGACAATAAATACACCTGTATTTTAAAAGTTTTATGTACATTTTTTGTATGAACTTAGTGGAATGAAAAAATACACAGAAAGAACACACAACCATACGTATTTAACTTTTATCAATGATATTGTTGAAATTTGATGTAAAACAGATCTTAACACATCTATAGAAATTATTTTGAGAAAATGACATATAGAAACTTGACTAGAGTAGATGAACATTGATGCACATGGTGTGAGGAATCACAGAAAAGTGATGTTCTGTAATTACAGGGCAGTCAGTGCTTTGGGAAGGCAGTTATATCATAAATAAACTTGTAACAAGTGTCCTGGTGTTCTTGCTTTCTTTTTTAGTCACAAAGGTAACATATCAACCAGGTAGACTTAGTGACTAAGTGATCAAATCCATTGACTTATCTTTGAGTGTCTTACAAACTCTAGTTTATAGAGACTAATTACATAACTACCCTGTTAGCAGTGTAATAAGACCTGTTGCATTAATATGTGTTATTACACATATGGAATCTGACCTAGCCTAGCTGTGATTGGCTGAAGGTTTCCAATGTGACGTCATAACTCTATAGCATCATGGGCATTGTGATGTCACCAAAGAAAGAGATACAGGGTGAGAATGTCACCAATGAAGATTTTTGTATCAGTATAATAAAAGGATAGTTTCACAAATGTTTGCAAAATATTAGAGCTATGTTATAAACAGAATCTTTTACTGTTTCCTGTTTTATATGAGATTTGCATTATGGAATTTGTTGCCAATTTTTCAGGTTCATCAATCTTTAAAGAACTGAAACTTGTGTAGGGTCCTCTATATCTCAAGCCACGTGTAGTGGAATTATGATCACTAGAAAACATTGATATGTAAACATTATTTATTTTACAACAGTTACAAAATAAACTAGCAGCTTGTATTAATCACCCTTGTTTACTCAGATGGAAGTGTGCAAGGAAACTTCCTGTGAGAGGAAACCTGAGTACCCATGTGGGGACCCCATATCTTTTCACATCCTTTCCAGGAATCAAACTTGGATGTCTAGGTGTACCACTGGGTCATCCAAGTGCCCATACAGGCAGACGTAATGAGTCACCTGCCTGACATGGTGAGGTATTTCAGGTTTCCTCTGACTTTATAACATCCTTTGCACGTTTGCATGATTGATACAATAAAACAATCATAATAAAGTAAAAAAAAAAATAGATAACAAAGCACATGTGTAGCACATATCATCAACCTCAACATAGAAATGTAGAAAACAAAAAAGGAACATATCAGTTTTGAAAACATGGATATTCCAAAAGTCATTGAGAAATATTGTCATTTATCAAATATATATCTGGTCTCTCATTACTTACAGGGACAAGACCTTTCTGATTTCTAGCATTTGATTACATTATTCAGAAGATGATTGGAACCAAATCAAATTTTAGACACTCATGTTTAACATTATTTAACTTCCTTTCAGGGAACTTGGTTGATAAAGTATTTGTTGGCGTTTAGCAAATAATGCTCCTCAAAATTCCATTATCTCTTCCCTCTACTTCCCTGACTGTAAATGAATAGTTCCTGGTTACTTTCTGTCCTGGTTTTAACCTAATGATCACAGACAACTGAACTGTGTAAATAAACTTTGCAGGAAAAAAGTTTACATTGTGATGATAAAACTTAACTTTTCAATCTAATGCAACACTGGCAAGCCAAGACAAAATACCAGCAAAAAAAAACGTACTTGGACTCTTGCAAGTTCCGAAAAGATAAATATCTCCTCCTTCATATTTTTAGCTCTAGTTAGATGAAATTTAAAACATTCTTTAAAGAAATTGTCAAATTCAAGATGGCCACCTGTCAGCCATTTTGTTTTTATAATCAGTCCCAAAATTTTGATAAATATCCATCCAGTACTTCTAAAGAAATAGTATTAACACGGATTAATCATGGACTAAGAATGGCCCATGGTGATTTGAACAACCCACATTTATGGCTGAAATACCTATTGAATAACAAAAAAAATTGTGAACATCACTAAAATTCTGAAATAATCCCACTGGATGTACAAAAGACATTAAAGAGAAATCAGATACAATAATGAATTAAATTGCGTCATACGGCTGTTCTATCTCTTACTTAGATTCGTCGGTGATGCTACAGGCTTACAGTGATGGAATCCAGGAGACGACTTAAAAGTAATGAAAATTACTATGTTAATTGTTTAAATATAGATCGGAAGAAAGGCTTGATTCAATTTATTTTGTAGTGTAAGGAATCAATTAGTGCTACCAGAGACGTATATATCACATGTGATATATACGTCTCTGGTGCTGCCTTCTACATATAATTCAATTGGATATAAACATCATGCATCAGTGGGTTATTGGTTATTTTGACACCAAATGAATAACAACATTAAAAAAACGTGATTCAAACTCAGAACAAAAAAAAAGAATATTCGAAATATGAAAGAAAGAAGTATTCACGAGGATGCAGGGAAAATAAGACTTCGCGTTGCGAAAGGGTAAGTGTCCACAGTTCAGTAGCGGATCTAGTGGGGATATGTGTTCCCTTTAATAGCAATTTTATAGTTGCGAAAGGGTAAGTGTCCACAGTTCAGTAGCGGATCTAGTGGGGATATGTGTTCCCTTTAATAGCAATTTTATAGGGTCGACAAAAAAATGTCGGCCCATCCAATATCCTGGAATCTCCACTGACGTCTTCTGGGCTTCATTCAGGACACCTGTCATGAAAATTTTGGTTAGTTCTAGTGAGTACTACCTACGTTAAGGTATAGATATAGTGTAAGTTTTGGTGATTACTAAAAAGCGAAATTGCACACCCTAAAGCCTCGGCCCTACCAGCTCCCCCTTAGTGTCCTAATAACCGGAACAAGGACGTTCAAAAGCAAGTGACATTAACTACAAGAACTTGGCACAAGTGACATTCTGATGTACAAACAGACAGACAAACAGACGGACGGGCAAACAGACAGACAGATTCACATGGGTCCCAGAATGGGATGATATCGTTATCGAACAAGTTCAGACATAACATTCCAGTTGGGGTTGACATACCATTACAAACCTGTACAAACGATTGTATAGATATTCACAAAACTTCTACATCGAAAATCTAAACAAGTAGCCTTCAACACGTGTTAGTCTTGGTATTTGCACTATTGAATCAGTCGGGTTCCCATGTTCACTCCCCGGGGTGAACACTTACACATATATTCAATTGTATTTAAAGACTGAAATCAGAATTGTTTGTATGAAAATAAATCTGCAAGTATCAGTGACACCAGATCAGAAATTAACCGCATAGACGCCATCCTGCCTTGCCCTATCTGGACCACGTGTACGAGAATTAGTAAATTGCCGAAGACAACTATCACACAGAGTATGATCTATGTATGCTTAATTTCTTACAACACGTGTGGTACCTGTCATGTATCTTGTCCAACCTAATCAATTTCACTGAACTTTCTACGACACATGGTACCTGACGTATCAATGCGGGGGTGTACTTGGTGATGGGGCACCTGTAAAATATATTCTACTCCAATAGATGACATTTCATTTTTACTTACGCTCTGGGATTAAGTTATCTGTGAATAGAACAAATCTGTCATGGAAACTCTTAATTACTAGAATGACACTTCTAATTCCACAAATAATGAACTGCGGCATTTAAACTTAATCGTTTTAACATTTAGTTATATTGCCTCTTAAAGTCATATTTTTTTGTTTAACATAATGCAGTTAATTCAACTTAAATGTTTTTTTTTCTCACTTACGTGAATTAAAACAAAACTCCAATTAATTTTTCCTTCCCGTGTTAAAAAGAAGTTCACTTCAGTGAAAAAATAGCTTAATCGCTTTCTCCTTAAATTGACACAAAAGTGTAACTTTTTGATACGATATAAATTGGATTATATTAAAAATATCACTAATGAATTCAATGTTTTGTGTTTTACTGAAACATAATGAGATCATTATGTTTCCTCATTTGAATCGTGTGTACCAGGTTTTATGAAACCCTTTAGAAAGATAGAATTTTTTGGGGAGAGGAATATTACTTTATCACTCTGTCTCCTTGAAATTTGAATTTTTGGATGGAGAAATTATTTGGATACAAGTCGAAATAGTTCATCATATTATGTTATTGTGTATTCTATACAGACCAGAAAGTTCATGTCACCCATTCTGGGAAAATTTGAAATATTCAGTTTAGAAAGCTTTAGAAATCACATCTTATGTGATAATTGTCGGAGGGAGATATCAATGTATATCTGTTAACTTTAAACCATAACCTTATCTTACATCAAATCATGTTGGAAATGGATTTAACCAATGTCACTGACAAACAAGACATAGTTTACTAGTTCAATTTTACTAAGTGATATTTCTAAATGCACTGATTCACATGTTATTATGACAGACCGTAATATATGTGACCATGATACATGTTTAGCAGTTTTGTCTATCGCTTGCCTTTTCACTTCAAGTTTGGTCATATAAACATGCTGATTTTAACTAGTTAAAATTTTGATAGACAAATTAAACTGGATTGCATTTTTGCAAAATTTTGATTATGTTACCGCCGTTCAATTTACCGAGCATTTCATATCTCTTGCTTTAAAATGTATTAAAAAACACAAAAATGGCAGTTGATATAAGACCAAATGATAAACTTGTGATGTATCCTTAAAAATCCTGTATCGGTAATTTAAGTACACAGTATATCTATAATTACTCTCCTGATAACTTCTTATTTTATTAGAAACAATGTGATTTTGTGTTACATAAATCAATTGAGATATACCATTGTGTATGCTGTTCTCTTAAAAACACACACATACCATCTTATTTTTCGTGATGTGTCTAAAGCTTTGACCCTGTATGGGATCTAATAAGAAGCATATGGTATCAGATGTAAATTTTAATTTGGATGAAAAGTTAGATATCAGGACGACAACAGCAAGCACTAGTCACTAATGTGTATTCTGATCCAGGCTTTACAAATGCAGGTGTACCGCAAGGAAGTGTGTTGGACCCACTTCTGGTTTTAATATAAATTAATGATGACAACATGAACAGTATTTTACGTTTATTTGTCGATGATACTTCTTTGGTGTGTTCATCATCATCTTGTGTAGATATTAAAAAAATCTTTAGCCGTGCAGAAACTTAATAAATGGTCCCAAGACTGGCTCACTAAATTTAATCCACAAAAAAAAAGAAAATAAAACAAAATACTATTCACAACAAAATCCCAAAGATGTACCACTTATGTAACTTTCTTCTGGGTGCAAAATGATCTCAATAAATTACAGCAAATAAAAAAAAAACAAAAAAAAAAAAAAAAACAAACAAACAAAAACGTGTATGGAAAATGTCGGTATTATGACAATTCAATTTTTTGTTGAGTAGAAAACCATTATTGAAGATATACAAAGTATTTGAGTTTCCTGTGTTAGAATATACGGGATGATTGTTCTCTGACAAGCTTGAACAAGTACAATTTGAAACAGCTAGAATTATTACCGGTATGCCTTCTTTCTCAGGTAAACAATCCTAATATAAAGAACCCCAACTCCAACCATTATCAGAAAGAAGGAAACTTTTAAAAGTTTCATTTATATATAAACTTCATCATAATCTGTGTCCTTCCTATTTACACAGCCTTCTTCCTAGAACGTAATCTGTACAAGATTAGAATCAATTAAAGCTATTCTGTTCCTTATTTTCGATTGTCCAATACTTCGAAATCTTTCATTCCATCTTCTGTTAGGCTGTGGAATAGTTTGCCAATCAGTGTCAGAGAGAAGCCGTCCATCTAATGTTTTAAATGTAAAATTCAATACAACCCTGATTTATAACAGTCCCATGCAAGTGAAGCTGAAGTCAACTTCAAAAGTCACTGCTGCTAGAAATCAATATTTTTCGTCACATTTTGGTTTCGAATTGATAGCTTCAGAAAGGAATTTCGTATAGTGTAAGCTTATGAGGTAATACAGAGTGAGATTGAGTTTGGAGTCAAAAGGTCCACTAGGAAGGTCACTGTTGCGAGAAATAGATTTTTTACTAAAATTTTGGTTACCGTCATATTTTGGCTTCCATGTGGTAACTTTTGATAGGGTTGATCGATTATATTGAAACTTGATTCACTCTATATTATTAGAAAATATATATAGTGGGATTTAGTTAGAGGTCAAAAGGTCAGCTGTGAGTGCTGTGAAGGTCACTTACTACAATAGACATTTATCACCATTCATAGGGACCGGCTTCAAAGGTGCGGGAAGCAAAGTTGTCAGACTAACACCAATTGACCAATGTTCAAGGCCACTATGTCAAAAGATCAATGTCAAAGTTTACATCTTTTCATGTGTATGCTGACAATGTGACTAGAATGATTAAGTTTACCTGAAAAGTCAGACACAAAGCCGGTTCCTTTCTGACGTCATTGTTTTAGCTTGTTTTCCACTTAATTGAATTAGGGTTGACAAACTTGATTAAAACTTCATATAGTATTAAGCACAAGGGAGAGCATATAAAGTTATTTTTCTGCGTTATTTTCTGCTTTTGGCATCCTTCCTGTCAAGAGGCTCGGTTCATTGCTATCAAGGTCTGTGTTGCTTAGAAAAATTAATTAACGGCAGGGGACGAGTACTACATGCAACACTGACAGCTAGCTTGCTACCTATCAATCATTATGTTGGAAATGGAAAAATTGAACGTTTTACATACAGTATTAAAAAATAACAAATCAAAGTTGATGAAAGTGTAAACTATTGTAGATATGTTAGATTTCTGTAAAATGTAATTTTTGGAAGAAGGCGTTTCTTAGTTGTGATAACTTGTGCCTAATCACATTTGTTATATTGAACAAATAAAATATGTTTAAATCAACTTTTAGATTGTATAATTTGCTTTGTCATATACAGATCGATAGAGGAGAATAAATCTCTTATTGTTAAAGACAAGACATCAGCATTATTGAAGTTGAACTTGGATGGTTCGGAAAGGACTTTTTGCCTGGTCTTGAAAACTTTTTTATAAATTCATCCTTATTTGAAAACAAAAACAAAGTCATTCAAAAGACGCATGTGTAGGATTTCTTCTCGTATGTCAGTAGAATGTTGGAGAATCATGCCAACAAACTCTACGATTATACAATATATCTTCACCAAGAAATTCGATGATATTCACGATTTCTTCGTGGCTTAGTGACGTACTTCCCATGAAATACGCTCTGGTATAATTCATAACTATTTCTATACCGCTGACCTGTCCAACTTTCATCTTTGCAGTTATTAAATACTGAACAGTGTTTAAACGTGATTTTATTTATATGTGCCAGCATGGACATTCACGTTACTGACAAATCTAACAAACAACTGCTGCTCCCCAACCCCTTGTTGTCTGACATATACACGTATTAATCGAACAATTTGTCAAAGTCGAACAAAAAACAAACCAAAATCGAAACTTGATTATTTCAAGAATAAACCTCCCTAAAAGTGAGTCCAACCAACTTTACGGCATAGCTTTCCATAGACGTGTATATTGAAATTAACGTCCCAATTTAGCTCATAAATCTTTACAGGAGGTGTAAAAGAACAAGCATGAATGCTGAAGGACTAGTTCTTAGGTAATCTATATAATTGAATAGGCTAATGTACTGATTATTTATTTTCTATTCAACTTTTTTCTTGATTGACCGCGACAAAAAAAGATAAAATAAGATAAATTTCGGATAATTAGAACAATTCGGACCTAGATGATGGGGTAATTTCTGTAATGGAAGTCAGAAACAAATTTCTGGTATGAAATATAACTGATATGTTTGACACTCGACTAATACATTATCGAGTACCTATCCTGTCAAACTTCAGATTAAACAGTCTTTTTTAATATCACATCAAGAATATTTCACCAAAAGTCACCAGGAACCATTATAGCTGCATCCATTTTACATGATGAACATCAAACAACACCGATCAAATAACGATGATAAGAACGCTAAAACATTTAGGGTTCTGGACATAGACATTGGCAACCCCGAGTCGAGATTTTCAAAAATTACATCGTATGTAAGACAAGATAAGTTTATTTCTGGTTCATAAAAAGTAAGTATAAGATATCATCTCGTATTACATTTTTAGTTTAAGCATTTCCATAATTAAGTGATTTCAGCCCTGTAGTTATAAAGCAGTAAAGTTGTTTTTTCCAGTATCTGTCTGACTCTTTAAAAAATTAAAAAAAATAAAATTTTGCAGATATGACTTGTTCTTGCAATTTGTTCCAAATTGATACCGATCTAATTGAAAAAACAAACAAACAACAGAACAAAAAACAGTTTTTCTTAGCATAGATGAAGCATGCGTTGGATTGTAGACAAAGTTTTTCAAGGTATTAAACGTATTTCATCTGTAACTCGTATATGATTACACAGTGTTGTTCAGCTCGCATTGTACTGCTCTATTTTGTCAGTCTAATTTGAGGTCTTCATAATTTATAGAGACATGCAGTCGATATATATAAATATTAGTCATAATACATTGTAACTAACTGTAAAAGGTAGCATTCTATTTATAGCTTCTGGCTGCGGCAAGGAATTGGACCAATCAGAACTTAGATCACTACTTCGTCAACTATTTTTAGACAAACGGTCCCTTCATATATAAATAAGTAACGATGGCCCCTAATAACTGTACTTTTCGAAGTAATGCCATTATTGTGCTGCACGGGAAGCAGTGGTAAGTTTTTATTCTCACTCAAGTTATATTTTATTGAACTTTTCAAGAACGATACCGTATACCGGCTTCATGGATATCTTATAACTTCATTCATGAGATGTAAATGTAGAAAAATAGATTGTAAAATTCAAAGGATGAAAACAAATATCTTTATCGTCATATCTAACTTCATTTGCACAAAAAAAATAGGCAAAACAAAAGTTTACGCAATGAACACGGAAGTAATGTCATTCGTCTGCTATTAATGGAGTCGCTTAAACGTTTGATTTTAAAGCGTTATCACATTAAGCGCTTAAGTAACAACGTTGAATGCATCCCATGATGCTTTAGACAAACATCCGATTCCCACAATTCCTGAGCAATTCAGTCACCCCTCTAAGGACAATTGAGGTGTGGTCGGTGCTTGAATGGATCAGTAGATGAACGTTTTTACTTAGTTGAAACCGGTCAGTTACATACGATATAAGGTAAGATTTGTCTTCCACTCTCCAGTTACGCGTATTACAAGAATGGTGATCTATGAAAGTCTCTGAAATGGGGAATATTTTGAGGATTGTGAAAATAATTATTCACTTCCCTATTTGGCAATGACCTCGGCATGCTCATTGTCATTATGATTTGAAGGCGAATCCCGTTTTAAAATGCCTAATGCGATGCCAGATCATATCGCACGATTACTTAGCTACCTTACAGCGTGATGATCTATGCTGTTTTTGCGATGAAATATGTGTATTGCGTACGATTTAGCTGTAAGTTTTAATGTTTGAATTCCGTATTCGCCATCTTGATGACATCATCGTTGCATCTGCTGTCTACTTGAGTGTCTGGAAATCTCATTTTTAATATGAATTGAGTGGTCTACGACTTTGATATCTAAGGCTTCGGTTTGCACGTCGTATTTTACATTACTCACGTTTACATGTATTTCGCAGTCTGCTGAATTAGAGTCGGTTTTTAATATAAAAGGGACGCCTATTTCCTCCAAAGACTAGTTGGACTTCCTAGTACTTCGAGTGTGTTGCATCTACGGACCGGTCCAGGGTTCAACACGTCATATGTTCCCTTTTTTTATTCACGATGACCATTCCGATATTGACAAAACATTCCAGTTTTTACTAATTCAATCGATTATGTTATTGAGAAAAACACCATGATACTGTAAAGACACGTAGGAGTATTTAACATATGACCCTAATGTATCAACATGCTGTGTTAGATGATATAAATCGAACTGTAAAAGGCCTTGCAGAAGCCCAATGCTTTTCCGTTGAGACTCCCTCAAATTTAAGAACTCGCGTTATCTCTTTGTAAATTGATGTACCAAAGGTTTGGAAATGGTTCCCTGAACTTGAGAGTAGAAATCATTGAAGAATTTATAAATGCCGCTATATTAATTGCATATGGTTACAATGCAATCATTTCCCCCTCTTTAGGATATTTGAATGAACAACAATTGAACAAAAACCAAATAAATCAAAACAATGACATTTTAATAACTTTTAGCCACAGTGAAATCAACCAATTTAATGGGTTATTGTATGACAAGAAGTTATTTAATACAAGCTTTCTGTAGATTTTAGATCTTTTGTGACATTGCCATACCTCATGTGCTGCATCTCACTATTTGTTTCAGATTTTGATGTTACAGAAATGGCTGCTATAAGAAAGAAGCTGGTCATTGTAGGAGATGGTGCATGTGGTAAAACTTGTCTCCTGATTGTGTTCAGCAAGGACCAGTTCCCTGAAGTCTATGTGCCAACAGTATTTGAAAATTATGTAGCAGATATAGAAGTAGATGGAAAACAGGTTTGTATATTTCAGAAATGCTGCAATTTAGGCCTACTTTAAAACTGTCTTTACAACAAAGATGTATGTTGTGCTGGTTACAGGTATTAGAGCTGATAAACCAATCATTTAGGTTATCTAGAAATTTGATGGCACAGCTGTCAGCATTGGTGATCCTTTATTCTCTGCTGTATGATAAAAAATTCCCATTTGTTAAAGTTGTCAAGGACAAACCAATTGCATGCAGATTTCGATAGTTATATCTTTACAATAGAAAGGTAATTTCTTTGATGATAGGTAGAAGTGTTTGCTTTCATTTTGCTCAGATTGATTTATTGTTCTGTTAATTGGTGCTTCATGTGTCTGGACAGTGTGCAGTGTAAATCAACTGTATTCTTTCACCTGGCTTCCAACTTTTATTTATGGAAATGTTTGCACATTTTGTTCTCACCTCATCTTCTGTATACTATGTGTAATAGTTGTTAATTGACAGAAATTGCAACAATTGCTTTTATAAACCCGGGTAAATATGTGTATATCTACAAATTTCAAATCATTCCTGTCGCGACTTTTTTCACCTGACATCTCGTTTCCTACAACATGAAGCAGAAAGACCTCTGAAGGATAGATTATAATTGAAACGGTGAGTCATTTTTAATGTCTGCATGCAATAAGGATCGTACCGCCTGTCAAAGAAAAGAAGTCCAACAAGGTCAAATTTTACCTCTTCTCTACTGTACTGATCAAACTGGATTCAGAAGAAACAGAAATTGGATCGATCATTTCATTTGTGCTCTCATTTTACTTTTGGCAAAAACCATGTGTACTCTTGCCTAAGATTCATTTTGTAGAAAATATTGTGGCTACACAGTATAATTGTAAGCACTTTCACCTGTTAATTTATAAGATATGTTGTCCTTGGTTCACACTAGGTTATAACCATGAATATTTGATATGTATAATAAAACTTTTAAAAGCAATTGATTCTACTTCATGAAAATCGCTATAGTGTGAACCATTGGATGATACTATATGCTGTCTCAGGTAAACTATTTGCATGATTGTTGTTCTCTATCAGCATGTATTGATTTTGCTGCTTATATTTGATATCAAAGGCTTTTCAGGATCATACTGTACATACCTTGATGAAAGAGCTGAGAACAGTTGTAGTACTAAAAGGTCCTTTATGATGGAATGATAATTGACTTGAATGTTACTCTTTGACAACAAAATTATTAAATAATTCACGAATTCAAATAACAATCTCAGTTCTTATCTGTGTCAATGAAAATGGTGATGATGTATGGACAATGCTGCAGTTTATTTTTTTTCCTAAGAGAAAGGGCGTATCTTTAAACTTTCTGTTATCACCGTCTCCAATTTATGATTAAGTACTGTCCTTTCTGCTCAAAGATCCTGAAAGGCCAAAGTCTTTCTGCAAACATTCTGTATAAACCTTGGCTTTCAGCTGCTTCCTATCTCAGGAAAATTGTTATATTATGTCATTGCAGGTTGAGTTGGCTTTGTGGGATACTGCAGGTCAAGAAGATTATGACCGACTTAGACCACTATCTTACCCTGATACAGATGTTATCCTAATGTGCTTCGCCATTGACAATCCAGACAGTTTAGAAAACATCCCTGAAAAATGGACGCCAGAGGTGAAACATTTCTGTCCAAATGTTCCAATTATTCTTGTGGGAAACAAAAAAGACACTAGAAATGATGAAAATACAAAGAGAGAACTACGTAAAATGAAGCAAGAGCCTGTTAAAACATCAGAAGGGCAGTCAATGGCAGAGAACATCCATGCCAAGGCCTACATGGAATGTTCAGCGAAGACAACAGAGGGGGTACGAGAAGTGTTCGAGGCTGCCACTGCCGCTGCTTTGTCTACTAAGAAAAGGAGAAGACGACGTTTTTGCAAGATTCTATGAACAGGATGAAAAGTGGTCTTTTATGGAAAGTTAAAAACTGAAGTTAAGGGTAAAATGTCCAACTTTTTACTAAAGTTTGCATTTGACTGAAAATCAAACCTGTCTGATTGATAGATGTTATCAACACAATGGATAACTTTTTGTGATAGATGAAGTAAAGAAATGGTGCAAGATTTGACATTATTTGTGCTATGCTAAAATCAGATAACATAGTGAGTAGATTTATTGTATCTTTTGTATTGATATTGTGTAAGTTGGATTAACTAGTTATTGTTTAAATTGTTGAGTCTATGTTGTCTTCTGTGGAAATATCTTGGTTTCATAGCTTTTTGAAAATAATCATTTACAAAAAAAGAATGCATTCTTTAGTTATTAATTTACAAATCTCTCTATTAATTTACATTCCATAGATATTAAAACATGCAGCTCTAGGAAACGTGCATTTATTTTTCTTCAGTATAAAAAGAGTTGCTGTCACTATACTTATATTCTGCACATTCCAGTGTTAGACTTGTAAATACTGTTATTTAATACTTCATCTCAAATTAAATTAGATCTTTGTGAGTGTTATAATGTGATAACCAATTTTGAGATTAAAATATGGATGCTTTTAATTCAAATGATCTTTTCTGGTTGATCTGAATTTAAAAATTGCAGTTTAATGGTTCATGTTTATTTAATTTTGTCTCATTCTTGTATATGAAAAATGTACATGTAGTAATTTATGTGTAGTAATAAATTTATATAACACATCATAAACCCTGGTTTTTTATTGTTTTAATATGTTTTGATCGTAAATTGACTTTAATATAAGGAAACTAATAAAATTTATTTAGTTATATATCTTTCACAATAATACTTTTTAAAATTATAAAAATCAGTGATTCAGATCATGGATTATCAAAATGAGTAGGCTACAGATATGACTTGTATTTGTTTCAACATACAACTGTTTTGTATACACAAGTGTATGAAATGTAATTGAAAACTTTGGTTCAATCTATACCATTTGCTTCTTATATTTGCACCTTACGAAGCTTCAAATTATTCTCATTGACTGCTGGATACATCAGTTACTGTACATCTCCGTAGGGTTAATGCTTAAAACCTCTGGTCAGTATTTTGATATTTCAAGATGTTTACTTTAAATTGTTGGTATGACCTTGGATAGCTTATATGTTTGAAATGCTAAAATCTGAAAGGTTGAGAACCATGTGATAAGTCTCTTCTAAATGACCGGTTGTATTAAACTTGTTCTAGAATTTTAAGTAGCGTTGTAACAGAAAGTGAAACACAAGTAGTCATTCTTATAAAACTATGCAAGGAGACATACATCAGACATCTTAAAGATGTTGGCATGCATGTAGCTGGAGGAACTGTAAGAACATATTATCTGATCATATCCTCATAAATAAGGCCCCATTATTACTTGAAGGATGAAGTGTACATTTATTGTAATATAAATTCTCCTTGAAATTGTAGATTTGTATCTCTGTGTATTTGTCCTATTTTGATAAATAAACTTAATGGAAAGTGAAATGACTGATGGAATGATCAGATCAGAAAACTTGTCTTTGTTGCTGCAGATTTTTTTTAATGCATGTTAATCTGTTTGGACAGTAGACACAGTGGTGACTATGAGCCAACATTTTATGATGTACATGTACTGTTATTAGTATGACAAGCATCAGGATGCAAATGATAGTCAATATCTGCTAGTCCTGTGTCTAATAACTGTTTTTCGGGATTGTTTGATTTGTATATTTAGGTGACTTGAGTACTTATAGCAGATATAAAATAATTACAATAATCAAGACTTATTCAGATTATTGTACACATTTCCAGCCCTACTTCAAAGATCAATGTTATGGTAATGGTGCTATTATGTAGTAGTTAAACAAATTATTGTCCACGACCCTGGAAGTAAGACAACTCGAAATCATTTTAGTATGGGTAAGTTTCATTTCTATTGAGGATGCTGCCCGATTGTTTTCCACAGTAGTATAAGCCAGTAACTAATGCTGTTTTGTCTGGATTGGTTAAATATACACAGTACTACAGACTGGCCTATATGTGAACCTTTGTGCAGTTTTTGTGTGCATGAACAGGAACCTTCCCACAACCAACCTAACTTCTGACTCAACTGATTGCTAGTGGAATGGTGACCACGAGTTTTGCATGTTTACAAAGATCTTGTTATATTTAAATACTTAAGAATAGGGAAAAAAGACTTGTGATGAATATTTAACAGTCAGATTATAGATGTTTAGTGGAGGACAAATGAACATGATGAATTGTTTCACAGTTGTTTATACTAATAATTTGTGTTTTCATACTAAATTAGTTAATTTGCTGTTAAAGTCTGTTGTTTATTTTAAGGCTTACCAGGTACTAGCAATCCAGTAGCTGTTGCCAATATTTAAAGAAAATCATCTCTGAAATACAGCTTTAGAAACATTTTGCTGCATTAATGTTATTTTGATTTAACACTTTGCAAAATTTGGTCATGTGTTTTGTAAAGAAGACAAAAATATGAAAGATAAGTTGCTGGTGCAACATTCCTTTTCTGGAAGAAGATGTGCTTCTGCTTCATTTTTATTTGAAAAGTTCATGAATATTAACAATGAGAATGGCATAGCTTGCCTATTGGTGACAAATTTAATCTTACATAAATACCAATTGATGTTTACAGAGATATATATGAGGGTGAACGTGTATACTTAGATCTACCAAAATATTTCAAAACAAAATATCCAGTAATGTAATGCTATATATGCTTGTTGTTTGACCACAAGACAAATCGTGTATAGCAATCAATCATACAGAAAACAATAAGTGTTTCACAGTAGCCCACTTTAGTCTGTTATACAGACGTATCACAGTTTAATTAGATCAAACCATTACTAATTAATTTTCTGTGATGTGATGGACAGTTGAAGCTTATCTCTTAGTATAGTTGAACTTGAGATTTATTAGAGAAAATGTGATAATTTATATTTATCTCTCACAAACATGTATACTTTATTAATCCAGTTGTGTTCTGACTAGATCCTAGAATGATTCCATACATATTAGAATATACACTGACAGAATGGATTGGAATGAATAAGCATCTGATATCTGTAACCAGCTCAATCTCAATTTTGTTGCATAGATATTTACAGTTACATACTGCATGAAGCATGGTTATTATCTAACCTTCTGATATAAAGGGACATTGTCTAAAGTAAATCCTTACATTGTATCATAAACTTCAAAAGTAGCAAAATAAGTATTTTCATATTACAAGCAATTTGAAATTAAAAAAAAAAATAGTAATTTGAACATGTCCCTTTATTTTACTAGAGATATATTCAATTAACTTTTACAATAGTTTGGCTTATGGTTTGTGAAATTTGTATAATTCCTTATTGCAGGTTGAACTTGCCCTTTGGGATACTGCCGGCCAGGAAGATTATGACAGGTTACGTCCCCTATCCTACCCAGACACTGACGTCATTCTCATGTGCTTTTCCATAGACAGCCCCGACAGTTTGGAGAACATCCCTGAAAAATGGACTCCGGAAGTGAAGCACTTTTGTCCAAGTGTTCCAATAATTCTTGTAGGAAATAAAAAAGATCTTAGAAATGACGACCAGACCAAACGAGAGCTAATGAAGATGAAACAAGAACCAGTCAAAGTTGATGAAGGAAGATCCACAGCAGAAAAAATCAATGCTTTTGGATACCTAGAATGCTCAGCTAAAACCAAGGAAGGCGTTAGAGAAGTATTTGAGACAGCCACCAGAGCAGCCCTACAAAAGAAGAGGAAGAAGAGGGGCATGTGTCGACTGCTATAGATAATACTGAATGGACTTTTTCTATGTGTCACCCCTTGATATCTGTGGCGAGTCTTGTATGATTAGCAATGTCTTGGCAGTACATTCCTTAAACTGTGTGTACACATAGAGAATGTTCTGCTGCTTTTCGTGTGAAAGACTCTGAAAACAGACCAAACTAGTGTTCCTTTAAAGCAAACAACTTTAAAGTTGGTGATCTTGTCTAAATATTTTTCATAAATAATCATGAACAAATTGAAGGCTTGAAATATGCAGACAGGAAAATGTTCACATTTCTTGTAAGGCAAATAGTCTGTTTTCCAAATGAGTCGCTGACTGGAGCAAAAAAAAATAGGGGGATGGAACATTTTTGTTGCACTATGTATGCACAGATGAGCAAACTTTGATTGGTTATCTGACCATTGGCGTGTCAAACCTCAAGTCACATGTGAAATTGTGATATCATGATCTAGGTCCCCCTTAATTCATTAAAACTTTGGAACACAACCTACCGTTGCCAAATCTTAACACTGCAGTAGCATGGGCTTGTTTTGGGTGAATGAGGTACATGTATCCGTGATTGTGACGAGGTTTTCTTGTCAATGGTCAACCTGCCAACGCTGTGTTTGTAGTATATGTCATGTACATTTGTAAACTTTTATTATTATAAACTTATTATTAATGATCTAGTATAATGCTATATATCAGTAAGGTTATTCTTGTACTCCCGATGTTCATATTATATTGGCTTTCATTCATCATATCTCTATGTGCTTAATTGTACTTTGTGACACTACCGTCATTGGTTGTGCATTGGTTTATCACAAGATCAGTCGTCCTGTCCTACATATTTCTACTAACTTCATCTGGAATCTTTCACTTTCACAATTCTCTAGATAAACCAACAATCAGGAAGCATTTTATAAACCAGAACAAATTTTTATTCTTTATTGGTACCAATGCATAACCTTTAATTTGAAGGAGTTGAGAAATGAATAGATAAAAATGAAATGAAATTTTAACATAAACTTTTGGCCAATTTAGGTAAAATTGTGAACAAATCATTTAGTTCTAATTCAGTGTGCATAGATATTCAACCAGTATTAGAAAGGCTTACAAGATGTGATCAGTTAAGGGTATTTCATTGCTTTATCAAGCTACACTGTAGTGTGTGCATGTTTGTACATCATATAGCTTTATGCTTTCTGACATCCTTGAATATAACATTTTGGTCAACAAACTCAACTAGTGTCTGTAAATGTAATTCTAGTTGTAAATGACAGAAGGCTCTGGCCATTGTGATCAATGGATTTGGTCAACTTTCACCATTGCGAGTTCATAACTCCCAAAAATGGATCAAATACTGATTTTAAGTTGTTTCCATTGTTTGAGAATTTTGTTTATAACTTTTGTTTAACATTGATGATATGCAAACTGCGGAATTACCTTCACAATAACGGTGCTCTTAACACCATTTAGGTGATATGTGCGCCAGGTCATAAAAATACTGTGTGGATGCATATTAACAAAATATAGGTCGATAGGTGTGCCAAATTATTCAAACAGGCATTGAGGAGCAACACAACAAAATACAAACTAAATCATGTCTACAAAAGTACTTCTTCTTGGGTTTGCTTTAAATAGTCTATTGTTGTAACCTGTCATTAGTACATGTAATTACTTATCTTTTGGACGTTTAACCGCATCAGTTCACATCATACAGGTGTGAACAGGCAAATATGTGTAGACATTTCTTTTCAAAAGTTTATAATCTGAGAGAAATGATAGAATTGATTATTTGACATTCTGAATATAATAAAAAGATCTTACTGAAACATGGATTTGTTTTTATATGTTAAAGCATATCTCTACACTCTGTATCTTGGAGCCCAAAAAGTAAGTTAGTATGAAACGCTCGGGGTGATGTTGATGTGCATTTTCAATCCATGAGCATTGATAATAAGATAGATGCTGGAACATGGGGAAATAAAATTTGTCATGTTATTGCATTTTGAAGTCTACATGTATATACAAGTCTCTTGTGTTTTAAGTGTGAAATAGAAACTTGTAAAATATACACTTTTTGTACTACTTGGTACAGCATATGTAATGTGAATGAATATTATGTTGCAATATACATTTATGTAAAGCTAGTGTTCACAAAACTGAAATATTTTCCAATAAAATTTTAATTGCGCATGCATTTCTTATAAGTCGAGAAGTTCTTTTACCACAATGTGTTATGAGTGCAACATTTCCCATTTCTTCTGGTGACTTTGGATTTATTCAGATGAGCACAAAATATGTGCATCACCTACAGGCAATGTACAAAGTGGAAGAAATTAAGATTAAGTGAGATTAAATCCTCTCCCTATATAGTATTTCCCATTTTCCCCCTTCATGAGATAACAAAACAGTCATTCCAATTATGCCTCCCAAATCAATTTGTGCTTTTCAGCTCACTATCATTAGTTGGTTAGCTATTCTATCTCCTTGCATCCTTGGTCCATCATTTGTCTGAACAAATCATATATATGCTCCCCTTGGTCTCTTGCTGTGCACTTTTGATTTTTGGACTAATCAGAAAAAGAGAATGGCTGACAGGTGAGTATCTTTAATTTTAACAAAGATTTTTGAGAAGTTAAGGATTGATCTTTTTCAAATTTCATATATAGGTTCCCCTTGGTCCCTAGTTAGTCTCAATCGATTTTGGGCCTGATCAGAAAAAGCAAAACAGCTGACAGGTGACCATTGTGGATTTTGACAAGGCTATGTTGTCACTATTTCTTGAAGTATTGGACAGATATTTCAAAATATTCTTATATAGGTTCCTAGTTGTGCCCTTTTTCATTTTTGAGACTGATAATTAAATGGCTAAAAGGTGGACAAATAATTGGGAGGAAGGCATAGAGAATTATAAAACATTTAAGGAACAAATGAGAATCAACCAAGGGGATTTCTTGTTTATAAACTGCAGTTATCAAAAAGGGTTCCATAAATATTGCTGAAATAACCAGGTGAGATGCAGTCCTTATATGAATCCTCCAAAAGGATTTTGAATTGACTATTTGGAAAAGTTATTTTCATAATGATAATATTGTCTTAGAGACCTCTTGATTTTTGACAGACTTCTTTAAAACTTGGTAGGCTTAATCACCTTAACATGTGCTCCTGTTGACAGCTTCATGTTGGTGAAAAATGTGACCCTTCATCAATAACTTCCTAAATGCTAACCACTTTCTATGCGTTATATGTAGTTATCATAGTATCATTGACTTCTATTTTATGCACCAACAACTAAAAATACCTTCATAGAACTTGGAGTGACAATTTGGCTCTTCTAGCTCTTCAAGTAACTTCTAAAAAATATTTTGTGGTGAATGATTAGATAAAAATTCAGTATAATTCCGAGGGTAAATCCTGATAAACTTTGCAAAAAAATTTTTATTTTGAATGGTTCAGTTATCAGATTTGTTTAAAAATAATCTTTTCTGTGCTAGAATCAGGATTTGTGGCCTGATTGTCTAAGGGTTGAAACCAAACCCAAGTTTGTTTAAAGATACACTGTTGACTTGTCAGGCTTTGTTAAGGTCAGATGAGTCCATCTTTTAAGCAATTCTTGTTACTGATAACCAAAATTCCTAGAAACAGTAGCCATATTTGTCTTCTCTGTTTAGGACAAGAAGTTACCTTGACCCATATCCAGTGTCACAGGGGTCTATCAAATTTGTTGAGCTACTCAAATATACTGATTATCAAAGGGCAAAAAAGTCTGATGTTTAGGGAAGAAATTCCAAAGATAAAGCTTAAGAAAATATTATCAATATTTGGGTTCTCAGAATCAAATTTATTAGATTTCGGATATATCTAAACAGGTGTTGGAGGTACTCTTTAGTTAGGAGTGGTTGTAAGGAATTTCAAATATGAACCTTGTTTAAGTATATGGACATCTGGGCAGGTTTTTATAATATTAAAAAAAGTTGATATCCAATTATTTGATTTTGATTGTCAAATATGTGCTTGTTGGTTGTAAGTTGTCCTGCAATTCACAATAAAATAATGACAAACGGGAATATATCATGGTACCAGAAATGATTAAACAAAGTACTGTATTTAAGGTGATTGGTGTCAAGATAATATGATGGTGTCCCGGATTCTTTATTTAAAAGGACCTGTATGCCGTTGTGCTACACATCTGTACATATTAGACTATAGTATGGTTTATGGTGTATATATGTGCTGAACAGCAAGATATAATGATTGACTTATTACCCGAGACATGGGCATATTAGTGAATACATATTGTACTATGGAGCAACATAGTAAATTAAGACATCTTATTAATGTCTTTGCCAAAAGTGCACGCTTTACATAATTTCAGGTAAATCAATGATGATTCAAACTTGTATCTTTTTCTATGTACTATCTTCAGGTTGAACTTGCCCTTTGGGATACTGCTGGCCAGGAAGACTACGATAGGTTACGTCCCCTGTCCTACCCAGACACTGACGTCATTCTCATGTGCTTTTCCATAGACAGCCCCGACAGTTTGGAGAACATCCCTGAAAAATGGACTCCGGAAGTGAAGCACTTTTGTCCAAGTGTTCCAATAATTCTTGTAGGAAATAAAAAAGATCTTAGAAATGACGACCAGACCAAACGAGAGCTAATGAAGATGAAACAAGAGCCTGTCCGACCAGAGGAGGGAAGAGCCACCTCAGAAAAAATCAATGCTTTTGGATACTTGGAATGCTCAGCTAAAACCAAGGAGGGAGTGAGAGGAGTATTTGAGACAGCCACCAGAGCAGCTCTTCAAACAAAGAAAAAGAAGCGTGGTGGCTGTGTGTTGCTATAACAACTCTGTATGACTGTAATGTTAGGCTTTGTAGTGAATATTGTACTGAATGGTTACAGACATTCAAAAAGCTTCATCTCAACTGTGTGCTGGGCATAACAGTATCACTCTGTACTTCTCAATCAAGATCCTATATATGTATTCTGGTTAGGCTGAATTCTGTGTTTATCATATTGCTCGACTACAGTATGTGTGTGGTTCATAGGTAATTTCTTGTGGTGTACTGATAAATTTATCAATATCTTTTTTTTCCATTCTGACTAAGGAAATTTTGCTTTGCAAGAAAAATCAAAATCTGATTTTGTTTTTCAAAAATGAAACAATGATTGAGTGCTGAATTGAAAAAAAAAGTCCATTATGTAATTCTAAGTTCTCAGTATTAAGAAATCTTCAAGTCTATTTTACATCTTAACCTTGTTAATTTACACATGTAATATGACACCTACTGATAATGACAGGCATTCTTTTTGTTCACTAGTGACAACACCAGTTTACACGTGATAAAAGCTAGGTGCTCACAAGATTCACTAGTGTTCATTAAACTGAATGACCTGGACAAAATCGAGGGTTCTGTTGTCAAATACAAAAGCATAGTCAAAAGTCCAGTTTTCTGTCATCACAAACTGACCAGTGGAGGTAAATGTTCTGTTGTCAAAAACTGATGAATAAACATGAAAGTCCAATGTTATGTTGTCAAACTGACCAGTGTAGACAAAAGTCAGGCATTCTGTCATCACAGACTGACCAGTGTAGACAAAATTTAGGTGTTCTGTTGTCAAAAACTGATGAATAAACATGAAAGTCCAATGTTATTTTGTCAAACTGACCAGTGTAGACAAAAGTCAGGCATTCTGTCATCACAGACTGACCAGTGTAGACAAAATTTAGGTGTTCTGTTGTCAAAAACTGATGAATAAACATGAAAGTCCAATGACATGTTGTCAAACTGACCAGTGTAGACAAAAGTCAGGCATTCTGTCATCACAGACTGACCAGTGTAGACAAAATTTAGGTGTTCTGTTGTCAAACTGACCATTGTAGGCAAAACTGACCAGTGAAGGCAAACTTTAGGTGTTCTGTGGTCTTATTGACCATTGTTTGCCAAAAAAAGATAAATGACCCGATGCTCTATCAAACTGACCACTTTAAGGTAAATGGTCAGTTGTTATGTTGTCAAACTGCTGTAGTTAGTATGTGTTCTGTTTGTAAACTATTCCACTATGGTTGTATCATGCTGATGGTCATTGTTTTCATAAACAAATCCCTGTTTTTTCTTGTTTTCATTCCAGATAAGATGTTTTGGACATGATGATTATTTTTAACAGTTTTACTAGCAAAATTCAAAATCTGAGATGTAAACACTTGTAGCACGTCTTTTATTTGAGGAAAAAAGTAAAGTAAAAAGAAGGTATCTTTTTCCTAAACTAGTTATCTAACAAGAAATTTATGCAAAATTACATGAAGGAATGTACAAAAAAACGACATTCAAAGATTTCAAACCATTCATTAAAAACATAACATGGTTGTAAATTTTGTCTAATTCAACAAAGGAACCACAATATTTACCTTGTAAATAACACAGGAGCAAAATCAGTTCCTTTGTATTTAGATTGCATGGTTGATTGTAAAAAGATATATATAATTGTAAATTATGTACAAATATGCATCATATTTTATTTAGTATAGGTAAAATTAGTGTCAAGTGAAATGATTAATATCCTGTAAGATTCTGAATCATTTCCCAAAAGCAAATCTTAGATGGAGCTTGAATTTAATGAAAATGTTATAACAGTTTTGAAACATTTAACAAATGCAGAAGCCCCTGTGCACAAGTAGTTTGTTTAATGAACCAGTTCCTGTGTACAAGCCCCTGTGTATTTCCAATTTTTTACATTCAGAAATCAAGGAAAAAAACTGAAGCTGTCTTTTAGTAGAGTTGATAATTTTCACCTGATTTTTTCATATCTTCCTATCAGAAATACAATTAATAAAAGTGAAATTTTACTAACTGTGGTTTAGGATGTACCAGATCAATAGAAATAATCAGTTTAATTTCATTTCCATATGTAACAAGTTATATACCAATTTAAAAGATGATTGTTATGAAACTATGTACAAATAGAACAGAATAGATTTGTAATGTATATAGATATATATAACAGATATACTCATAGAATATTTAAAATCTGATTTCTTACTTCACTAAAAATTACATATACCTCATTACATTCTGATGAGACCCATGGGAAAATTTTTGACGGCAATCATGTTTTGGACAGTAAATTTTGAGACTTTTTACAAAAATATGCTTTCAGAACACACATGAGAGCTTGCAACTTGAGTCACAAGTGAAATGAGAGATCTGATTTTATTTTGATGGAGAATTTATATTTACCATATTACTATTTTGCTTCAGATATAAGTCACATGTAAGCACATTTTATTTATCAATATTTGCAATTTTACATTTTTTTTTTTCTTTTTTGTTTATTTTGTTGTATCCATCTTTCTTGTCTGCATGTTGTCTATCTCGTATATTTGATTAAGGGTATACTTTTGTAATTTAAAACTAATCTTTTTCCATTTGAGTGATGATTACTTCTTGAATATTTAATTTGTTTAATTAGTGAATTAAGACTACAAGGTATAGCTACTAATTGTCATCATTGGTTCTTCAATTTTAGGTAATTTCAGTAAAGGCAGGAATAAGTTTCAGATCATTTAATCACATGATTATGTTAATGCATTACTAGATGTTACACTATAACGACTTTCATTGAAAATTTTTGCAGCCCAACTTGGGTAATAAAATCCTTAATAATATCTTACATTCAGCATTTTGTTATCAGATTTGACTTCATTTTTTCTGTGTGAATCCATCTTCAACATTAAAAAAAAATGTTATACAAAGATTGGACGAGAATGCTGAAAAATCTTTAAAAATGGTTCTTGATGAAATTTTGCAGTTGAAATGAAATATGGATGACTGTTGTAGCCATCTTGAGAGTATATACGATCTTTCAACCAATGCCTGATGTTGGCACTATTACCATGTAATAAACCTCAGAGGTAAACAAACACCTCCGACACAATGTTAGGGGGTGGGCTTATCAGTGGACGATATAAACACTTGTTGGTAGTTCCACTGAACAGCAAGAACTAGGGGTGGGTTTATTACCAAACATGGTTTAGTTGGCAGGGAAATAAGTAGGTCAAGTTAAAATGCATCCAATGTTTATATACTTAGGTTTCCACTAAGAGAATGAATTATTCATTTGTGATTCCAAAAACACACTTAAATAAAGAACTAGAATCCACATTTCAATTTTAATTTATGGTGGAAGTTATTTTCAATTTTTGATGGACACCAGTTTTTTTGGGCAAAAATTATCATTCTTAGCTTCTAATCTCCCTGGTGTTGAATAGTGAATAACAACAAAATCTACAATTTAGATACTGAAGTTTATTTCATGATAAGTCACTCAACATAAAAAATCAATTATCACACATAACTGTCAGCAAAACTGTAAAACTGTATGGAATAACAGTGACATACAACTGTGTACTGTACAATACAATCATAGTTGTATAGAATAACAGTGACATACAATGGTGTACTGTACAACACAATTATAGTTGTATGGAATAACAGTGACATACATCTGTGTACTGTACAGCACAATTATAGTTGTATGGAATAACAGTGACATACATTTGTGTACTGTTCAACACAATTATAGTTGTATGGAATAACAGTGACATACAACTGTACAGCACAATTATAGTTGTATGGAATAACAGTGACATACATTTGTGTACTGTTCAACACAATTATAGTTGTATGGAATAACAACGACATACAACTGTGTACTGTACAACACAATCATAACTCTACAGAGTTAGAGTTGCATTCTTTGTGGAAAGATTTCCGAAGGAACAAGGTTGGAGGGAATAAAGCACAATGTATATACCATGTAACTCAGGATGTTGTAATTATTGTCAAATCAGTTTAGCATAATAATCTAATTCAGAATGAAGATAAAATTCCCAAAGTTATTTGATAGGATATTCATAACACATACAAAATTAATGTTACATGCAATTACATATAAAGTCGTAATACAATAAAAATAGACTAAGAATTTGATAAATGCTTTAATGGTTTACTGTTTACACAAATACAGGTGTACTGCAGACAATGCTATCCTTAGCGTGATCTAATAATGCATTCATTCATACATTCAATCATTGTGGGGGTCACATTACAGTATCTATATCATAATACGTAAAAATGCACATAAAATATGGACCATTTAAATGGTTGAAAAAAGTTACAAATAAAAATTCTCTGTTATTTCAACCCTGGAAATATGACCTTGACCATCAGCAGTTCCAAAGAAATAGATTTCTGAAATAACCTTTTGGAGACTCATGAAATTAAATTGACTTTCAGTCCCACAGATGTCTTTGTTCCACTAGCTATGTTTTATGACCTCAGAAGTCTTTGTTTCAACTTGCAACACAATACATGATCCTGAGGCCCTTTTAAGGTCCTTATTTCATGATAAACCATTATCCATGATCGAGTGATATTCCATTCCCTCTGAAGATCCTTGCTTCAGCATTTGTTTTATGATAAATGACCTTGTGACCCCCTTTAGATCCTTGATTCATGTTTACTTTGTCTTCCAGTAGATTTTATTCAGATTCCCCCGAAGGTCCTTGTTATGCCATGATTTACTGTGATAAATGCATTCTCTAGAAGCTGGGCCTTCTTTGCTTCTATTTTCAGTTGGTCTCTTGGTTCAAGATAGTACTACAAGATAAAATCACATATTCACACATAACACATTCAGTATAAAAGGTTAGATATTCTGAAGTTTTTTTTAAACTGAAAAATTTATATCAAGATAGATTAATGTTACATAATTTTTGTTCCTGTTGCTCTCTCTCTTCAACGGCAAAAAAAATGAGAAGCTTGGAAGACTACCATAAAGTCAGTTAATTTCAGGGAGATTACATCTTTGCTATTAACAGGATAGCAGAGACATGCATTTTATTGATGAAATGATGAGACAAGCGTGTGTAAGATGTCCTTTAACATCCAAATCACAAAATTTTAGTTTGGAAAAATATAATTTAATCGTTTTTCAAAGAAAATCAAATATTTTTAAGTCATGAAAATAACATGCTACATAAGGTAAGATAATGTAGTTTAGACACCAAAATGGCAAAAATCCATTTAGCAAAATAGACAAGCTTTATGGTATTTGTAGCAAATATTACCTTATACTGATAGGAATGGATTGCAAGAACTTGTTATAAAACCAGAAGATTAATTTTCCAGCATGTCAATCCAACATATAAGCAGCACATTTGTTAATGGATTTTCTATAAATTGTTCCTACTAACCATAAGCATCTTTAGAACAATTTGTCAAGCGAGAAAAAAAGTTTAAATCTATCATTATTCTAGAAGCAATCAATTTCTTATACCAGATGGTTTATTAGGAACTCTTGAGACATTTAAAGAAAACTTTTATGGAGTTCTGGAGCTTACCTCCTTTGTGAGTTTGAAGGTACCCCAGTGAATCCCTACAGAATTCTTAGATTTCACGTCAAGATGAATATCAACAGCTTCCTTCGGGTTTATGTGTTGTGGCTCCATGAAATGTCTACAGCGAAAACAACACTAGTAAGCTAGCACCTGACATTACAACAAATAATGGAAGTACCAGATTTGTGATTGATGGTAGGTTCTATCTGTTTCCAACATTTCTGATGTCAAAACTTCATCACTTGATTGTATCAACAAAATAAGACATTGAGTCAATATACATACATATCACCATTTTAGATTTACATCTAACTGTGAAACAATTTAGGGTTAAATATCATCTAGGATGTAGGTGTATTTTCATTTTGACTTCCATGTTTATAAAACTAGACAGAAGATTGATTGATAAGCCATCAATACACAATATTATGCATTCATGAATTACTTTTGTTTGAAAAATCACAAAATTTGAACCCCATAAAAATACTGGTTTTTATTGTATATACATTATTCCATTCATTGAAGATTTAAAGGTTTAACTAACATTTTATCTTTAACATTTTCCAATTGAAATTCATGTTTAAATGAAAATATAACAAATTAAGCTAGTAGATGCCTTGATGACAGATATACCAGTTAATCCAGTGACAAGAACTTCTGTAATATATAGCATCAAATGTTCCCTCACACCTACCGTGGGTAATATGCACCAATAGGTATCGCAGACAAATCAAAAGGGCCATATTTCTTTCCAATCTGTTTGAAAATATCACAGTATCCAGTGTCACCAGCGAAGAAGAAACTGTGGCGAGGACCCTTGATGACCCAGCTTCCCCACAAAGACTGAAATGAATAAATCATGTCACTTCAGTGTTTTGTTTTTTGAATCAGGAAATATTTTGCCAGTTAAATTTTACAAAATTCCCCTCATTTCACAGACAAACAATTAATTACATTGCTTTAGTCCACACTTAATGTGTCAGTGATATACATGTTGTTAACAAGTATGTTGTCATTGTAAGGACAATATTAAGGAAGAAACTTACTTCATTGGTATCAATTATTGCACGTCCACTCCAGTGTTGGGCTGGTGTCAGTACAAATTGTATTTCTTCCTGAAGGTCAGCATGATGCCCATGTTGCTCCCACCATGTCAACTCCACGATATTTCTACATCCTGTGTCTTTCATCCACTTACCAATCCCTTTAGGAACATACCACACAATTTTTTCCCCAAACCTTTCATTAAGCTTTCCCACTGAGTTGGCATCTAAATGATCAAAGTGATTATGACTGATAACTACCGCATCTATGGAAGGTAGTTGCTCAATTGTGCATGCTGGCATTCGGAAACGTTTGTATCCAAAAAGTACTGGCCCTGTGCTATCACTGAAGACAGGATCAGTTAATACATTGATACCATCCAGCTGGACCAATACAGTCGCATGACCGATCCAAGTGGCCTGGACACCTGAGCTCGGTGGATTCTTTAACTGTTCAATGTCTGGAGTACAAACTGGTAGGGTAATGTCCAGATCCTGTTTTACATAAAAAATATACCATGTAATAACAACTCACATCAACACAAGATTAAGATTGTACCAATAAATCAAGATTGTACCAATAAATCAAGATTGTACCAAAAAATCAAGATTGTGAATAAATCAAGATTGTACCAAAAGATTAAGATTGTACCAATAAATCAAGATTGTACCAAAAAATCAAGATTGTGAATAAATCAAGATTGTACCAAAAGATTAAGATTGTACCAATAAATCAAGATTGTACCAAAAGATGCTTCAGGCCCAATAATAGCACCATGGACCTTCAGGTAACTGAGAAGATGTTGTTTAAATATTTTAACACATTTTACCCTTATAACCTTGAAAATGGGTCAAGGTAATCAATTTTAACAAACTTGGTATCCCTTCATCCCATCATGCTACAGGCCCAATATCAGCACCCTGGGCCTTTTGGTTATTGAGAAGAAGTTGTTTAAATGTTCAAAATATTTGATACCTGTGACCTTGAAGTAAGTCAAAGTCATTCATATCAACAAACTTGGTAACTCTAACTCCAAACATGCTAAAGGCCCAATATCAGTATCCTGAGCCTTCTGGTTATTGAGAAGAAGTCATCTAAATAGAAAGTTTACATACAGTGGACGCTGGATGGCACATGATAACAGACGAAACAATGACCGTTCGGGTCAGATGACCTAAAGATGTGCTACAATGAAAATTACGTATGCTGATATCAAGGAATCATATTTATTCCAAAACAAGCCCAGTCAGCTCTGATAAGTAAGGTCTAAATCATAGTTAGTATGAGATGGGCTTATTGCAGAACAATGGAAAAACATTTGCCACCATTTCAGGTAAAAGATATTTGACAGGGATGGGCTTAATAGACGCTTGACCTTATTCCTAAATAAATATTTTATTAATGTCATTTGTGTCAATGGATGAAAAATGTTCACAATCTTGTTTAACTTTTTGAATATGGTTTAGTATCTAAACCTATCAGGTGAGAGTGTCACAATTTCCACTGCATCAGAGTAGGTTTCTAAATTAATTCACTGAGTGTTGACTGGTTTTGCTTGCTTTTTCAGGACAAATTACTCAATTTTTCTACCATAAAGTACACAAAATGTGGGCAACCTATTCTATAAATAGTATTAGGACATAATTATCACAAGCACAATAACTCTGGGAACACAGAATGTTCTCCTTTTGGCGTGTAGGATGGCAAATGTTATAGTGTAAATAAAGGAATGCGTCACTTGGTTTATTATATAATTTGCTTCACAGACACCCATTGTGTAGCATGTAAATAGTGGTATCAAAGAAGTTTAACTCAGTGTCGCTGACTTCGAGCATTAAGTTTCTAGTTGGGTCGTACAAATTTATGGCTTCACAAAAGGAGGTAAGTGTCTCTGCTATGCAGCCATATAAAGGTAAAATGATCAATAAAATACTCCTTGCATCCCCGAAAAAAACCAACACTTAATACATGTATCAAAGTCTTTAAACAAAATCAGAAACTTACTGTGCTGGATGGTATTTCACTGACATCAGCCCATCTTTCATTTGGCAGGATATTGTTTAAAACAAAAGATAAACCATTTGGGTACTCCCATGTTGTCCAGGGACATTTATATCTGCCGTTCCACTTCACCTGGGGCTTCACCTCTTCCTCCTCACACAAGGCAGAAGTTTCTGCCATTGTTCTAAAGTAAATCTGTCAAATTCTCAGGTGAAGTACCTAAAAAACACAATATTGCTTGAGCTGATTATAACATTAAGAACATCTCCTGGTTGTGTCAAACACGAGTCACACCTCCAGTGGGGGTGCACATCCACTAAAACTTGAAAAGTGACCATTATTTGAAAGAATATCGAGGGTAATTTAATCATCACACCATTGCTCACACAGGCTGATCCAGGGGGGATTTGACAAAATTTACCAAGTGACCATTATTTGAAATAATACCAAACTAAAATTCAATCATCACACCATGTGTAGGCCTACTGAATACGGCACTTCATATCACATATGAATAACTCAATTGAGGACCCATACAGTATCAGTATTTACAAAAAAACAGACATTGAAAAATTGAAAATTAATTTCACTGACAATATTATTACATTACTACCCTATTATCTATATGCAGCAAAGTCTCTTTATTTTTTAGATGTACCATAACATAATCATACTTTATATTTATTTTACTTTTTGAGCATTGGTCCGATCTTACCAAAGAGGTTACTTTTCAGTTAAAATGTGTGCCCCTCTCTACCCTGAAATCCTGGATCCTCGCCTTGTTAAAAAACAAAAATGAAATGGGTAATGGGTTTAGGTAAACAAAGTATCCATTTCAGAAAGGTCTTGAAGGATTATCTAGTCCTATAGAACACTTCAGATTTTTTACAGAAATTACTTTTTCACGCACACTCATGATCATACCATCACAAACATTGTATTATATTTGTTCTTTCATTTTAAGCCTTACAGCTCGTATCTATGGCTATTATAACATATACGAAATATTCAGAATTTGTAAATAAAAATCAACCGACATTGTCCGAGTCCAGAGGAAAAAGACAGACTTGAGAACAGTTGAATACACTTAGGAGTACAACAGTATATAATTGATGAACAATTATTGTTTGAATTGTGCCAGACAATATCATTTTACAGAGGATAAATGGCAGTAGATACAAGATAATAAAACAACACTCATTAGACTTGAAACGTTGATCATAATGTAAAAGTGACGGAAATTTGTATACATAAACATCCTGTACTTCCGACTGACAGTTCAACACGGTACATCCACCATATTGTTTACTTCACGACTTCGGAATAGAACAGATTACGGCTATCGGAACACCTTTGCAGTTCACTACCTGCAGTGTCTCGTATTCGTCGAGGATTCTGCACGTGCAGTTCGCCGTATTTCGGCTATAATAAAGCCGCTAATTTTCCATACCTCGGTAATCAGCGGTAAAGTTTCGACAGGATTGGGTTGGCTCCCTTTTCTTCTCAATCTTTCTTTTTAGCGTTTGGTAAGAATTCTCAATTTATTAGGTAGTGCGAAGTGTAGGTTTAGGAATTGAATAGGCTTGGACATGTAGGGTGTCTTGTTTAATTATTATTGGTATGTAAGGTTTATTTTTAGTCCGTCTGTCATCTATGTTAGGTAGGTGTCAGGCCTTGTAGTCGTTAGTGTTGTTAATTAAGTCAGGCTTTGTTGTATAAAGCCACTGTCAGAATATTTCATTGCGTATGCGTGCACATGTGACTCGAGAGAATAAGTATCTTGTTTTAATTGTCTTAAATATACACCTATTTGTTGTACATAATGAAACATAATTGGATTTACATTCACGTGTCACACCTAATTTAATAATAAAATTTGTAAAATCTGTGCTGAAATCACAGGTACAAGTCATTATCTACCTATCAATGGCTAATCCAGGTAATTCCGATCTCCACGAGTCAATTTTTCTTTCATGTCTCGCTGTAACATCGTGCCAATAAGAAAAAATTTTAATCAATTTTGAATTCAATCCATAGTCCGATGATCAGACTCAATCAACACTCCGCATTCTATTATGTCAACGATAACATCCGCCATTAAACATGAAAACAGACCACGTTCGTCGCGAAATTAGACGTGAAAGAGAATAAAACCTGTCAATGTCTCAACAGTTAAACATATAAGTGTTTCAAAAGATATTTGTATTATAACCGAAAACATTTTTCAATGTCCCAAACAGGGCACTGTCTGCCGATCGTTAGTTTTGACTCGCCAGTTGCTATCGCGTTTACAAGCACTTCGTCCCAAATTTGCTTGATATTGACCCAGACAGTTTGCATTAATATATATAGTAATTATCTTATTCATAATTGTTGTTCATAAATAAACCGTCAAATCCTTTTAGTGTCAGTTTTGAGTACCAGATAATCCCGACAATCAATGTTAGCGACCTCAAAGAATCTTCGACCTGACGAAACAGAATAGTAGAAGCCGCTGAAAAATGGGATGTCGTCTTTATCAATGGGGCATCAGTGCACATTTGTTGAGACCTTCCAAATCCGAGTGTATTAAAAAAAAATACGTCATCATTAGGTTTAACTACCGGACGTTAGTCATGTGAAATATATCTACTATAAATAACAGGAATTATATATATGAAGAATTAACATATAGAACGTCCGATTCCTGTGGTTTTACAGCTAGTTACCGGTTTGTTTGTCACTTACAGATTTGTGTGCTGCTGCGTAGAATTGTTGTTAAGAACGTCTACTTACACAAGTTTCAGTTATCTAAGCTATCGATCGCCCGAAGCCTTGAAATTACACCGCTCAAAGCGTGTTCACCGAGGAAGTGACAAAGTGAAAGTACATCAGAAACGAAAGCTGTGGTTTCCGGCTTTCCCACACTGCCGCACCCCCATGATACACATTAAAGTTGCAAATACATGAAATTTCTTATTTTTTTCCCTCCTCTGGTGCTATGGATGATATAAGAACTTACATTACTGCAACAGAGGTCATTTTTATCTAAATGCCTCCGCTAGGAATCGAACCCGGGACCCCTGGCTTACTAGTCTGACGCTCAACCAATCGAGCTAAAGAGAAATTCTCTCTAGCCGAGTGGTATATTGCGGCTAGTATTTTACCAGGGTTACATACTCCCCCTCCAAGAAATAACTCGTCCTCGAGTTTCCAGGGGTTACAGCGATGCTGGTGGGGCATGGCTAAGTACTAATCCCGGGTCCCTACATGGGCGCCAATTGTAACAGGGTGAAAACACCACGCCATAACATTTATTCAATGCATAAAAAAAAAAACCTAGAAAAGAAACAAAGACAAACACTTAGTATTGCACACACAACATCAGGGGACATAACTCTCGCACTGTATAATTACCTATTTTTTCTCTATTATCTAAATTATGGCAAATACAAATTGTTTACCAACTTTACAATATAATTAGATTATTTAAATTAACATTACTTATACAGTACTGTTATATGATTAAATAATACAAAACACAGAAAATACTTCTATGACTAAATTGTCTTACTTTCCTGAAACATACATATACTATCCATATTTCATATTCATTAACATCGAATATACATTTCAACGTAATAATTTTATATAGTAAACTCACCCTACATATGGTGTAGAGGTTTATAGAGGTTCTCAAATATACACACTTGAAACTATGCTGTCTCCCGCTATCACTCTCCAATTATCTATAAAATTAATACAACTACTTAATACTTGTCATATACCGTTTAACATGACAATAGACAACACAAATTGAGAATTAAAAATATGATAAGGCAACTTTGTAGCACTGCAGATAAACTTGGGATAGCCAAACTTCCAAAGAAAAAAATGATACAAGTATTATACTATATACTATATATTAAAAAATACATTTATTATACAGGACTAATTTATTGTAATATATATTAAGCAATAAATTAACTACAATATTCTGAAGTATTAATAAACATATAACTTACCAATTATAATGTATCTCCGTTTCTTTCTAATCAAAAATGCATCTTTCCCCTTGGGAATCTAAATCTGTTCTCCAACAAAGAACTGAATACCGATGTTCAAATCAAGCTTACTTTCCCTCTCATGATGAACTCTAGCCAATCAAAATCCAATGTCACTGGACAGGTCAGTGGCTGTCATAGGTCAAACTTGTGCATGTACATGTATTTACCATATATGGGATTCATACAGGTAATAGTGAGTACAATTCACATCACAAGACATACTTACCTGGCATTCTATAACTAGAAATAAAACATTATAAATATCTTACCCATGTCAGACATACAGACATGTTACCTATTAAAAATACATATAAAGTTAACAACCTGACCCATGTCAGAAGATATAAAATATGCATTTCTGACATTGTCACAACATGCCCTAGTACGTAGGTAAAATTAAAAAGCATAAATAACACACTGTCACATACTCCCCCCTGTTGAAAAAATGACCTCCGTGTCATTTACTACTTATTACGGCAAGTACTGCAGTCCTTGCACACTCTGGCATATCCTCAAATGTACGTGTACGGGCAAGCTCAGCAATGTACTCTGCACGTAATAGCCAGTCTGGTCCTTTTGTAGGGGTTTGTATACTCATAAGATATTCACCAGATGTCTGCCACTTTGGTTGTTCTCTGTTTCTTGTTGATCTCCTTGGTTTAGGAACTGGTCTAACTTGTACAGGATCCATCAAATTGGTGTCCTTTCCAGACACCTCTTCACCTGGACATGGTGGCTTTGGATCCTCATGAGATGTGTGAATATCTACATTCTCTATTGGTATTTGGTCGTCACCACTATTCCCATCACCTCCTGTCTCCGCAATCTCATCCTGATCGTCATCAGAGGATTCGGCGACAACAGACTCCTCAGCTAGAGTTGTCTCCTTGGTGCTGGAAGGGGCACACACAACTCTAACTTCAGGAGAAAGAACAACATACATATCCTCAGAGTCTGCATCACTCTCAGTCTCACTGGATTCATCTTTACACACTTCTGTGCATGAATCAACAGTCCTGTGCTTCTTCTCCGTCTTACTAGTTTTGTCTATTACTGATAGTGGCACACTAGAAATGGGAAGTAACAAATTTCTATGCAGTGTGCGAATTCTCCCTTCACCTGTTTCCTTCTTAACTTTAAACACAGGAACATCCTTGTTCAACTGCCCGTGCACAATGTACGCATCCTCCTCCCACTTGTCGGCTAATTTATGGCGTCCATCATGCACCAGAAGTTTTACTCGGTCACCGGGTTGGATCCAAGAACCTCTTACTCGAGTGTCATAGTTCTTCTTTTGTCTGTCCTTGGAATGACTGGATGCTTCGGCCGCACACTGATATGATGACTTCAACCTCTTCCGAAGAGAATCAACATAATGGGAGTAGGTGGTACTCTTTCCTTCAAGAGATCTATCAATGCCAAATACTAAATCACTAGGCAATCTCGGATGCCTTCCGTACATGAGAAAGAATGGTGTGTGTCCAGTGCTCTCATGTCGAGTGCAGTTATATGCATGGACTAAAGGTCCAATATGTTTATTCCAGTCAGCTTTCTCACTTGGTTCTAGTGTTCCTAACATGTCCATCAACGTACGATTAAATCGTTCACACAACCCATTTCCCATTGGGTGGTATGGCGTTGTTCTGGACTTCTTTATTCCTGCTGTCAAACACAATTCTTGGATTACTTTTCCTGTAAAATTGGCTCCTTGGTCTGAATGTATCAAAGGAAAACCATAGTGTATAAAGAATTTGTTGAACAAAACCTCAGCTGTTGTTTTTGCAGACATGTTGCGCGTAGGATAAGCTTGCGCGTATCTAGTAAAATGGTCGGTAAGTACCAATACATACTGGAATCCTCCTTAGGATGTTTCCAAAAAGTCAACACATATCACTTCCAATGGTTGGGTAGAAACTGTCAAACTCTCTGGGTAGCAGAAAAACATCCTTTGTCATCCCGGGCCAGAAAAATCTTGAATTAACGACAGTGTTCTGTCTCTTCCCGGATGTCCAACAGAATCATGAAAGTAATGTAGCACTTTGTTGATTAATACAGATGGAACTATCCGCTGACGAACACACTCACCATTTCTCTTGGTAGAACGATAAAGCACACCTCGGTCCAAGACTAAATTTTCAAAATATCTAAGCAGCTTAGACTGATCAAGAGACAAATTACGTCGATGAGGTTTCCTGTTATCTCTGATAGCTGTGATCATTGGTTGTAAGGCTCTATCCTGCCCCTGCTTACTCCTCCATTCCCGCTGGGTCATATGTTCCATATCAGTGATGTCTACATCTTCTAGATCACTCATAGGATCAGAGGTAATAACTTCTGCTCTGGTACCATTCTGTACGCTGGAGCACACAGCTTTAATCGTCTCTCGCTTTATCTCATCTTCAACTTCACTGTCGCTATCGTCGAGTCTGGACAATGCATCCGCATCCATGTTGTTACGGCCTGGTCTGTACTTGATACAAAAATCATATGATGCCAGAGATGCCAGCCACCTGTGTCCTGTTGCGTCTAATTTGGCAAATGATAACACGTATGTAAGAGGATTATTATCGGTCAATACTGTAAATGACGTCCCATATAAATAATCCTGAAACTTATCAGTTATTGCCCACTTGAGCGCAAGAAACTCTAATTTATGCGCAGGATAGTTGCGTTCCGCTCGACTTAATCCTCTGCTAGCATAACTTATAACTACTTTCTTACCATCCTGTTCCTGGTATAAGACTGCACCTAACGCCTTAGAACTTGCATCTGTATGTACTTCAAAAGGCAAAGTCATATCCGGGTAACCAAGTATAGGCGGTGATGTAAGCTTTTCCTTCAGGGTATTGAAAGCTTCTTCTTGATCCTTACCCCAATGCCATGGAACCTCAGTAGAGTTACTGTCTGGCTTCTTTGTTTTCTTTCTGCCTTTCTTCTTAGTCCTAGTACCAGGAAGGAGATCATGTAGTGGCTTGGCAATAGCAGAAAAATTCTTCACAAATTTTCTGTAGTAACCGGCAAATCCTATAAAACTTCTCAATTCATCTGGGTTAGTGGATGTCTTCCATTCTAAGATCTTCTTAGTCTTTTCTGGATCAACTTCAACACCATCTTTGGATACAATGAATCCTAAATACTTCACTTTCGACTAGAATAGTGAACACGTCTTTGGTGAAAGTTTTAATCCATGTTCTCTGAGTCTCTGTAGTACTTTTCCAAGTCGTTCCAAATGCTCCTCATAAGTTCCAGAGAAAACTATTAGGTCATCTAAGTAAATAAAACAGATGGATCCAATATACTCACCCAGGCACATTATAGGTAAATAAGATTATCCAAATATGAATGATAAACAACAACAGCTTGTCAGAGAGAATCTTGGATAGGTTTACTACATTTCTATGTATTAGATATGCACGCACCTCCGCTACGCCCACCCCCGAAATCTGTGTGTATAACTCCAGGGTATGAAAACTTCTCGACTACGTATATTGTTTGATTTCATTATCGTCCTCTCCAGATTTATCTCCCCTGCTTTGATGGGGAGAAAGTTATATGCCTTTCTGACCGATTTATCCCCCCGTCAGAATTGTGTTCTATTTTTTTTACCTGTAAATGTAGGTTTGTATTGTTAGATTTGTGTTCTATTTTTTTCCTGTAAATGTAGCTTAGTATTATAAATTCCTGCATACTGTGTTACTGATATTGATATAACTATTAAAAGAATGTATGTTAAGTCTTTGGAGACACCAAATGGTCTCCTTGACTGGTTTGACATCTGGAGGAGGATTATGGGAGGAAAGTTCGGCCTCGGATGTGGAGTAGTGGATTATGGGAATGTTTTGTTTTTCAATGATGAAGGCACGCGGGGAAATTAAAATTTGTTTTGATACACTTTAAGAAACGGTGTATAAAGCTACAGAACATATCAATATGACTTTATTACGAATAAATAAACTTATGAAAAACGCGGCGCTTGAAAGTTTTTACCTGTTTAAACATTGTACAAGTACGGAGGCGTATTCCGGTCACTTTGTGCTTTATTTTATCTCGAAATTTCGACTAACTCAAAATTTCGAGTTGTTATCTCGAAATTTCGGGTTAACATCTCAAAATTTCAATAACTGACTAACTCAAAATTTTGGATTACTAGCTCGAATTTTCGAGTTGCTATCTCAAAATTTCGCGTTGCTATCATTGGAGTTCCGTAATGTAACTTATTTGGGACAAAGATGACGTCACACGAAGAGTTCCGTCATGGAATAGTAAGTCGGTAAATTTCTGAAGTCAATTTTATTTTATTTTAATATCATAAAGTTACTATATATAAAAAATCAAATTATAAACTTTTACACACATTAATGTCATTCAAAATACGAAGGAAAATCTGAAGAATTTCATTTTTACAAAATTCTCCCATCTGAGCCTGCACATGACCCCAGTATGCCTCGGAACTCCTTTCTTATAAATTTAACTCCCCTTATCCAAAGGATCGTCTTGGTCAAAACAGTCAAAGTTAAATTAAAACGTCTGCTCATATAGACCCCCAGTTGTTGATGGAAGGGGCATCAAGAAGTCAAAATAAGTTCAATTAAATTTCAAAATGCTTTTCAAGATCCAAGTATGGTAGAATCAAATAGTTTTTCATGGATGAAATGGTGTTAAGGTGCTTTACTGAAACTGCAAATTGATTACCCCTTTCCATCCCTCTCCATTGTCTCACTTTTCTTTTGGGAGGGGGTAAATTTACTATAGGGTACCAGTACATAAATGTTGGACATAATTTCAGCTCTGACATTATCAGGGCTTGAGAAGAAGATTTCTTAAAATTTCAGCTATTTTCCCTTTCAGGGTCCACTCCCTTAGCTCCCTGGGGTTCTGGACCCCCAAATTTCACAATTTTGATCATTTGAACATCAAGGATAACTGTGGCCTAGTTTAATTAAAATCTGTCTGGCAATTTTTAAGGAGAAGTGAAAAATGTGAAAATATTTTTGGACAGAGAACAATGCATGGGTGAAACATAATGGCCAATTTTCTAGCTGAATGTTAAAAACGTATTTAGTAGTGTTATGAAAAAATTACAAATATTTTCTTTTTATCATGTTCAATCAAAATTTAATTTCTAACTTAAATTGATATTGACATCAAAGTCAATGCTTATATTGCCCAACTCTGAGTAAATCAGTACAACTACACAAACATTCATACAAAAATTAATATTATATATAAAAAAATGATAAAGAGCCATCCGCAGTTTTTTAAGCTAGGTGGATTATTGATATAGTGGATTGTTAACTTAATGTTTCAAATGACTACTTCACCAAAACAGCTGCACAAATTGTCACCAAATTTGATATCAATGATAATAAATAAGCAAATAATAAATAATGAATAAACAATATTAAATTTTAAAATAAACAATGTTGCATACAATATACTGGTATTGACAATTTGTCCATTAGTTAAACAAATAAAAATACACAAAATTAGTGTTGACATGAAATACGCTCCACAAATCACTAAATGTAAACATAAAAATTCAGCCTGATGGACAAATACATAAAATATGTAAAAATGACATAATATATCATAAAGTCAAAATGGAGGTTCTCGTATATCACTAGATAAAAGTCATGTGCAGAACATGTGACATGACAAACTTTTTATTACAGTCTTCAAAAGAGCAATGTTCGTGAGGCTAGTGTCCAATAATCATATACGCAACTCATTGGTCAATTAAACTGTAAAACTCGGCACTGTATTAGTGATCATTTGTATTGTTTGTTTAGCCATTGTATAAAGTCACTTCCTAAATATCCTGGTTTCTCCGTGGTTTAACGTTACAAAACAGTCGTCTGATAGGTCAGATTTCTTCAGTTCTTCAGCCAGCTTAGTCTTTGGTTCCAAATAGAACTATATTAATGAAAGAAAGACATGTTAAATGTACAATCTATTTCTACATAATGGTAATGGAAATTCCCCAATGTTATACGAAAAAATGAAACAGAAAAAAAAGCTGTGAGGCCCAGTAGTAGTAGGATTATTTATAAATGATTAAAGCAGTTGAGAATATCTCAGCAGAAAGGCAAAAAATGAAAAAACAAACAAACAAAAAAATACAATACAAAAATAAGTATTCATTTCAGCTCCTCAACTTCCCTAAAACTTCAGTTCAGTAGCACCAATGGAACTACAGAAGAGTTAAATATGTACCAAGTATTTCAAGATCTTGGATTTTGGACTGACCCCAAATGTACCAAAACGTAAGGCACCAATATGTGAGGATCACGTCAAGCAAGTTTGAACTGAACCCACTAATGGAACTTGAGAAGAAATTTGAAATAGGTGATATTCAGGAAAAGCATAATTGCACAATTCTGTTATAAAATGGCCCCTGAATGTGTCAAAGTTTTGACGAGGCCAAAAAATAACAACTCTTTGTACATATCCTTTCCTTAACATCTCCACCAATGTCCTACTCTATGGAACAAATGGAATTGGAGAGGAAGTTAAAATATGATGTTCCAAATGGCAGTAATGGAGGCCATTTTGGATTTCAAACTGACCTGGTGACATAAAGAAAAAACTCATTTTTGATTTGGAAAAGACCAGATTACCTTAGATAAAACCAATTTTGGAATTAGGACTGACCAGATGACCTAAAAAATTTTATTGTAAAAATTTGTTCGAAATATCCACATGTGTGATGACTGTATTCTCTGAAGTTTCCTCATGGTCCCTGATTGTCTCACTCCTCATTCTGTCGTTACTGGACAGTCCATCATTTAATTTTGGCCTACACTATCCTCTGAATTTCCTCAGGTGTTGATGTTTACAACAAGATAAAATATACTTTGGTAGTGGTTGTGCTAGTCTGTGATATTACTTCAGTACAAAGATTACCTGTATCCTATGATAACATCTATCTTTAATACGCTACAGACATGACTGCTGTATCCATGGTTACCTACTATACTCATATTTAATTTTATAGGTACTAGTCTGGTTACCTCGTAAGTGAGTTTGAAGGTTCCCCAGTGGATTCCTAGAGAATTACTTGACTTGACATCCTGATGAATTAGGACAGCCTCCTCAGGATCTACATGCTGGCTCTTCATTACATACCTGTGACAGAATGATGTGTAACAGTGGTAACAAATCAAGGTTACAAAGTGGTTAAAGCTGTCTTAGATTCTGACAACCATCATTCAACATTCACAGCTGTCTAAGTCCTTACATCTAGCTGTTTTAGATTCTAACACCAAGCTGTTTCAGGTTCTAACACAGAGCTGCCTTAAGTCCTGACACACACGTTCTAAGTCTGGACACCAAGTTGTTTCAGGTTTGAACATCCAGCTGTCTTAAATACTAATACAAATGTGTTGTGAGTCTTGATACTCACATGTCTTAAGTTCTAACATCCAGCTGTCTTAAGTTCTAATGCCCAGCTGTCTTAAGTTCTAACATCCAGCTGTCTTAAATACTATCATGAATGTGTTGTGAGTCTTGATACTCAGATGTCTTATGTTCTAACACCCAGCAGTATTAAGTTCTAACACCCAGCTGTCTTACATTCTAACACCCAGCTGTCTTAAATACTAACACACATGTGTTGTGAGTCTTGATACTCAGATGTCTTATGTTCTAACACCCAACAGTATTAAGTTCTAACACTTATGTTTCTTAGACCCCAACTTTCACCATTAAGTAAATACATGTTTGATGATACATACATATCTGAAAGTACAGGATATTTGTTAGATTATAAATTACAATCACCCTCACTCACCTCGGTGCATATGCACCAATAGGTATGGCAGACAGATCAAATGGACCATACTCCTCTCCTATTTGTTTAAAAGCTTCACAGTATCCAGTGTCACCAGCAAAGAAGAATCTATGATTTGGCCCCTTAATGACCCAGCTTCCCCACAGAGCCTATAAAGTAGAATAATTACACATATAAATCATGTGAGACCTGTTTAATCTGAACATCAATGGTCCAGACATTTATCCTTACACTACAATATATTCTTTCTAGATATTAAGACATGTCTAAACATGCAGACAAATTTTTTACCCCATAAATGCCATGTTGTGTCATTTCACTCTGCCATAAAATAAATATTCTAAGACAAAGGTGAAACAACACTGTTGTGATGTCATGAAAAGGTGACATCTTGATGGCACACATGAATGTCTCCATTTTGAAAAATGTACTGGCAGCATTGAAATAAGTCTTTCTTATAAGGAAATGAATGGAAGATTTTTGCTTATTTTTTTCAGAAATATGAGTTACATGATAAATAGAATCTTACACACTGACACTTATGTAAGATCCTCTACTATCGTTAATGTATTGATGTTTGATCTCCACATGAAGCTTCAGTTAAAAACTGATATAAAGATGTTGTTATATGTTTACACAGATTCCGGAATCTTGTAGTCAATATTACTCTAATATTCTATGAAACCTCTTATCTCAGTCTGAAATCTATGAACTGTGACTAATATTGAAAAATTGTAAGGCTGAATTATTATAACTTTCTTTTGGCCTTATCATATTGGTCTGGAATAGATAAAGTGTGGCTGTTGTTGAACATTTTATCAATTTTTTTTCATATTGGTTTGGAATTGATGAACTCCAGAAACAAAAAATATTTAATAGAAAATAGTCAGAATAATTCGGACTGCTTACCTTATTTGTGTCAGTTGCTGTACGTTTACACCAGTGCTGTGATGGTGTCAAACAAAACGTTATATTTTGGTCAGGAGAATGTCTGTGTTCCTCCCACCAGGACAGTTCCACAACATTTTTACAGCCACAATCAAGCATCCATCGCCTTGTTCCCATGGGAACATACCACCACAACTCATCCCCAAACTTTTTGTTCAGACTGACCACAGATCCATGATCAAGGTGATCGTAGTGATTATGACTTATAACCACAGCATCAAGGACTGGCAGCTCATCAATTTTAAAGGGTGGAGGGCGATATCGCTTTGGTCCAATCCACTGAAACATGGAGCAACGTTCACTGAAGATCGGATCTGTTATTACAGTAATGCCGTCTAGCTGGACCAACACACTTGCATGGCCAATCCACGTGGCTTGTACACCAGACTTGGGCGGATTCATCAACTGATCAAAATCAGGCTTCTGGACTGGTAAATGTTTATCTAATTCCTGTTACAAAAGATTAAATTCAAATATTTAAAAATTTGATAACAAATGAAGTAAACTACATTGATATATAAAAATATGATTTTTAGGCACTGTTGACATGTATGTTTTGTGCCTTAATGTCACATGTGTGTTGTAATATGTATGCACATGTATGTGTGTATGGCAGGAGTTGAAAGTGGTATGGTGATTTTGATTGGAGGATTGCTGTCTATCGGATTCAATCTAAAATTTGAACTGGTAAGTTTAGAATGTGATGGTGAAACTACCAAAAATAAACAAATTCCTTTTCTTTGTTAATATCACATACTAGATAATCTTCTCGCAACAAGATCAAGGACGCAGACATAATCTCTGATTCAAAGTCAGTGGATGTGCTTACTACAAGACGACGAGAAATAGCATTTGCTGCATACGTTTTGTTCTGCAGAACAGCAGTTGTCACTAGGTGACATCTGACAGAAGTCACAAATGACCAACCTGTTTTTCACTGGGGATTTTGCTGTGGTCTTTTTCCTTCACTAGCATTCTATACAGAACTTTGCAAAACGATGGTTCTACCCATGTGGTCCAAGGATTATTGTAGACACCATTGGCATACACTGGTTTTGTCCTTGTGCTTTGGAGTATATTTGAGTCTTTTACATCAATGGCGGCCATATTTTCATTTTATTCTACAAAAAAAATAGTGATTCAGTCAGACAGTAATCTGGTTATTATGAACGCATCATTGATTATAAACATGTACGTTGATCCCTAGCAAGCTAAACTAATTACTTTATCTGATTATAAAACAAATTGATATATCACTCAGTAACACTGACTAAATCTACACACTCTTTATCTTTACAGAGATATACCACTCAGTAACACTGACTAAATCTACACACTCTTTATCTTTACAGAGATATACCACTCAGTAACACTGACTAAATCTACACACTCTTTATCTTTACAGAGATATACCACTCAGTAACACTGACTAAATCTACACACTCTTTATCTTTACAGAAATATACCACTCAGTAACACTGACTAAATCTACACACTCTGTAGTATCATTACAGAGATATACCACTCAGTAACACTGACTAAATCTACACACTCTTTATCTTTACAGAAATATACCACTCAGTAACACTGACTAAATATACACACTCTTATATCATTACAGAGATATACCACTCAGTAACACTGACTAAATCTACACACTCTTTATCTTTACAGAAATATACCACTCAGTAACACTGACTAAATCTACACACTCTGTAGTATCATTACAGAGATATACCACTCAGTAACACTGACTAAATCTACACACTCTTTATCTTTACAGAGATATACCACTCAGTAACACTGACTAAATCTACACACTCTTTATCTTTACAGAAATATACCACTCAGTAACACTGACTAAATATACACACTCTTTATCTTTACAGAAATATACCACTCAGTAACACTGACGAAATCTACATACTCTATAGTATCTTTACAGAAATATACCACTCAGTAACACTGACGAAGTCTACATACTCTGTAGTGTCATTACAGAGATATACCATTCAGTAACACTGACTAAATATACACACTCTTTATCTTTACAGAAATATACCACTCAGTAACACTGACGAAATCTACATACTCTATAGTATCTTTACAGAAATATACCACTCAGTAACACTGACGAAGTCTACATACTCTATAGTATCTTTACAGAAATATACCATTCAGTAACTCTAAGTATACACTCTACTACAAATGTTTTGTGATATCACCTATTCAAACTGGATAGTTGATACGTTTTAAACTGAATAGAATCGCCAAATAATTTTGTTGATATCATTTCAATGAAATACAAAAGGAAAACGGCGCCCAATGTTCAGTCAGTGGGCTTTAATCGGCCTTACGTAACAACGACATATTGTAACAATACATTTGAACATAATTATCGATACAGCGATTCAAAGGTAAGATGACGTAACAGTTTAGGTATAAGATCGTCAAATGTGTATCAATTTAATATAACATTAAGGATTAATAAAATATCGACTTACCACTGTTGATCTGCCAACGTCCTATTTGCTGACTTCTAGCAAAATGAAAGTAGCAACGTTGCCTTTCGGAGTTTTCGGGTTTTATCTTTGTATTCAGGGGACACATCCGAAGAGCGAAGAGGCATCATGATTGCAGCAGTTTCTCGGATCTGCTGTCAACAATATATCAAACAGTTCACAAGGTTTGTATTGAAGTATTGTCGATACAGAACAACACTTAGTAAAGTTTGTCCCATTTGGTACATGATATCCCTCACTAATACATTACCATACAGCTCGACTTGTGACGGTATGAATTGTTACCCCCGAAGAACCTACTGTATCATCGGCGCATTGGTTTCTGACCCCTTAAGAACCATTTCACGCTAGCTACCCTATATCAACGAATTGCCACCAACAAAATACAGAAATGAAATCAAATGTGTTCAAACTGATCAGTGAAACACCAGTATTTTTCTAAAAAAAAAAAAAATCCACAGATCCGACCTCAAATTCGCTCACCTGATCGACATGAGTATCGGACATGTGAATACACTTCCGTTTCTGAAAACATCACTAAATCTCAGAGACGTAAATGACAGCCTGATGACATGAAAAAAATAAAGTAGTTGTGCGAAAATCGTGAATATCTGTGTCGTGTGGACCTTTTCAGAAGGGTTAGATTGTAGTTTTAATTTTTTGGTTATTTTTTTTCTCAAGTGAACCATATTTCTTGGCAAACTTCTTTTTTCATAACATTTAAATGAAGTTGATTTTTCGGTCTACAATTAGCTTGTTAATTAAAATCAGAAATGAGTCATCAAAGGTGATAATTTAAATAATGATTTATAAAGTGATTTTAGTGCTTTTACATCATAAAACACAAAGTAACTGTATATTATAACTGATGTGACACTTGGTAGATGTATTCAGTGGATGCAAGTAACTCTGTGATTTGTGGTCTTAGTGAGGTGAAATTATACACAAAGCTGGTCTTTATGTGTTTTCAAAACTGGACTTAATTGTGAGGTGGTCTTAATAGTGAAACTTGCAATAACAAGACATATAGAGATTTTTTTGGACTGAAATGATGCATGTCTCTGATTTAATAGCCCCTGATAAAGTTTTCCCCTACCACATATTTTAAAGTTGGTTTGTTTAAAGTACAGGCAAGTTTATGTCAATATGCGATACTTTTCCAGGTATAATCCATCTCACATTAATTTTTTCCCAATAAATGACCTGGCTTCTCAGTTACATAGAAATAAAGGGTTATAATATTTGGCAAATTATTAAAATGCTGAAAAACGGGCTATTGATGTGAATATCCAAAATTACTAAGGGCATGATACTAGTAATGTTCCACGATAAATGGGTATCAAATCAACACTCTTGAAGGGCACTGTGGACTCAAATACATGTATCACTAAATCAATCAACAACTTCTCAACGACCAAAGATTTGAAGTATATTTTGCCAGTATATCTTGCTTGGATGAAGAGTTATGGTGTTTGTTCATTTTTAAAGTCGTGGCCAACATCGATAAGGCCATAAATGTTGGAATTCTTCAAACATTTTCTTAAGAATTCTTTAGCCAAAAGGTTCAGGAACACCATATTTAGTCAATAGGATGCTGGGAAAAAATTATATCTGTGCTTTTTGTTATTTATTTTTTCAGATTAATAACATTGATCAAGTGTCATTGTCACAGGAGTCAAATGTTGTAAACATTTCTAATGTCTTGTAAATAACTTAATGGGCAAGAAATTTGATATTTGGTTAATAAAATGCAGGGATGACAGATTATCAACAATGATCTGGACCCATTTTCTGATGTAGATTGTGCAAAGAAATGGCCTTGGCACATATTTTAATGTCAGTTATGTGCATGTGATAAATTTGTCGGAAGAAGACATAGAAATGAAATGTAAGGCAGAAGTTAATTTTGAGCACTTTTAACAAATAATGGTGAAAAATTTCAATGTTATGATTGAAAGTATATTAAAAAGTTGAAAACTGTTGCTAGCATATTGAATGTTATCTTGAACCAAGGTTCTAACATAGCCTTTAGAATAAGATTGAGGTGGTCTGTTTTAGTTAAGGTGATGTGGAAATATCTGTCTTTACAGTATCTATCGAAATTTGGCATCAGCATCCTCATCAACTAATGCTCAGTGTGCCCAGCCACTGTACCTCAATGGCCGGTATGAAAGTCCTTGGAGGACATGGGAAATGCCATCATTTAGTACTCTAGGGAAGGTGTTACAGGAGAAGGACAATAGTTCTATACCCAGCCAACAGGTATGTCAATGCTGTAATAGGGAAGGTCTTACAGGAGAAGGACAATAGTTCTATACCCAGCCAACAGGTATGTCAATGCTGTAATAGGGAAGGTCTTACAGGAGGACCATAGTTCTATACCCAGTCAACAGGTATGTCAATGCTGTAACAGGGACGGTCTTACAGGAGGACCATAGTTCTATACCCAGTCAACAGGTATGTCAATGCTGTAATAGGGAGGTCTTACAGGAGGACCATATTTCTATACCCAGTCAACAGGTATATCAATGCTGTAATAGGGAGGTCTTACAGGAGGACCATAGTTCTATACCTAGTCAACAGGTATGTCAATGCTGTAATAGGGAAGGTCTTACAGGAGGACCATAGTTCTATACCCAGTCAACAGGTATGTCAATGCTGTAACAGGGAAGGTCTTACAGGAGGACCATAGTTCTATACCCAGCCAACAGGTATGTCAATGCTGTAATAGGGAAGGTCTTACAGGAGGACCATAGTTCTATACCCAGTCAACAGGTATGTCAATGCTGTAATAGGGAAGGTCTTACAGGAGGACCATAGTTCTATACCCAGTCAACAGGTATGTCAATGCTGTAACAGGGAAGGTCTTACAGGAGGACCATAGTTCTATACCCAGCCAACAGGTATGTCAATGCTGTAATAGGGAAGGTCTTATAGGAGGACCATAGTTCTATACCAAGTCAACAGGTATGTCAATGCTGTAACAGGGAAGGTCTTACAGGAGGACCATAGTTCTATACCCAGCCAACAGGTATGTCAATGCTGTAATAGGGAGGTCTTACAGGAGGACCATAGTTTTATACCCAGTCAACAGGTATGTCAATGCTGTAATAGGGAGGTCTTACAGGAGGACAATAGTTCTATACCCAGTCAACAGGTATGTCAATGCTGTAATAGGGAGGTCTTACAGGAGGACCATAGTTCTATACCCAGTCAACAGGTATGTCAATGCTGTAACAGGGAAGGTCTTACAGGAGGACCATAGTTCTATACCCAGCCAACAGGTATGTCAATGCTGTAATAGGGAAGGTCTTACAGGAGGACAATAGTTCTATACCCAGTCAACAGGTATGTCAATGCAGTAATAGGGAAGTCTTACAGGAGGACCATAGTTCTATACCCAGCCAACAGGTATGTCAATGCTGTAATAGGGAGGTCTTACAGGAGGATCATAGTTCTATACCCAGCCAACAGGTATGTCAATGCTGTAATAGGGAAGGTCTTACAGGAGAAGGGCCCTAGTTCTATACCCAGTCAACAGGTATGTCAATGCTGTAATAGGGAGGTCTTACAGGAGGAAAATAGTTGTATACCCAGCCAACAGGTATGTCAATGCTGTAATAGGGAAGGTCTTACAGGAGAAGGGCCCTAGTTCTATACCAAGTCAACAGGTATGTCAATGCTGTAATAGGGAGGTCTTACAGGAGGACAATAGTTCTATACCCAGTCAACAGGTATGTCAATGCTGTAATAGGGAAGGTCTTACAGGAGGACCATAGTTCTATACCCAGTCAACAGGTATGTCAATGCTGTAATAGGGAGGTCTTACAGGAGGACCATAATTCTATACCCAGCCAACAGGTATGTCAATGCTGTAATAGGGAAGGTCTTACAGGAGAAGGGCCATAGTTCTATACCAAGTCAACAGGTATGTCTATGATGTAACAGCGAAGGTTTTACAGGAGGACCATAGTTCTATACCCAGCCAACAGGTATGTCAATGCTGTAATAGGGAAAGTCTTATTGGAGAAGGACCATAGTATTGTTGTAATAAGGAAGGTCTTACAGAGGAAAGGTCATAGTTTAATACCTGGTTTTTAGACATTTAGCTATTGAAATGAATACATTTAGCAGATTTTACCTGTTGTAATACATCAAGTAAGCTGATTTTACCTGTTGTAATACATACACTAAGCAGATTTTACCTGTTGTACTACATACACTAAGCAGATTTTACCTGTTGTACTACATACACTAAGCAGATTTTACCTGTTGTAATACATACACTAAGCAGATTTTACCTGTTGTAATACATACACTAAGCAGATTTTACCTGTTGTAATACATACACTAAGCAGATTTTACCTGTTGTACTACATACACTAAGCAGATTTTACCTGTTGTAATACATACACTAAGCAGATTTTACCTGTTGTAATACATACAGTAAGCAGATTTTACCTGTTGTACTACATACACTAAGCAGATTTTACCTGTTGTACTACATACACTAAGCAGATTTTACCTGTTGTAATACATACACTAAGCAGATTTTACCTGTTGTAATACATACACTAAGCAGATTTTACCTGTTGTACTACATACACTAAGCAGATTTTACCTGTTGTAATACATACACTAAGCAGATTTTACCTGTTGTAATACATACACTAAGCAGATTTTACCTGTTGTAATACATACACTAAGCAGATTTTACCTGTTGTAATACATACACTAAGCAGATTTTACCTGTTGTAATACATACACTAAGCAGATTTTACCTGTTGTAATACATACACTAAGCAGATTTTACCTGTTGTACTACATACACTAAGCAGATTTTACCTGTTGTAATACATACACTAAGCAGATTTTACCTGTTGTACTACATACACTAAGCAGATTTTACCTGTTGTAATACATACACTAAGCAGATTTTACCTGTTGTAATACATACATTAAGCAGATTTTTTAACTGTTGTAATATATACTAAGAAGATTTTATCTGTTGCAATATATATATATATACAAAGCAAACTTTTTAGGTCATCTGACCCAAAAGGCCATGCATCATGGGATGCGTGTCTTGGGTCATGCATCATTTGTATACTTTTTCTTTAAAACCCTGTTCCTTTTTCATACCTCATTGTATTTCAATCAAATTTTGTCTGAAGCATCATTGGGTGATAGTTATTGTTTGCTACATTCAGAAGTTTGATTCAACCCCTAGGGGTGGAAAGATGGGGCCCCAAAGTCGGAGGTGCTGAAATTAGCTTTAAAACCCTACTCCTCCTTTCTGCCTGATGAATTTCAACAAACTTTGGCCTGATTCATCAGTTACGGTAGGCAATGAGACAGTAGGGGTAGGGGGGTGGGAGGTTTAGGGAGCGGGACCCCAAATGGGAATATTAGTCAATGATTTTGCTTCAAAACGCTGTTCTTCCTTATTGCTTGATTGGATTTATACCAAATGTGGTCTGAAATATCATCATGGGAATTCATCAGATTTGTCAGACCACCATCTGCAAATTCTGTGATTGTCCATCCATTCATCAATTGTCAGATAGTTATCAAGGGCCATGACCCTATTGTTAACTGTTGTAATACATATAGTAAGCAGACTCTAACTGATGACTTTATTTGCTATACAGGAATTGGACAAAACACTGCCAGTACTAACACCAAACAAGGCACTCTTGGCTAATCCTCCAGCCACTGGTATCCAGGCAACATGGCTTGGACATGCGAGTCTCCTGATTCAGATGAATGGTATCAATATACTGACTGATCCTGTATTCGGGGATACCACTTTTCCTATTCCAAGCATTTCACCAAGCAGCTTTAAAAGATACCGTCCGGTTGCCATGACAATAAGAGACCTTCCTCCTATACATGCTGTTTTAATTAGTCATAACCACTATGACCATCTTGATTACCCATCTGTTGTTGGATTAAATCGAAGGTTTGGGCATACCCTGCGTTGGTTGACACCAATGGGACTTAAGTCTTGGTTTAAAGACAGTGGTTGTGACAATGTCCGGGAGTTTACCTGGTGGGAGGAGGAGTTGTCTCCCCTAGGAGATGGAACAACCTTCACCTTTGTTCCTTCACAGCATTGGTGTAGGAGGGGAATTAAAGATTTCAATAAAGTAAGTGCTTAACCAATTTTGTTACTTAGGAAAGATTTTAGAGAAACCTTTTATGGAGGAAAGGTATCGGGGAAACTTTTTAATTAAGAAAAGATTTCAGGGAAAAGTTTTAATTAGGAAAGTAACAGGCAAACTTTTTAATTAGGAAAAAGTTTTAGGGGAAAATTTTTCCTTTGGAAAAGTTGAGAGAATCATTTAACTTAGGAAAAATTATAGAGAAACTTTTTAGTTAGGAAATGATATAGGGAAACTTTTAACCTATAATTGGTTACATGGAACTTTTTAGCTCACCTGGCCTGAAGATCAAATTAGTTAAAACATTTAAACGAGTACTTCTTATTGAACCAAAAAAGGACCAAAGGCATGATATTAGGCTAGTATGTTCCCATGATGAAGCCCAACGAAGTTGCAAAAATAAATGACCTTGCCCTTTTTTTAAGGTCACAGGGGTCAAATATGTTAAAACATATAAATGACTTCTTCTCATGAACTAAAAGGCCTAGAGGCATGATATTTAGCTGGTATGTTCTTAGGATGAAGCCTGACAAAGTTTAGGAAAAGAAATTACCTTGATGTATATTCAAGGTTACAAGGGTCAAATTTATTGAAACATTTAAACAACTTCTTTTTATGAACTCATAGGCCTAGAGGCATAACATATGGCCGGATTGTTCTTAGGATAAAGCCTGAAAAAGTGTATGAAAAGATATGACCTTGACTGATATTCAAGTTCACAGGTGTCAAATTTGTTTAAACACTTCTTCTCATGAACTTAAATGCTGAGAGGCATAATATTTGACTGGTATATATATATATCAGGTGGGCACTGCAGGCCCATTGTTAACTTAAGAAATGTTACAGTGAAACACCAGTTTTTTTTTATATATTAATGGAAATAACCTTTGGTTAAAGTGTTACTGTATACAATACAGTAATTACTTGGTGTATGAATGTGTCTGTAGTACCGTGGATCTGATAAATATCTAAGTCTGTAAGTCACGCCAAACATCAGGTTCTACACTTAATTTGATTTTGGTGGTCATCAGTCAAGGTAAATGGTTGACCATCAGTTGTAGCTCTTTTTTGTTTTTCTTACTTTCAAACTTTATTGCTTTGACCACTAACATTTTGATATCTGGTCATCTAATTTAATTTGCAAACATTAATTGACTAACAGACATTTGAATGTGGTAATATTTACAGGTATTGTGGGGTGGATGGGTCCTGAGGAAGGGAGACACCAGTTTTTACTTTGTTGGAGACACTGCTTATTGTGATGTTTTCTCACAAATTGGTCATCTGTATGGTCCATTTACCCTGGCAGCTATTCCTATAGGAGCCTACGAACCAAGGTAAGGCTACACATAAATGACAGACAGTCCAATCGGACCAAAATCTAAAGTAATCTACAGGTAAATTTTTACCCTGACAAACATTCCTATAGGAGCCTACGAACCAAGATAAGGCTACACATGAATGACAGACAGTCCAATCGGACCATTAATCTACAGTAAAACTACAGGTAAATTTTCACCCTGGCAGCCATTCCTATAGGAGCCTACGAACCAAGGTAAGGATACAGGTATGCCTTTACCCTGACAGACATTCCTTTAGGGACTTGCGCACCAAGGTAAGGATACAGGTATGCCTTCACCTTGAAAGACATTCCTATAGGGACTTAGGCACCAAGGTAAGGATACAGGTATGCCTTCACCCTGACAGACATTCCTATATAGGGTTATGATCTAAGGTAAGGATACAGGTATGCCTTCACCTTAACAAACATTCCTGTAGGGAGTTACGCACCAAGGTAAGGATACAGGTATGCCTTCACCCTAACAGACATTCCTGTAGGGACTTACGCACCAAAGTTAGGATACAGGTATGCCTTCACCCTAACAGACATTCCTGTAAGGACTTATGAAGGTAAGGATACAGGTAAATTTTCACCCTAACAGACATTCCTGTAGGGACTTATGCACCAAGGTAAGGATACAGGTATACCTTCACCCTGACATACATTCCTGTATGGGGCTATGATCCAAGGTCAAACTGCAATCAAATCTTCATCATGACCGATATTCCTATAGGGGCCTATGATCTAAGGTCATCCACAAGACATTCATGATAATTTTTTATTATTCTTCATTTTAATTATTTTATTTTAACAGACAAAATAAAAAACTTGTTTTTTAATTTTATAGAAGTTTTTTACTGAGAGTATAATGTAACAAGTGATGGTTGTCTTTCCCTCTAGGTGGTTTATGAAAATGAGTCACATCAATCCAGAGGAGGCAGTTGGAGTACACAAGATGATACGATCTGAGAACTCTATAGGCATACATTGGGGAACCTTCAAACTGACCACAGAGGTAAGGAGATATAGAGATGTTTTTAAGTATAAGGCATTATACTGAAACCATACCTGTATATTACTGTTACACCATCCCCTGTTAATACCTGCAGGTTACATATGGAATTTATGAAAGAGTTCATTTGTCTATTTTTGCTCAATCGTATCAGCACAGGCAAATTTATCAAATTAATATAAACATGTATACATATATATATATATAACTGTTAAGTTATTTCAAGTATACTCAATATTTGTAGAATATTGGATTTTTTCTTCTTTTCTGGTACATGTATTAATTGAATAGATCTGTTACAATACTTAATGTGACAGTCACATGATCAGTGAGTTATTTATAGAATTTCATTGGTAACTATGCACCTGTATTATAATCTGTGTAAATCGCCAACTGAAGAATATCTTCAGTAACAATACAGTAGATTGTTGTGGTATGTTTAATGCCTATCTAATATCACCATTATAATGTGCGTTTCAGTTCTACCTGGAGCCCAGAGACAAATTGAAAGAAGAGTTAGAGAGAGAGAATATATCTTTGGATCAGTTTACAACTATGTCACATGGAGAAACGAGACATTTTACCAATCATTTGTCCTGATGAAGGTGCAGGTTATAGGACAGATGTATTCTTGGGTAATTGATATGACTGTGAGAACAACAAAGCTTCCAAAATGTATGAGAATCAAAAGTCATCATCTTTTTCATGTCATAGGTTGTATGACAAAGGCAAACATGTCATGAAAAGTAAAAGTTTCCTCAAGGTTCAAAAGTAAAAGTCATTGTCATGTTACCATGACACAGATTGTATGACAAAGGCAGATATGTTGATGTCATGAAAATTCAAAGCTTCCTCAAGGTACAAAACCAAAAGTCATTGTCATGTTTATCACGTCACAGATCATAGGACAAAGGCAGATATGTCATGAAAACTAAATACCTGAGTATACAAAATATTTAACTGTTGTTATCACTAAAGTGATTAAGCTGATGCCCTGAATTGTTAAGATGATATTGTTTTATATAACTTGAATACAAGCATCACTTTTAAGTTAAAGGTACATACTTTGTCAAAGTGTCAAGGGAATTTCCTTTCTAAAAGCTTATAAGGTAGAGGCCATAGATTGTTCTGGTCACTTATGAGTCATATGGTGTTCAAGAATTATATTATTATGTAACACAGCTAAAACACTTTCCATAATATACCGCACGGCTAGAGAGATCGTCTCTTTAGTTTTAACATTTAAACTTAACGCTAGTAAGCCAGAAGTCCTAGGTTCAAATCCTATTTATCAATGACAATATGGTAGAGTACTCAGCTTGTGAACCATTGGTTGTTCAGGTTTGATACTTATTTGGTAGAGTGTCAGGCTTGTGAACCTTCAGTTGTTCAGGTTTGATACTTATTTGGTAGAATGTCAAGCTTGTGAACCACTGGTTGTTCAGGTTTGATACTTATTTGGTAGAGTGTCAGGCTTGTGAACCATTGGTTGTACAGGTTTGATACTTATTTGGTAGAGTGTCAGGCTTGTGAACCATTGGTTGTTCAGGTTTGATACTTATTTGGTAGAGTGTCAGGCTTGTGAACTTTCAGTTGTTCAGGTTTAATACTTATTTGGTAGAGTGTCAGGCTCGTGAACCATTGGTTGTTCAGGTTTGATACTTATTTGGTAGAGTGTCAGGTTTGTGAACCATTGGTTGTTCTGGTTTGATACTTATTTGGTAGAGTACCAAGCTTGTGAACCATTGGTTGTATAAGGACCACTGTCATAATTACAAACATTTTATATTACTAAACATAGCTCTTTTAAGCAATGATGGAAAGTAAACCTTTCATATTGTATAGAGGTATCTCCCAGTGTTACACAAAAACAATATCACAGAAAACTTAGGTAACTACCTAGATCTAATGTCTAAACTGCCTTCGTTACATCATATATTTAGAAGGGAGATAAGTTTTTTTCTCCTCAAAGCGTTATAATGATCTTATATATGTTTCCAGTCATTTGAAGTTTATGAAAGAAATCATAGAATTATTTTTCCATTTTACCTTGCCTTTGTAAATTGTTATTCTTTGATCTCACATGAAATGAAAGCGTAAACTTCTGTTGATTATGTCATAGTTATATTTTTGTCACATTGCATCTGATGTCAAAAAGTTATGTCTCCCCCAAAACAACAGGAATCTTCAGCCAATCACAGTTGGTTTAGGTGTTATTACATGTGTAGTCAGAACAATATTAATTGATGGATGTTAGTACACTCATAACAAAGTTAATGTGATACATGTATCCACAGGTAGTAGCATTATTTTTTTTATAATTGCCATCTTTACAAATTATGTGCCATATCTGAAAAAATATATTATCTGTTCAGACACAGATGACAAATGGTGGCAGCTTTCTTACCAGTAATTATGTCAGTTCTACTTATCACTTCCTACTTACCTAAAATAAACCCGGTGCTTGGTAATAAAGATGTTATGTGTTGGCTCCCTCTTAGCAAGATAAATACAGTAACAAACTTGCCAATATATTACTGATAGACTTTTCATTAGTTGTAAATATGATGACCCTGATTGTTCTTGGTTACAGATAACAAGTGGTCAGTGAAAATTTTCAAATATATATCAAATTAGAAAAAAAAATTAGCATTTCACAAAATTTGATCAAGTGAAGCACTAAGATTGATATATTTTTGAGTGTTACTTTTGCCCTTAACACTCTTGTTTTTTCGGAGGCTACAGTTTTAAATACTTATTTAAAGGGAGAATTGTAGATCATATACTTATTACAGTAAGCAAGATCAATATTTGATCAGTTTTATATGTTGTATTTTTATGTAACTGTGCCTTATTTAAGTCTTTACATTGATGATGATGATGATGATGATGATGATGATGATGATGATGATGATGATGATGATGATGATTGATGATGATGATGATGATGATGATGATTGATGATGATGATGATTAAGCACCTTTAAAAATTTAATGAATTGTTTTGTTAGTAAAATTCTTCTGTTTTTGCATTTTTAATTTTCCATGTAAAAAGTAGATATGATTAATGGGCTGGTTGAACTGCTTTTTACAAATAAAATGTAGATTTTCTGATTTAAGTGTGATGTTCTCTTTTTTTACAGTGTTTGTCCAAGATTTTTTAATTACATATGTATGGCAGGCTAAGCTGTCATTAAGCAATGTATCAATGTTGATCAGTTTCTTGATAAAAAATACCGTAAGTAAGATATCTTAATTTGTCAAATAAGCTATTTGTTTGTAAGATGACTAGGTAAAAGTTGATATCTTATTTAATATCCATTATATAAGATACCTAATTTACAAATAAACATGAATCCAATTGATTATATCATATATATTATAAGAAAAATTAAACTAGATATTTGATTTATTAAATAAGATATCTTGTTTCTTTTCTTATAAAGGAAATTTGATAAGATTATAAAAAAAACAAGATTTTCATGATCCCTACAAATAAGGAAAATTTTTCAAACGTATGCTGTCATTGTTATGTCAAATTTGTCTTCATAGCACATGGTTTTAGGGCAGAAGAAAGATTGGTGGAGACAACCGCCTTCAACTCAGCATCATGTTCATCATGTCCTTTTAATGCACACAGTGATATTGTCTATGAAAGAACAAATTGAACCAGTTTACAACTGCAATTTTTTATCACTTCCTCTCATACGCACATCAATTGCTGTCAGTTCTAAGGGAGGGTTTATTGTCTCAGATTTAAATTTAATCCTTACTTAAAAAAAAATAAAATATCTAATTTAATTTGAATTATGACATCTAAAATAACAAATTGAATATCTCATTTAATAAAATGTAATCTTATCATAACATATCTGATGTATTAAATGAAATATCCTAAAGATTTCATTAATTCAATAAGATATCATATTTAGTAAATAAGGTATATTTCCGAAGAAAATTTAATAAGACATCTAATAGAGTAAATAAGTTAAATATGGGAAGTGGGAAACAGTTAATCATGTGGGTAACAGGTATTTGCCAATAAAGATAAAGTTTGAATTGTGGTATATATATATTCGGTATACTATGTGGAGAAAAATTTCATGAAAAATAAACAGAATGCCTTCCCATATTCTTGCAATTGTTAGAGAAAACTAATCCTTATATAGAATCACAATGTCTGTAAGATTACAATAGAAAAGTTATTCGAACAGGTCCTTTAGATAGTTAATGGTAGAATAAAAAACATTCCCATAATGCAAAGTTTTGTGTACAGCCTATGATATAATTCATTAGTGAATTACATTGTTCCATTAATGTATTGGTAAGGCCCAAGTTCTATCTTTGGATATCTTTGTGGAAATATTTTTCCCAAACAAACTTTACAAATATTTTGTTGTCATCCAATATGAAAATGATACTCCACACATGGTAATTTATTAAACAATCATTAGAGCTGAGAAAGGCATGCAGGCCTACACCTATTATTATTTGGCTAAAACTATTTTCTACTTTTGTAATCTTTGATACATCTTTTCTATGTTGTTAGCCTTCAAATTACACATGTAATTACAATTGTGCTGATAAAGTTTAATTGAATGTATTCTCTCCAATGCTAGCATAATTGCCCTCATTTTTTATAATTATATCCGACGGGCATTATAATTCGAGGTTGTTAAAGATATGACACCGCATACATGGGTCGGAAGTTTCAATATTGTGAGCATGCGTGTTTAGAAGAAGAAAGCAACATGGCCGCCCGACTCTTCCGAGTTGCCAATCCGGCATCGAAATACCTCACTATCTCAAAACAGGTTGTTATTTATGGGAACGGGCTATTCCAGTTGATTCAGTGATCACATGTTACTGTGTGACTTCATTTGAATTAGCGAATGGTTAGGTTAAGAGAGAGTTTTACATGTACCGGTGTGAAGGTCACCGAAGTCGTGATGATCACAATTCGTAGAGACGATCGGTGTTCCCTGCCGACCTACCAGACTCATTCTCTCCATCGTTTCTGTATATTATCACGTTGCACAAACAAAATATAACTAATCAAAACTGATAAGTTTTAAGATGATGATGATGATTTTCATTCATTCTGTGTAATGAATATACTGACAGACGAGGCTACACCTGTGATTATATAAAAATCGTCTTGGTGATTGACTGTCAACGTAATGTGCAGTGTAATTCAATGGTAGTTATAAAAAGGTAGTAATGTACAGGTGATTGATTATACATTTAGAATGTACTACTAGCCTTACTCCACTGTGTGGTGCTCTGGACTCGCCATAACTTCGTTGTTAACGAATCATTTGTGGAGGAACAGGTGGTATTTGCATGGCCATCTTTTGAAAATCATGGCTAAAATGCCATGTGTTAGCGGGTGCTAGGGAAAAAGAAGAAGATAAAAGATATTCATACGTTTGGAAGCAATATGTTATTGACGTTATATCTGGAGGCATTCTATTCCAGACAACTAGGTACATTGGAAGAATTGGTTTTAGTTTGCCTCTGTTATGTATAGTTGTGTAGTGTTGTCAGTCAAATTGCTTTCCATCTGTTTTCAAGTGACCACCTGTAAAGATGTTAAGCATGTAGTCAACACTGTCCAGGTCTGGATGTTTATTTCCTTTTGTAATAGACAGATCAGAAAACCAGACTGGCTGATATGTGATCATCATGCATTTTTATGATCATTTTCACTTTGAATGGTTTGTTATTGTAACAGATCTTTCTCAAATATCATATCTTTGTTACCCTTACTCCCTAGTTGTGTCCTTTTGAACTTCCGACTAATCAGGAAAACAAAATGGCTGAGAGGAAATGTCCAACCATCTTGGTTTTGACAGTTTACAATTGTTGTCACTATTTCTTAAGGGGGACTTTAAAATTTCATATAATTAGAGGAAAGAATAGAAAAGAAAGGAAAAGAACAAATGAAGGCCAAACAATGGTTGGCACCAACGCAAGATCCTTTTGAGATCTTCTGTTAATGTATCCATATGTTGCCACTTCATGATGAAACATAGTTCTATTTTCATGAACATAACCATAGTTACAGATTTATTAAGCAGGTATTAAAGCAGGTATCAAGTAAAGGACTTGTATTCAACACATCGCTTTGGTATATCTAGCACATCATGTAATTCAGTTTTACAGCATGTTTGATATTTTATTCACTGTCATTGTAACAACTTTTTCAGCTTCCTGTTGCAAGACGTTGCTTTACTCCATACCAGCAAGCTCTTCTGAACATACCTGAGACGAAAGTAACCACTCTTGATAATGGTCTGAAAGTGGCCACTGAAGATTCGGGCAGTCCTACGTGTACTGTAAGTTTGTGTGTGGTGTTTTTCTGATTTTGAAAGTATTGTGAAAAATTTATGTACACATAATCTACCAACTCAAGTTAGTTAATCCATTTTAGTGCACTTGCTTTTACCATTCAGTCACCTTCGCCCCGCCCTGATCTTATTGGTCTATATGTATTTTGACTATTGTATATGGGGAAACAGTGGCTTTATTTTTTTTTATTTTTGCACATTAAAATGTCTATCTTTATTCAGTATTCAGTTTGCCCTAAAAGCAATATCATGAATCTCAGCTTTAATTAAAAAAAAATTACCTTTTTTAATGTTCATCGTATCGACAACAGGGATAGTTAAGCTGCAAATAAGGTTTCTTTTATACAGTATTAAAGGAACTGATCAACTTCAAAATGAACAACTCATTGTCCACACCATTGTAATTTCTGTAGTATGTTTTCTACATTTATAATAAATGTATATCATACATTTGTGTATGAAAAAAATTTTGGGAAGAAAAGAAATAATTTAAGATACATTTATATTTACTGGTGATTAATTTTGTGTAATCTTTCTTGCTTATTACAGGTAGGTGTTTGGATTGATGCTGGGAGCCGATGTGAAAATGAAAAGAACAATGGGGTTGCTCATTTCCTGGAGCATATGTCATTTAAGGTAGTTTTTGATATTAGAAAGTCAAGAGCTTTGAGATGTACGTTATTGTAGGATAAAAAAGTAATTGATATATGCTCATTAGTTTTATATCGTAGGTTGTAAATTGAATCTTGCATGGTTTGCAGTTTTGTGTTGATGTTTTGGTCACATTTACATGACTTCCTATAAATAGAAATACAAGTATTAAAGATCAGTTTATTATGCCAGATAAGACTAAGTCATTATCAATGTCTGCCTTTTTGTCAATTATGATTTAAAATAATATCGTTGAAAAACTTTATGTATAGAATCAAGTGTCTTTATTTTCTAAGATTAGATTGCCTGAGTGACGATCATGAGATTTTCCTGCACCAGAAAAATATGATAAAAATGAGTGTGTTAAATTCTCAATGACATGAAATGTTCATTACCCATTTATAATTTCAGATAGCTAAATATGTTTGATATTCATTTAGCTATTAATTAATTTGTGGTTACATCTCAGTAATATTTTGTGTGTTTTGATTGGTAGGGAACTACAAAAAGATCCCGACACGATCTAGAACTTGAGGTTGAGAACATGGGCGCCCACCTGAATGCCTATACATCAAGAGAGCAGACTGTCTACTACGCTAAATCCTTTTCCAAAGACCTTGGAAAATGTACAGCACCTTAATTACATTTTTATTATCTAAAATAATATTAGAGAGAACCAACACTCTTTAGGTCGTTGAAAGAGATAATGTTCCTGGATGGATACCCAATGGTATTCACTAGAGATCCTGTGATGTGGGTAACATAATGTGAAAATAAAGGATTCTCAACATCCAAGAACGGCTGTTTATCTTTATTATTGGCACATTGTCGACATGTTTCGACGCGACAATGTGCCAATAATAAAGATAAACAGCCGTTCTTGGATGTTGAGAATCCTTTATTTTCACATTATTTTTATTATCTGTAATAAGTACATGTATACTACCCAGGTCATTTGACAATTATTACATTATGATGTCAGTTTTGTGAGTGCTACAACAAGAATCATTTCACTGGGTTTGCATTAAGCAGATTTAAAACAAATTATGATGAATATCACAAAGATTAATGTGCTAATCTATTACAGTATGATACTATTGATATGCGATATCAACTTAGAATCAATATTAGGTTTGAATTGATGGGATTCAGAATGTTGATGTCATACAGTTAAGTTTCTTATAGCCCAATTTGTTTTTCAGCTGTGGAGATCCTTTCTGACATCATCCAGAACAGCAAATTAGGCAATGCAGATATAGAGAGTGAAAGACACACTATTTTGAGAGAAATGCAGGTAATGGTGCTCTGCAGCGGGCTAGCATGTTCTGTTCTATGTAAAGTTCACTTTTTATACATGCTTTCTAGATTTCTGTCATCTTAATATATATCTTTCATAATATACCTGTGTTAGATAGTTACAGTCATATCACTTGGATTGAATCTGAGGTCATCCCCTGTCCCCTGGGACTTAATGTCCTGGGTCATTTGAAATAATTACATGGCAAATATTGGAATCCCAAATTTGTTGCAATACTTTCATGTGTCAATGTTCCTGCTTTCCACTTCATCACTACATATTCTTTTACTGTCTGTTGACTCAGTTCATTGGACAAGGGGCATTGGGTGATGTTTCCACATAAAAATGATGTGCTCACTTGCTCTAGTCATTCCTATGTGCAAAGTACCAATAATAGTTATTTCGTTAATCACAATACATTGTTTACCGGAAGAAGAAATCAATTTTTGTGACTATTCATAACCAACCATACTCTTTACAGGAAGTAGAAACCAACCTCCAGGAGGTCGTCTTTGACCACCTTCATGCCGTGGCCTACCAAGGCACACCCCTTGGACGTACCATCCTGGGGCCAACAGAAAACATATTGTAAGTTTTTACCATAGTCATAGCTTGGATGCTTTCTGCTCCTGATTCATTGCGTCTTTAATTAGTGTCCTTCATCTGTCCTATAGTAATCAGATTGTCTGACTGTTTCTCCATCAGTCTGTCTCTTGTTGTTTCGATGCAATATCAGTTCTGTAAAGTTCTGTCAGGCCAATAGTTTCCAAATTTACCCAGTGCTCTGGTCTCTGGTCAGAGCTCACCTTCAGAGGAAGATCAAGGTCACCATTACAATGGATAGATATGGCAAAAATATATATCTGAATGTTACTGGTAAATGTGTAATTAAGACTTAATGAAGTATAATGGACAGGAATTGAATGAAGAATGACAAACCTCAGGTCAAGGTCTAGAGATCAAAGGTCATCAGGTCGATGGTCAAGGTCAAATTTGAATTTTTTACTTATAATTATTTTGTTATGACACAATCACAGTTAATTAAAATCAAATGAGATGTCACAGGTTAAGATCACTTGGTCTAAGATGAAAGTCAAATTTGAAATATTCATAGTTTACAGGTAAAAATATTGTGTCAATGAAGCAAAAAACAAACATTCAGTGTCAGTATAACACTTGGGTTTAGAGATTATATAGGACCCTTCATGCCATGCGTCAGTACTGTAGTTAATACAGCTTTTTAGTCTCTGTTTTAGTACTTCTGTGATGTCCCCTTTTCAAAACATGCTGTTAGAATTTTTTTCTCGTGGGAATTTTAAGGTGTTGCAAGTTGCAAGGTCGCTACTTTATATAGCCTCTCAGTATTTCTCCTTTCATTGGTTCTGATACAAGAGTTATTGTAAAGGTCTCCAGTAAAATAGTATTTTAAATGTGATGAGTTGATATTGTATTGACCTTTCTGTTTAGTTGAATCGTTTACATTGTAGGTCTATCAATAGGAATGACATTCAGGAGTTTGTGAGGCATCATTACTCCCCAGATCGCATGGTACTGGCTGGGGCAGGAGGTAAGTTCTCACCAGAATATATGGTACTGGCTGGGGCAGGAGGTAAATTCTCACCATAGTATATGGTACTGGCTGGGGCAGGAGGTAAGTTCTCACCATAATATATGGTACTGGCTGGGGCAGGAGGTAAATTCTCACCATAATATATGGTACTGGCTGGGGCAGGAGGTAAGCTCTCACCAGAATATATGGTACTGGCTGGGGCAGGAGGTAAATTCTCACCATAATATATGGTACTAGCTAGAGATTTAGGTAAGTACCCACCAGAACATATAGTAAGGGTAAACTGAAGCTATTGGAAAGTTCTCACCAGGATCAATAACTGGGACCAGAGATAAGTACCCACCAGAAAGTGTGGTACTATCTGGAGCCAGAGGTAAGTGATGCAAAGTCATAGCGACTGCTGCCAGATCATCACCAAAAATGTGGAGTTGATGGCTGAGTTAACAGAACTTCTATACAGGTCCAAATGGATTAATTGTAAAGAAAACATCAAAGAGATATTTAAACATTGGAAGTTTTATATGAAATGAGAATCATTATGGCAGTGTAGACCTGTATTTTATATGATTTTGAATATTGATAATAACAAAAATACTGCGACGTGATTTGTTCATGAGATAAAATAAGGAAAACAATGTAAGAAACACCTGATATAAAGTAGAATCTGATTAATAACAATCGGACCATTGTCCCTCAATACTTCAGTATATTTAACATAGAAAAGAACAACATTAGTGCATATGAAAATGAATTGAAAGAAAAAAAATATATCAAGTTTTTAGATTACAGTATTTCATTTCTTTCAAATGAATGAGTCTCTCACATGTATATGTAGTGTGTGTGCTCATCGTGCAGTGAATGATTCTTAAAATAAAATATTTCCAGATCACAACAAGTGGTTTTATTCATCGTGGAATTGTTATACATTGTATTCATTGCATAGGATATTACCAAATATTTCACATCACTATCAAGCAGACATTCATTGTATCATTCACATTACTGGACTCCACACTGAATCGCAACTTTCACTCCAGAATGTTCCATTCATTTACAATTAATGATGAAAATAAAACATATCTAGACAATGAAAGACACTTACAAATATTTGTATTTGTAGTAAAAAACTGTTTAAACATTTTAAAAACAACCAACAACATCATACTAACAATAAAATCCTGCTGTATACAAGGGAGATAACTCTGGTTAGATTGGCTGATTGACTGAACTTAATGTTCAGAAAACTTGTAGACAACTTTGACCAAGAACAAAGGTGTCTAAATTATTGAGAATATGGAACTAGCTGGAGCAAGCACATATGTATCTTAGGTAAGAGGTAAGAACTAACTAGAACTTCGTATACTAACTGTGACAGGAAGTAAGCTGGGACCAGAGGTAAGTAATCACCAGAATGTGCAGTACTTCAAAATGTATGGTACTAATTGAAGACCTATCGCTTCATAATTTTATGTCACTGTAAGTTCCAAATTTGAAATTTTCAATCTTGTGTCATTCTACATTTTATCAAAAAGTTAAGCCAAGTTATTATAAACATGCTTATATCTAAACATAGCAGTGATGTTTAACATTTTTATTGGAGAATCTTTTATACAAACATGTATTGTATCTGTAGTAAAAGAAATTACTTTCTATATGTGTATTGTTTGTGTTACAGGAGTGAATCATGACGATTTAGTGAAGTTTGCCAACCAACACTTTGGCAATTTAAAAGTTGTTGATGAAATCAGTAATATCGAACCTAGAAATCCCTGTAGATTTTCAGGGAGTGAGGTAAGTCTTATTTTTTGTCAAGCTGAATCATGAATCATGACGTGCATACTCTGCTGTTTACTGCAAAAGGGGTCATTATGTGAAACTTCATTCTTCCAAACTGGGACAATAGCAAAATATTAGCCCCTCAAAATCAAGCTTCTATACAGTATCAAAATGATGCAGTTTAGAGCAGGGCACAAGCAAGGAGTTTATCTCTTGTTGTTTATCACACAGTTGGGATGTGTAATACAATATGATGTTTACTATTTACGCATCTATTAAGTTTCATATAATTATAGTTTAACTTTGATCTTTTCTTATATAAGTTTACTTTTATCATTTAAGGTGCGTGTGAGGGATAATAACATGCCCTTGCTACACTTTGCCATTGCTGTAGAGGGCTGTGGCTGGGCAAACCCAGACAACATACCCCTTCAAATTGCCAACACACTGATTGGACAATATGACCGCTCAATGGTTGGAGGCATGAACCTGTCGAATCCTTTTGTATCCAACTGTGCTGCCATGAACCTGTGCCACAGCTTTCAGTCCTTTAACACTTGTTATACAGACACCGGTCTCTGGTGAGTATCTTTCACAAATTCTTATTTAATTCACAGTTTCAAATCATATATATACTAGGTACTTAATACAGCAGTGTTTTTATTGATTGTGAATGTAGCGAAAATACATTCCCTGCAAACCAAACTTTCTGACATTTGTGTGATGACCTTTCTGACATTTGTGTGATGACCTCCAAACTTTCTTACATTTGTGTGATGACCTCCAAACTTTCTGACATTTGTGTGATGACCTCCAAACTCTCTGACATTTGTGTAATGACCTCCAAACTTTCCGACAATGATGTCATGACCTGGTGTGATGATCTCCAGTCTTTCTGTTCTTTGGGAGGTGACCTAAACAACTTTGTGAGGTCTGTGTGATAATCTAGCTGATTGCCGTTTTTGTGATAACCTTCAAACTTTCTGATATTCTATGTGCTGTTTACAGGGGATGCTATGTGGTGTGTGAAGGACAAAATGCTGAATTGATGATGAAGGAGCTTCAGAACGAATGGTATGTATCACACTATTCAGCAATGTAAATGATAGATGGCTGAACTGGCTCCACCCAGAAGATTTACTTTCATTCCCTATAAATAAATGGAATATTTGTCATCCTTCAACTTTATTGCTGTTATGTTGATATTGTGTGTTTTTGAATTTATGAAACTGAAATTTAAATTTACCATGTTGATAACTATTACAAGTGGTTACAAATTTAGCAAAATGTCTGATAACATTTTAAAATATGGTTTTGGGTTTAATGGTATACACTGTAAGCGACTACCTGGAAATATTTAAACAGGGAACCTTTTCACTTTCAGTTTGCAAATAGCATGCCAAATATTGCAATTTGAGTATTTGACAGTCACTTGTGTTTACCTAGAGTTATGTGTTGAGGTCTGCCATTCTGTATGTATACCTTGTTCTTGTAGGATCAGATTATGTAACAGTTTGACAGACTTTGAGGTAGACCGAGCCAAGAATCTACTGAGGATCAGCATGCTGCTCCATCTGGATGGCACACAGCCTATATGTGAAGATATTGGAAGGTGCTTAGATACTAAAACATGCTCACTAGTCCCAGTGTGACCCAGAGAATTGTTGACTAGTCCTTGTGTGTGACTAAAAGACAGTTATGTTCTCCCCTCCCAGTGTATGACTAGAAAGATTTTTTTTGCATTCTCCCATTCCAGTATGTGTTCTGGAGAGTTATGTTGTCTAGTCCTAGTGTGCGACTGGAAGAATATTGTACTCCACCCCAAGTGTGTGACAGTTGTGTCCTCTAGTACCAGTTTGTAACCAGTAGACAGTTGTGCACTCTAGTCTAAGTGAAAAAGTTTTCTTCCCATGGATATGAAAAGTAGGAGAGAGAGCTGTGTGGTCCAGTGATTATTGTGATGTTCAGTCCCATTCATACCAAAATACTGCTGTTCCTGTTGAAGTAGTTTTTAGTATGATGTATATTCATGCCTCTGATGATTATAATAGTAACTTTATAAAACTTATTTTATGTATTATATTGCCTTGTAACAAATTTTTTTTTTTTTGTAGACAACTTCTGTGTTATGGCCGCAGGTTGGATCTGGCCGAGTTAGAAGCTAGAATAATGGTGAGTAAAATGGATTTTATCATTGTATCTAGGCCAAATAATGTACATTTGTTTGTCTACCATCATAATATGGCTGTCAATTCACTCCACCTCCATGGCTTAGAAACTGGATGGAAGTCGCATATAGGTGTCATTTGTTTCCATTTCGTTAAGTTGAACCTTGCCTCCTAATATCTTTGGAATGCTATCGCATACATTTTTTAAAAATTGAAATACAGATGGACTTTCTCGTACTTGAACAGTCCTGCCAGTAGAATATGTAAAGATAGTTAATGGAGTAAGACTTAACTGTACACAGGGTAGCTAAAAGTGTTCATCCCTGGATTTAAATTGGTAAAATTGAGGATAGCGGTTCCAAGGAAAAATGCAGAGGACTAAGGCTTTTGAGGGTTATTTTCAAAAGACTTGTGAAAAATGTTTTGTTTCTCACTTATGTGTAAAATACAAGGTATTATAGAACATATAGAAAATAAATCTAAAACAGAAAATCTGTTGAAATAACACTTTTTATGTTGTATACAAAGATTGTGAAGTCTTGCATGGCTGATCATAGGTGAAAATTTGACTGTCCAAGATAGCTTGACAATTTTAGTAGGGGAAAGAGATAGATGTTGTCCACACTATATATTGGAGATAGGTAAAATAAAGTTAGCCATTTTAAGACCAATAGATTTTGTGTATTAACTACAAAATTCACCAAGATACTTTCGAACTTTCGGCAATCTTAAAACTTTGGTATTGTCACTGAATTTATCAGAAGAATCTGTTCTTTTTCAGGGTACAAGTGCCGCTGAAGTGAAAAGGGTGTGCAAGGAGTATGTATACAACATGTGTCCAGCTATAGCAGCAGTAGGTAAGTTATCCCCAACATCGTTCATGACCCACAGGTGGGATTATTTTGTTGGTATGGAGAGTCTACCGCAAGTGGAAAATATCAGATTTTTTATTCAGCCACAAGTATGTGTGAAATTAATAATTTTTCCTTTTCATGTAATGTAAAATTTGTAGTTCCATTTTGTTTCTGCATGTAAAAGATGTTTGTAAAGTAAACATGTTGTTTGTAAAGTAAACATGATTGTTTGTACTGAAACTATCTTTACTCTTAGAGGGTATGTCTATGTCTCTGTTGACACTCAACTGATAACTGCTTTTATAATATATCAGTCTATCTTCACACTGCAATAATTTGTATGTGAATCTGAAATTTGCATAATTGGTGATTTATCTGAAAGATGAAAAGGGATATTACAGAGATGATAAATACTGTATACACAGGAAAACATTTGCCCTGGTGTTTTTCAGTTTTGCAGAAAACTTTTTCACCAAAGTTTACCCAATATACTGTACAAAAACATACATTCCAGCTTACTATCAATCTGGAGACAAACTTCTAGTTTCAACCTCTTTGTTGGAAGTTAAATTGTATTTTGATAAATTTTCATATTCAGAACCATGTTCCAATATACATATACTAGTGATAGTACAGCTATCCAACTTATCTTCCATTTATCCTCAGGTCCTGTTGAAGGGTTACCCGATTATGACAGAATTCGCTCCCAGATGTACAAATTGAGGATGTAGGGAGTATAATTGAAAATAGTGCTGAAAAGACTTTACAGTGATTCAATGTTCAGTGGAAGTGTGGACTTTACTACCAGTAACTGTTGATGGCTAGTACTACCAAGGAACTGTTGATGGCTATCTTCTTCTCAGTCATCTATGGTAGATATTTAAGATCTTGCGTGTGAAAGTTGTTATGATTAAATGTATTTAAAACTTTTAATTGTATTTATCGTTTGTATGGAATTGATCATCAGTGATTACTGATTTAGGCGTGGATTTTAAGTATTCCACTAGTCAGCAAACTTAATCCTGGATAATTAAACTTGTCAATAAACATGCATGTAGGACCCAGGTCTGTATGATACAGGACGTGTCATGGCTATTCTAGAAATCTATATAGGGTGGGGCACTGATTTGGGTGGTGGAAAAGTTGTCTGTAAACATGGTACATGATTATTTGATCCTGTGACACAATTACCTAGCTACAGGGTGGTATAGGACTGCATCTTCTCCTACATTTCTCAGGTAAACTTGTGTTTGCTGCAGTATGATAAATTTGTCTTTCCCAAGGGGAAAAGGCATGTAATAAAGGGTGTGAAATTGGGCAAAAATTGTGACCATTTTGCAGAGGTTGATACAAGCCAGGTCTTTGTTTATGCTCGTCAGATAGCAAATGAGAAAAGACAATCCCTATTTCATATGAACAACCCTTGATGAACTATTCCAAACAACTTCAAAAACACATGTAGCCAGGTAATTAGTTGCCTTGAAACGAGGTAAAAAAAAAAACAAGAGGTCTTGATGGTCACCCAAGATAAGCAATATTGAACATAAAGATTAAAGGATAATTACCAAGCGACATGAAACAGAAATTGTGGTACTGAATATAGTAAGCCATGTCAATACATGCATACCATCAAAACTATCATCCTTTACTGATAATTCTTATAAAGTTATTTCCAGTGGGAAATACAGGTAACCAACATTAAGCTCAAAATGAAAATTTGACCCCACCCATCAGTCCCTAAGGGTCTGTCAGGATCAACCAAGTTTGAAATATTTCCAATAGAAATTAAACTGTGCTCAAACATTTAGTTTTCCTATATAAACTATAGTTAACTTTACCCTCTCCCCAAAGATTTAATGGGAGACCCTGGGGCCATGAAATTCACAATTTTGGTAAAGCACCTTAAAATGCTTCCATTCATGAAGAGTATTTGATTCTACCACATCTGGGTATTAAGAAGAATGTTTTGAAATCTGAGTCAATTTGACCCCTTTTGGTCCTGCCCCTCAGGCCCCTGGAGGATGGAGACTGTATACATCACAATTTTTGTTCAACTTAGGTCAGGAAAGGTTTATGCAAAATTTCATGGAAATCAGATCAGGGGTTTTCGAGAATAAGTAAAAAATGTTGAATTGTTTACAGACACACGACGCTGGATGAAGGTGATTAGAATAAGCCACCATGAGACTTTGTCTTCGGTGACCTAAAAATAACTAAAAACAAAAGAGTGCAATTCAGTAATTTTTAATTTTTCATATTTTTCTATAAAAACAGACGTTCTGTACAAAACGTACAGGGCCCTAAAAACAAGCACATTTATAAAACTGTACATTTGTGTATACATTTGATCTATTGATCCTCAGACGGTATCAATAATAAATTACACCTTTCTCACATGGATTTATATAGTTACATATATATATATAAAATGTGTGACAATTTGTACACAACATATTCCATACATACTGACAAATTATTTGTTCCACATATACAAATATAGCATAATACACATACATAATGCAGTAAAAATTCTCATACATCACTTCATCACAGACAAGCATTTAAAAGGCAATTATCAAATTGTGAAGAAAAAAATTGTAGAAAAAAAGAAAATTTGATACCGGATTTAGATAAGTGAATTTTCTTTGTTTTACTATGTAATATAGAGAAATCATTAATATGTAATGGTAGATCTAAAAACTAGTCAAGGAACACGATTTTGGTTTCCAGCATTTACAAGTCTATGATGACCTATTTAATTTTGAGTCTTTGTACTGGAAAATGTCTATAAATGTCGTCAAGATCTCAAAATCAAGTAGAATTCCCCTCGCCCTCCCATACATCATGATGTATATGTGTACCAATATTTGTTCTTCAATGCCAAGTTTTGATTTTATCGCAGTAAATCTACTCTCATCACTACAAATTGATCCAAGAACTCACAGCTCTCCTGTTATATGCAGTATAAAAATATTGTTAAATTTTGCAGGGCTAATATTTTGTAGTTGTCCTTTTGTTCATGGGCATCAAATACATGCATGTCTACACTGATATTAAGTTTGTAACATCAATTGCCTATACTTTTATTTAACGGTACTTAATTTCATGCAATCTTTGATGATTGTGAACATGGTGATATTCAATCTCCAAATATTACCAACTACACAGTATCAGCAAATGAGACCTTATTTGTGATGGTTTTCCCCCATAGTAATGCATACATTACATTACCAACATGGTGTAAAATTGCTGGAGTAAAATATAAAGTACCTGGTATATTGAAAATGGCTAATCAGTCAAGAAAACACAAGTGATATGTGACCAAAATAAGAGTTTGTTGTATCTCCGGAGTTGATGAATGAAATAGTATATTTATATTGTAATACTGATACATACTGTGTACAAACTACAATGGAAAACTACTCAAAACCTACGAGGATAGAAATACAAAGATCTAGAAATCAAAAAAACAATACTGGACGCAAAATGATTGTATTAGATGTATTTAAAGAATCAAGAATGTTTAAATTTGCATAATTGTCCTTATATGGATTTCTTAAAGTGTAGGAAGTTATAAATAAACAACCTATTATGGATTAATTGTATAAATTGATAAATATGGCCGCTAACTGTACACAATCTTACCTACATACAACACAAGATCAGCTTTGTCTTTAAAACAAACTGCAAAGGTTATATAAGGTCATCTGGATTATATTCCTGACATGTAATTGCAAAACTTGAATTTAAAGCACCAAAAAAATCCAATTCCTTGCTGCATTAACATGGCACTGGGTTGTATCCAATATATTGATACATGTTACAGAAATGGTTCACTGGAATGATAATCATTGACGATGATGTAGCAGGACACCAATATCTAAGCAGACCGTCAATCTTTGGTATTCAGTGTGCAATAATTCGAAGGAATGAAATGGATTATGAATTGATGCTTCATATTTTGAGTTTTTTTTTTTCAAAATATTTGACAAATCTATGTTTATTGAAATGCTTCTACCTGTTACACAATTCAATAATTTTTTTTAGTTTCTCAGTTTCTGCTTCTTACTTCAAGACTTCTGTATCAGACTCTCATTTTCTTCCACTCTTGTTACATCATGAATTAAATACACGACTAGGATGGTCTTGGACAATACAGATTAAATACTGAGCACACACAAAGAAGTCCTAACCACAGGACTGTCATATATTACAGACATTTTACTTCCCACATCATATGGGGAACCTGTTCTACCGGTATATACGTTACCATTACAGTTTAAAGTGTCACAAAAATTAACTGGCATAACATACAAAAATTCTATATATTTTACATTTCTCATCAAAGTATTTAACATGTACATAAGGATTTCATTTCTCTTAATTTGTAGATATATTGGCTAGTTAATTCTGAGTGATTATGCAAGTCATGGTGAAATAATGACATTTATGAAGAAATTTATAATGAAGATTTGATGAATGTGACAACGAATACAAAAATGTTAATGAGATAATGGTAAAATTTTGGACAGCTGAGATCAAATTATTGTAACTGGATGTTCACTAAGTAATCCAGGTCTGTAAATGCACGACCCTTGTCCAATACTCTGGCAAAAGATCACGTTACCATGCTGATATCATGTGGACATGCACTGTCATACAGAGGTTTCGTGGCTGCATCTGTGGAGGAAGAAACAAGACACCGATGTACAACAACATATCATGCAACATGCAAAGTGCAACATAATAATTAAATCATATTATATAGGGATTTCCTGCGGGTTATAATGCCACTTGTGTGTCCTGTATGTAAATTGATATTACTCTTGGAGAAATATACTACCACTATTTTAATTTCGCAAGAAGCCCAAAATATCTAAATACAAATAACGTCTTGAAAGTCAAAAGTGAACTTATGGCCTTTTGAAATGAAAAAAATATATATTAACTGAACAGCAATGTATACATGTATAGTAATAATCAGGGCTAGCTCCGGCTCTTAATTTGATTTCCCAAAATGAAATTGTCAGAAAGCCTTATTACCAGTAACTGCCTCCCTGATACAGTATTACATTATGATATCAACTTCTGTGATGGTACACCTGTATTACAAGTCGCAGTACGATACAGATAGAAGAAATACTGAGAAGGTTTAGATTACAGGACACACAACATCAATTTCCCAGTTCACACTTCCCAACTAAAGAATATATACATGCTTCCAAACAGTGATAATTCAAAACATGAATGTAACAACAAATACACCAAAAAAGGTGAAAAAAAGTGCAACGTGCAGTAATGAACAAGTCAAAATATAAACTTCAAAGCAAAAACAAAATTGCATATGTAAATCATGACAAAATAAAACAGGTCAAGCTTCAGTGAAATATAGCACAACTTTACATTTTATCCAATTTTTGCTGGATATCTGTATGAAGTAATGTTCAATATCATCAGAGATGACTTGTCCTCTGATCTCCACTGTACCAGATAAGTACATCTTTTAAAATAGTTATCACAATCTGTCAGTATTATATTTTCAGATTCACAGCAAATAATATTTGATGTAAGAACCTGGTATCCATCGTCCCAGTGTCTGGGTACTTACTCTAGACCATCATAGACAATCTAGTGTCTGGGTACTTACTCTAGACCATCACAGACAATCTAGTGTCTGGACTCTAACTCTAGACCATCACAGACAATCTAGTGTCTGGGTAATTACTCTAGACCATCACAGACAATCTAGTGTCTAGACTCTTACTCTAGACCATCACAGACAATCTAGTGTCTGGGTACTTACTCTAGACCATCACATATAATCTAGTGTCTGGGTACTTACTATAGACCATCACAGACAATCTAGTGTCTGGGTACTTACTCTAGACCATCACAGACAATCTAGTGTCTAGACTCTTAACTCTAGACTATCACAGACAACCTAGTGTCTGGGTACTTACTCTAGACCATCACAGACAATCTAGTGTCTGGACTCTAACTCTAGACCATCACAGACAATCTAGTGTCTGGGTACTTACTCTAGACCATCACAGACAATCTAGTGTCTGGGTACTTACTCTAGACCATCACAGACAATCTAGTGTCTGGACTCTAACTCTAGACCATCACAGACAATCTAGTGTCTGGGTACTTACTCTAGACCATCACAGACAATCTAGTGTCTGGGTACTTACTCTAGACCATCACAGACAACCTAGTGTCTGAGTACTTACTCTGAATCGGAGGATATACTTCCATTATGAGTTAGGACCTGCACCTTGACGCGAGGGTCTGGAGGGGGGTGAAAAGGTCCATGAGTATTACTACTGCTCGAGTCATTCAACAGACTGTCTGTCCGCACTGGCGGCATAATATAGTCCCTGTGACTAGCTGTTACAAGAGAAAAGTAGGCAATAACGGTCTGCGACTAGCTATGATATGATGAAACACCAATATTGAACAAGTTACATCATGTAAATGTCTATGAATATCTCTCTCTTCTCAATCTTTTTGACAATCATATGCCATTGACACAAAAGTTATTTTCCAACAAATATTTTTCTTAAGTGAAATTCAAAGACATTTACAGTTGCTGTATGTAACTGAGAAAATGCATAGTACAGAGTTTATTCCAGAGTGACTTTAGGTTTGCAACCTTTTTAAATCTGCCATACCTATAACAATTTTTTCCTCGAATTTTAATATTTCAAGAGTGCAAATTTTAGTTTCAAACATCCTTCTCTGGAATGACCTCTGACAAGATAACATGGTTTAACTTGTTCAAATTTCCATATCAGTCTACCAGGAATGAAATTTTGGTTAGAAAGCTTCATCCACCAATATCTTTTACTTCCATGCACATAAATTTTTTCATAATTTGGTCAAAATACACCGGGTAATGAACATTTGTTAAACTGGATGTCATCAAAAAAGCTGTAAATACACATAAATGTGAGCAAAAAGGAAAACAAGTACAAAAATTACGGACGACTTTTCCAAGCAAAATAACATACATGCCAACATTGGGAAGAGATAAAATTGTTCTGACAAATTGTTGATGGTTGAGAGAAATATCTCGCATGCTCAGCTTGAAGTAAAAGACAGATGAAGTGTGAATTATCAATTTGTAATTTAAAGCAGACAAAGAGTGTATATATATATATTAAACAATTCAGAACATGCTACACACAAAACAGATGTAAAACTTAATATTGTTTGCTTAAACCCAAAATATCCCTACTCAAATCATACTTTTTAACGACAAAGATATCTAATCTGTTTTCTGTGACTTGTTTCATATCTTATTTTAACAAGAATGTTTAAATCTGACAGTGTTTGCCAACAATATCAGAGCAAGAATCATTTACAGAAATAATTATAAATTATTAACTGAATTATTGGTATGCAAATTGAAAAGAGAACAGCTGATACTTATACATATAAAATTTCTCCCTTCTCAAAACTTTTTAACTGTGTTTAAGCAAACAAATATAATGGATACAGGCTAAAAGGTTATGTTATATCTCTAGCACTGATATGGAATGGTCATAAATAAATCTATGTTAAAATAATTTTGAGATTATAAAGACTGACTAGAAAGGTAGAAATACTGTATCCTATAATTACAGTGCTCAGGTATCCTATAATTACAGTGCTCAGGTAAGTGAACCAGGAGTGTATGTAAATACTGTACTTTTTAACATACTTTCAAGTGGTACTCGCATGGTTGTGAAGTTTTTGGAAATGCCTTATCAATTTTCAGAGGTTTCTACATGACATAAGTAGTTTTTAGGCTTAAAACAGTTGAATATCGTAACGTAAATATTTGCCCGGATATAATTTTAGCACTTTATATACCATAAGCATTGGACATAATTAAAATGGATGAAAAAGCATTTTCTGAACATTCTTTTCAACAGCAATTTTGTGAATGTGTCAGTTTTACTTAAATTTTGTGAATGTGTCAGTTTTACTTAAATTGGAAAATGCACAAAAATTTTCACATGACAAAGCATGTACATTTTACAGAGGAACCGGATATATTAGGAAACACATGCACAATAAGTTATGGAGATTAGCAGCTTTCAGAAGATGCATGATTGATAGATATTTCCACTTCTGTCAGATATTAATTCTCTCGGTCACAACTTTTGCATCATGTTAATATGTAAATCCATGTTATGTACAATGTGTACGAATAGAAACTCTACAGAAACGGTTTATTTACATAAAGCGTATGTACAATAATTCTTGTTATAAATTATTTCACAACCAATGGGTATGATATTGTATAAACTTTGTACAGAAATGATTGCTACATCTTTTTAATTACTGTTCTGAAAACAACGCAGTTTTCAACTTGTTTGATTCGTGAAATCACCAATACTGAAATTACTGTCTGAAATGCAGCCTTAGAAGGTACAAAGTCGATTGTCAAAATCAATGCGATATTTTGTAAGAAAATGACAAATGACAACATCATGAAATTCAAATTACTGATAAATATACAGTTATATAAACTGGCCATAAGCTAAACAGAAACAGTTGCCATGGTTATCTGAGCATCATCCCCATCTTTACGTAATTGGCAGCCTTTTTACTACCTTGAAGCTCCTGTGCAGGCAGTGTTACATCTGGAGGTACGCTAGACATGGTGACTTGGTCTGACTGACGATAGTCTTCAGACTCTGTGAACTGGAATCCAGACAAGTTCGGGTCTCCTGGCCAATGACCATACTGTTGTTGTTGTTGTATTTGACTGTACAGTGGTGGGTTTACTGTAAACAGAACACAGTTTATGTACTAAAGTAACAGGTAACTGTAGGCAAATCCCAATGTTACAAGAAGCCACATGGGCCTGGATCACAGGCCTGATGTTTCATGACATGTTCACAATAGCTGAAAATATAACAAGGTACCAAATGAACAAACAGTAAGCTCTGTAAATCTTTTAAAAGTTTAGACAACTGACCCTAGTAGCTCTAACAGTGTTTTATCTCTGCAACTTTAAAAATCTTTTTACAAAGAAAGCTACAACCAGGTATGTACAGGTTCAGGATCATGACCATACATCTGTGAATATCCTACTTGTATCATACATCTGTGAATATCTTACTTGTATTGGCATTATTTTTCTGTTTTTCAGCATCATCCATTTCTTTCTTTTTCTTCCTTGCTTGTTCTTTGGCTTCCTCTGAAATGGGATAATATTTTGTTATCAATTTAGGAGTCATTAACTAAGACACATGTTTAGAATCTTTACACTGAAACTAGATATATTAATCTCTAAATGCTGTACCAACTCACCAACTTTTTGATTTAGAGGTATTTCTTTTTCCCATGTGAATGCAACATCATCTTCATCATCTGAGGAGTGACTTGATGCCAAACTGAGGCTAGCACGTCCTACGGACCCATCACTGTCAGAGTCCGAGTCATTCCCTGATCGTTTATTTGGGCCGTCCAGGTGATCATTAGCTGGAAGTGAAAATTCTGATTTATAAGAAATTCCCTCAATTAAAAATATTAAATGGATTCCTTCTAACAATCAGTCAAGATAAACTGAGGTTCTCTCTAACAATCAGTCAAAAATTCAGGGATTCCCTCTGACAATCAGTCAAAAAATTCAGGGATTCCCTCTGACAATCAGTCAAAAATTCAGGGATTCCCTCTGACAATCAGTCAAAAATTCAGGGATTCCCTCTGACAATCAGTCAAAAAATTCAGGGATTCCCTCTGACAATCAGTCAAAAATTCAGGGATTCCCTCTGACAATCAGTCAAAAATTCAGGGATTCCCTCTGACAATCAGTCAAAAAATTCAGGGATTCCCTTTGAAAATGAATCAACATAGTACAAGATTCCCTCTGATGATCAGTCAAAAAACAAGAAGTCCAGGGTTCCCTCTAATAAACAATCAAAAAAATTTGCGACCCTCTCTAACAACTGATAAAATTAATATTAGATTCTCTCATACAATTTGTGTCAAATTAGTCTGACTTAACCTCTAGGAATCAGTCAATTTAAAGATTGCTTCTCCCATTTAATCAAAACAGTCTGGACTACTTAAAAAGTTGGGGATTCCTGTCAGCAGTGATGAATAAATTGTGAAATTGTGAAAAAAGGGAAACACAAAATGTTGTTTTAGTAAACCTATACTACCATCCTTTGTGAAGCATAAAGAAGAAAAAATTGTTATAAAGCTATCTACATAATTCAAGGTCTATAACTATGTCAGGTAAAAGCAGAGTGGATGCAGACGAGAAGTTCTACAGTAACATAACAAGTTATAGATATGCTAACTTAATCTATGCTTAATCTTGTAGATGTTCTCAAAATCCTATTTCCACTCTCCTATACAACTATTCATTTTTGCAGTATTAAATTCACTATCTAATATTTAGGAACCAGAAAGTCATTATCAATTATCAATTTCCATATTTTATTTTCACCACTTCATCAAAGTGAAAGCAAAAGATTATCAGTATACTGTACCAAACAAATATCCTGGGGGACTAAACTAAAGAAACTCGTTTGATATTGGAGTAAAGCAGTTTTTTAAATAATTTTGAAAGGGACTGATAAAATTTGTAAATGACTTTGGTGGATCAATGCGGAACACAAAAAAACCAACACGACTTACTGCCGTTTGGTCTTTTTTCGTGATAAGCCTTGAGGTCGTATCCATAGGGTGGAATCCCAGCGTTAGGGGGATACAAGCTTTCAGAAGGAACGTGGCCAGAGGTAGAAGTACTGGTACTACGTAGATAGTCCTCACCCTTGTACAGACCTCCGGAACTCTTACTGGTTGATCGACTTGTCGTCGACGTTGTAGATATACCAACATTCATCGTCCTGTTTAGACAACCATCCATTGAATTGTCTGTGCGATAGGCCAATGCAGATCTCTGTAACAGGTATGATATCAGTCAATATTTGTATCTCATAAAATAGTAGTATAATTGTATCTTCAGTGTTCAACAAGTAAAACCATGCAAATGCTTTGTGTATATGCACAATATATCACAAGAATGTTGAATGGGGTTAAAATCCTCTACACAAACACCATTCCTTGACATTAATTTGGGTTATTTTCTATATCAACTTATCATGTATATTGTAGGAAAGTGATACAGGATACTAGAAATTATAAACAACTATGGTCATTATTCTGTACAGCAAGCTTATCATATTTTTAACTTGCTGAGGCTTGTTAAAATTACACTCTACAACTTCACAGCCAACCACACGAACTGCACAACCATGTCTATTGCAAGCTTTCACAGTATGTGATACATACACAAATCAGATACAAATAAAACACACTCTAAGTCTAGTATTTAATCAAACTTTTCAACAGTAGACTTTTAATATTATGTTAATTGTTTTTTCAGAAAATATTTTATAATTCCATTCATGTTTACATGCAAAGACTAGTTTGACGTTATCTATATTAAATGTAAACATACATGCATGTAGATCAATTAACTATAAGTTAGTTTAATGTCTAAATAAAAATTTGTCTGTGAATGACCAGAGTACCATGACATGCTAGGTTATGTTACCAAAACACAATTAAAATACATCATCCGACACTCTTGTCATGTGCTACACAACCAATAAACTCAACAGATACACCCGATAGTAGGAGTAAATGAAGACAGTACCGAGCTTCTTGTGGCGCCCAAGTTCTCGGCCATTTCTAGCTTCTTGCCTTGACATTTGTACCACTGCTTCTTTAGTTGAAGTCGCACCTGTTAAAGAACACATTCACATGCTTCATACACAGACCAATGGACAGATCCGGAGAATCATAATGCAATGTAAAACAGGCTTAGAACACACATATTAAAACATTAGTCTGTGGCATGCTAAAGGGAGTTTCATGCTAAGGTATCATAAAGCAATTAGTTAGAGTAAAATAAATGGACAATCATGTTGACAGTAAACCCCAAGGGACATAACCCAACCATATGGGACAACGCCCAATAGGAAACTATGTTAACAGCCCCTCTGAATAAAATTGAAAAAAAAAACCTATTGATTGAGAAATCAAAATTTGTTTTCATTCTAGATTTAGCTAAAAGTGTATACATTTACTGGATATTTCATGTTTAAATGTTTCTGTGTTGATAAACAGCTTTTCAGACATACATTGAATTTAATACAACAATTATGTTATCTGTGTAAAATTGAGACTATCCTATCCAGTATTGTTATTGCAGACTAACTATAATAACACTTTTTTGGAGGTGTCTCAGCTTCCCTACCTTTTTATCACCAACAATATAGGCCACAAATATGAAACCACCTTCAGCCAATGAGAAGATGGCATAGGCGTAATGAAGGGGCACCATGTTGTAATTGACGGAGACAAGGCCCAGTATCCAGGTGACGCCCAACAACAGAAGGATGGCAAGGCCACAGAAAATACGAGCCCTGAAAACCAAATGTAACCAATTTAGTTATTGAATGAAATTAGTTTTTAAAAGAAATATTAATTTTCATGCATTTCATTCTAAGAAACCAGACTTCACAATTCTCCTTACATATATAAATTTTAAGTGGTTTGATTTAAGAAATTTTATGCATTTCTATTTTTTTCAATGATAAAAACAACAAACACCATGTAAATTGGTGAAATCTTTATCACCAACATCAGGACAGAACTTTATCTTGTATGTTACAAGGTGAAATTCTCTTAGAATGACTATGCATGAATGCCATTAAGCTGTACATTAAAAATGTGGGTTTAAATTTAGAATAACTCACCTGAATCCTACAATGTCGCTGACATGGACTTTTTCTCTAAAACTTGCCTTCAGAGCCAGTATAAATGTTAGGATAATCACCTGTAATAGAGATACATGTACTGGTCATTTCTACATATAGAGACAGATCCGGACTGAGTAAATCATAGGGACCCACTTTAAATCCCCTTTAGTTGATCATAGTAATATCGTTTGACTATCTGGATTTTCAGACCTTTAGTCCTGATACTCTTAGAGTATCATAGCACAATCTGCTTAATTATCAAATGTTGGTTTATTTTCTGTAAAACTTCATTGCATTTGTTTAATATGTGTGGAATTCATACCCTTGTTCAACAGCTAAGACAAAATATGAAGGCAAACTTTTCACTTTTTAAAGTACTGTAATTAAATGTTTTTAGATTTACCATATAAATCCATCTTTAAGTTCATTATATTTATCTATTTTACATCAATTGTGAAAAAAACATACTTGTTGGCTTGGATAGGGTCGTGGTTAGGCAGGTGACCAATACCTTTTCATGTCTGATTGAGGTGAAAGACAAGTATGTTATCACCAGACAAGCCAATCATCTCAGAACAAATTAATACTCATAATAGCACTACTTACCAACACTCCTACTACTACTGGCCCAGCAAAGCTCCAAATGAAGGCCTGAGCCATGTCCAGCCAACAACTGTAAACACAAAAACATGGTCAAGAGCTGACACGATATGTACAAACAGGATTTTTACACACTTTATATGTCCCTAAAAAATCTTTCAGATTAAAAATTTAAAACAAAGCTTATGATATCTCATTATGATTTGCTTCAAGCATCATAAGATAGTCCATGAGAATACATTCTATCATACCATTCAAACATTTGAAGGCGGCATGAATTTCTTTTAAATCAGTTTGGAGGTTTTTGACATCTGCATGCAAGTTCTCAATAACGTGTAATGAGAGAATTTCCCGTAAATACTTACAACTGTGAGCCGCCATAGCCATCTGTGTACAGGCCGACAGACAGACCAACTATGATGCCTGGTATCACTATAAATAAAACGTATCATATTAAGTCCTTCTCAAAAAGTACCATGATAATCGTAATACAATCATACCCAATGTTAATTGGTTATATTACTCGTTTTATCATCATAGATGTCGTTTGTTGACAATATACTGTTTATCCACATGGAATAAATGAAGACTAAATTGTCCGTACCGTATCCAATGAGATAGTAAAACTTCATGGAACCATAGTTAATGTCCCTGATCTCCGTGATACGACGGTACAGGTGCAACATCTCAACAAACAGCCAGGAGAAAGCCGACAAGTAGAAGTAGTGCAGCGATATAGACACCAACCGACAGAACAGCTGTAATACATAAATCATAAATCACATTACAATGAAGCCAAGGTAATCTTAAATACACGTCAGAGTATCACACTTTCAGAAAATTAAAACTGTTTTCCTGGTGTTTCTATCAATGGATAAAAAAAGCAGTATAAAGATCTCAAAGAATCTTTGGTATTTTAAAACCGAAACCTCACCTCTAGTTCCGTTCTATACACTCCGGAGATAAACGCAAGGTCCGAGATAAAGATGGTGAAGATGAGGTTGATAAGAATACTATTTGCATTACTCTGAAGATGTTTGAAGCACATGAAGATGAAGAATGCCACAAACAGACAGATTAATGCTATCGCTATGGCAATAAAGCTGATCACTTCCAGAGAAATGGCACCCTTGGCAACATACTGCAATAGTGAAGACATTAAAAGAGATTGGATAAACTTTTCAGTTCACATAAACATATCAAAATCAGGACACATATTTGAACTGTATGGTAGAATATTATCAGTGTTTTTAACACTTTCAGGGATCTTTTTTTCTCTCTCTTCAAAATCAAGATCAATACACAATACAGATGTGTTTATAGCAAGTAGTATTTCAGTTCAGAAATAACACCCCTTTTCTTTGCTGAGATAACACAATGACTATTAAAGAAACAAATCAATCATATGAAACTTAATTCTGAAATTCAACATATCAAAATTCTTTTTGTTTTAAATTGATACCTCGGAATCTGCTACATCCATGAGTACACCAAAAGAGGTCATGTGATCACAGGAGCACTCGATGAATATCTGTAGTTTGGGAGGATCATTGCCATCAAGGATTTCTCTTTCATACCGATCAGTCATCTCGCAGCCATTGGTTGACCATTCCGCCACGTACCTAACAAGGTCAAATAAGTTCAAAGGATAAGGCCAAGACAGGAGATATTTATCAAGGTCAAACAAGTTCTTTATAAAAGGCCAAACAAGTTCTTTATAAAAGGCCAAGACAGGAGACATTTATCAAGGTCAAACAAGTTCTTTATAAAAGGCCGAGACAGGAGATATTTATCAAGGTCAAACAAGTTCTTTATAAAAGGATAAGACAGGAGATATTTATCAAGGTCAAACATGTCATCAAAAAGGTAAACTAATGGATACCTCACAACTGGTGATCATGTTCACAGTCGATATGAATGGATTAGCTTGCTCATGAGCATTGATCAAGCTGAAATCAAAAGGGTACTTACGAGTTGGGATTGTGTTTCCAGTAAACACACTGTGGGCTGGACCTGTTTACTGTCATATCTTGCTTGAAAACCATTTTGATAGGCTCAGTCAATGCCCCGGTCACAATCTCCCCCTGGTCTCTTACCAGGAGCGTGATGACCGGGGCGTTCACATCCAGAGGTCGATCCTCAATTTGTCTGAAAGCAAAATTAAACAAACCTGCTTACCACCAAATTTTTTAACAAAAACTGCATAAGATACATTTCGGTATCACATTTTACATGGAAAATGTAACACCATTTTCAACAGTATTTCTAATTCATTGAAATATCACACTTATAAATCTATTATATGTAACTAAAACATAAATCGGAATAAGAAAAGGTCAGAGGTCAAAGGCCACCTACCTGACAGTTGAATCAAATCTCTTTGGTAAAATGTCTCCAAGATTCTTGTACATGATGAAGCCCACATATGCTGTGGATGATGAGATGGCTTCAAAGACAGGTGCAAATGGATCTATATTAGAAACAAAGATCACATTAGTCATAAGCAGTCTAAATTCATAACACAAAAATCTTCAGGCATGATACTAGACTGTACATACCAAGTGCTTAATCTAAAATAATTGATGGGACACCTGTGGGAAAGGGTAAAAGAATAGAGAAGTTGACTTTTGACTGTGGGGAGGGTAAACACTAAAGAAGTTGACTTACCTGTGGGGAGGGTAAACACTGATGAAGTTGACTTACCTGTGGGGAGGGTAAACACTAAAGAAGTTGACTTACCTGTGGGGAGGGTAAATACTAAAGAAGTTGGCATACCTGTGGGGAGGGTAAACACTCAAGAAGTTGACATACCTGTGGGGAGGGTAAACACTGATGAAGTTGACATACCTGTGGGGAGGGTAAACACTGATGAAGTTGACATACCTGTGGGGAGGGTAAACACTCAAGAAGTTGACATACCTGTGGGGAGGGTCAACTCTCAATAAGGGCATACCTGTGGGGAGGGTAAACACTCAAGAAGTTGACATACCTGTGGGGAGGGTAAACACTGATGAAGTTGACATACCTGTGGGGAGGGTAAACACTCAAGAAGTTGACATACCTGTGGGGAGGGTAAACAAGAAGTTGACATACCTGTGGGGATGGAAAACACTCAAGTTGACATACCTGTGGGGAGGGTAAACACTCAAGAAGTTGGCATACCTGTGGGGAGGGTAAACACTCAAGAAGTTGACATACCTGTGGGGAGGGTAAACACTGATGAAGTTGACATACCTGTGGGGAGGGTAAACACTCAAGAAGTTGACATACCTGTGGGTAGGGTAAACACTCAAGAAGTTGACATACCTGTGGGGAGGGTAAACACTGATGAAGTTGGCATACCTGTGGGGAGGGTAAACACTCAAGAAGTTGACATACCTGTGTGGAGGGTAAACACTGATGAAGTTGGCATACCTGTGGGGAGGGTAAACACTGATGAAGTTGGCATACCTGTGGGGAGGGTAAACACTGAAGAAGTTGACATACCTGTGGGGAGGGTAAACACTCAAGAAGTTGACATACTTGTGTGGAGGGTAAACACTGATGAAGTTGACATACCTGTGTGGAGGGTAAACACTGATGAAGTTGGCATACCTGTGGGGAGGGTAAACACTGATGAAGTTGGCATACCTGTGGGGAGGGTAAACACTGAAGAAGTTGGCATACCTGTGGGGAGGGTAAACACTGATGAAGTTGACTTACCTGTGGGGAGGGTAAACACTGATGAAGTTGACTTACCTGTGGGGAGGGTAAACACTCAAGAAGTTGACTTACCTGTGGGGAGGGTAAACACTAAAGAAGTTGGCATACCTGTGGGGAGGGTAAACACTGATGAAGTTGACATACCTGTGGGGAGGGTAAACACTCAAGAAGTTGACATACCTGTGGGGAGGGTAAACACTCAAGAAGTTGACATACCTGTGGGGAGGGTAAACACTCAAGAAGTTGACATACCTGTGGGGAGGGTAAACACTGATGAAGTTGGCATACCTGTGTGGAGGGTAAACACTGAAGAAGTTGGCATACCTGTGGGGAGGGTAAACACTGATGAAGTTGACATACCTGTGGGGAGGGTAAACACTGAAGAAGTTGGCATACCTGTGGGGAGGGTAAACACTCAAGAAGTTGGCATACCTGTGGGGAGGGTAAACACTCAAGAAGTTGACATACCTGTGGGGAGGGTAAACACTCAAGAAGTTGACATACCTGTGGGGAGGGTAAACACTGATGAAGTTGGCATACCTGTGGGGAGGGTAAACACTCAAGAAGTTGACATACCTGTGGGGAGGGTAAACACTCAAGAAGTTGACATACCTGTGGGGAGGGTAAACACTCAAGAAGTTGACATACCTGTGGGGAGGGTAAACACTCAAGAAGTTGACTTACCTGCGGGAAGGGGCGTGGAAACAACAGACTTTGATAGCAGTATGTAAGTATCGTCATCAAAGGTATCTTGTTTCACTATGTTGTTAAACTTTGGGATTCTCTGGCCAGAGAAATTTTCTGCTGACAAGTTGTCCATCACAAGAACTATTTGAACAGAAAAGTCAATTAGTAATGTCAGAATTATTATAAAATGTACAAAGGACACATAAGTTAACAGCAAGTTTTAATACAAATATACAGTAAGATACAGTAGAGCAACACAATAAATCAAGCTGCACCCTATAGCTGCTCCGACCTTCTAGGACTCTTCAGTGATGCTAGGGGCATAAATTTGGTGGTTTTCGTGTAAACAAACATATCTGTGTAGGAAATTGGATTGCATTTCATTCCAATTTAATCAATTCTAATTTAACCATAACATTTTGTAACACATAAATATTCAGACTCACCAATGTTCTCCGATACCACACTGTAAGGTTTACTCTGAAGGGTGGCTAGATTTTCTGATAAAATAGCCAAGTACTTCTCCAGTTTCCACTGCAGTTCCGCAATGCCACCTGAGTTTTTGTTGATGACCAGCCAGTCCTTATTATAGCGTGGGTCCATCACTGTACTTAGAATATCTAGCATACTCTGAAATACATCAGTTTGATAGTCACATTTTTGATAATGCTCACCAAGACAATTCAATCTTAATATGCTCTTCAGTCTGAACAACACAACAATGCTCTATAGACCACAACATAAGTTTAACATGCTCTTTAGGACAAGACAATTTTATGATACTCTTTAAATATTAGAACACAACACAAATTTTGGTTCACTTTGTGTGACACAACAAAATTTCATTATTCTGTAAAGGACACAACATTAGTCGATTGTACTATAGGTAATTCACTTCAAGCTCGAACTCAATCTTATTGATTCATTGATTCAACAGATAAATCAAACTGATAAAAGCCGAGAACTTTGTGCCTTGGTTTCAGGATTAGAGCCAACAAAGAATCATCATCTGCTGAATTTTTGTCGTATATAACAATAAAAAGTCTATTGTGTCGGGTACAACAGCTGAGGATGACCCTGAGGGAACAGCAATGTTGTGTATGGTACCTGTAAGTATGTGCTGTCCTGCTCTGAGGTAAGACTCAGGCCAGTCTGTTGGACCTCATAGGCTAAAGTCTGATTAAGAATTCGGTAAGTAATGTTGATTTCATTTCCAAACAGTCGTGTGGCTTTTCTTACAGCTTCACTGAGTTTTCTCATTATCTGCTTTGCTACAAAGGTTGTGATCTTCAAGTCCCCAGACTCTATCTTGTTCACCTGAAGAAATATACATCAAAATCATCACATACAAATGAACATTGTTGGTATTTAAACTGTCATTTAAAAAATATCAACTGCTTAAATAACCAATCAAGACACAATTCATTGAAACATTTCATTCCAGAAGACACAATAGTTTCAAAATATCCTGTAATAATCAACCATGTATATATGTTAGCTAGGTTTATTGTTAAGTAGACAGCAGAATAATTTTGAAGTGAGATCTCCTTGAAACATTTGGCGGCTATGTCACTGAATACCATGCGAGAGACTCGCCGCATGATAACCAAAGTATTTGGGATAAAATGTCTTGCTAAAGGAGCCAACAATGGCAGCAGAAGATGCTACATGAACCCAGTTTCCTGAGAAATACTAACTGCCCTAGGTAGGAATCAAACCTAACATGACTAATAATCACCTGAATCCAATGCTTTACTGATGCGATATTGTGGTCTTCAAACCACCATTAGAATCATAAATAAAACAACCAACTCACCTGTGTTTGGAGAGAGAGGAAGTCAGAATGAGTACAGTTGAACAGATCAGGTGCCAACCATTTCCCATCCAAAGAACAATTTCTCTTTGCATCACCTAGAAGCATTAATCTTACTTTAATATCAGTCTCTACAAGGAGTGATAGTATATATACAATACAGTATAAGTATAATCATGTTGTTTCTGATCAATCAAAATATAACATTTCAAAAGATATCTGTGTGATGATAATACATGATCTGAGCTGTGATCTGAAGAAATTATATCAAATATATAGTAAACAATCCCTATGGCTTTAATCTATGTTGAGTATGTAATGCCCACCTATAGCTCCATCAGGACAATCTTGTACTGTGTGGTTCCCAAACAAAACACTATTCCACCATACACCATCAGTGTGGCTACGTGGGCACATGTAGTAATTCACTGAAACAAGCAAATTTGAAGTTATGACAAAGATTCACAAATGATATGTTATTTTTCACCTTTTGTCAGTATCATAAAAGTTTACAAAAGTTACATATTGATATATTTTTCACTTTTTTTTAGGCATTATACCAGCTTACCAAAATTACGTATTGATAAGTAAAACAATATGTTCAATATTTGTTATTTCTCATAATCAGAGTATTGAAATAAGGGAAAAAATTATGTGTTATTTACCAGTACAGCCAACTTTCCGTAGATTAACCTCTGCAAACTCGCTAGCACACTGATCACAGCGTCGACCAATCACAGTGTCTATACAGTAGCACTGACCCGTGATTGGGTGACAAGACTGATTCTTAGATCCATAACTGTAACAGTTGCAGCTCTGACACGAGTCTGATCCTTTGGGTCGGTAGTAGTTTTCCTTCAAACATTAAAACTTTGTGTTAAACATCTATTATGATATTAACTGCTGGTAAACAGGTTTAGAAATCCATTACAGTACTAGCTATATAACAACTGTTCAAAGGCCACTTTCATATTTTATCTACAAGAACTTTCTTTGTCCTGCTGATTATGAATACTAGATCATTTTTACAATATTGATGAAAAAAAAAGATATCAAAACCTGCTTTTATATTCTAAACTACCTACTGAAGTGAAAAACAATTTCCTGTATCATTAAAAAAGAGTAATTTGAGTACGGAAATATTTAGGTAAAGAGAGGTTTTAGCTACAAAGAGGCAGAAATATTCATTACTTTTCACACTTTTAAGTCAGTGACTCAAATAACAAAGATAAATTAGGAGCACAGAAACTAAATCAGAGAGCAAATGGGACAGATGCTTCACCACACTAACACCTTTACTATAATATTTTTGCAGCAGTTCTTAAAAAAAGCACCAGTTGCCTACCTTGCAGTAGCACTCTCCTGTAGTCTTGTTACAGGCTGGATTGAAGCCGAGATCCCTGGAGCATTTACAGGGGCCACAAATGGGGTGTCCATACCACGAAGCTGGACACGGCTGTTCAGTGACAATTTCACAGTGGTCACCACTGGTCATCAGGCCACAATCACAAGTGTAGTTGATGTTCTCCCCAAAAGATGGGCCTCGACAATTACCCCAGTTCTCACAGGGGTTGTAAGTCTGGCAGATATCATCACAATGAGGGCCAAGGGTCCCTGTGATTTCAAACAATAACAGTATAATGAAAGCTACTCAATCACAAAAATAAATATTTATCTTAGATTCAGTAAACTTCTATGCATATGCATGCTTTTAAATGAAATCGAATGATTTTGTGTGATCTGCTTTCACAGTGATGTTACCTCTTTCACTTTTGAGACAACAGTCTACCAAGTTACAGTTACAGTGCCTAGAGTTGACAACACGCAAATCCCAGTCTGGCATACAATTTTTATCATTTGAAAAGTTAAAATATTACTTTGTGTTCAATACATACCAGGGGGACAGATACAAGAGTAGTCTCCCCATTTATCAACACAGGTGGCACCAGCAGCACAGGGGTTTTCATCACAAAGGTTGGTGACAGTGCAGCCATCTGCAACATTGTGACCTTGGGGACGCATAAGGACGGCACTGGGTGTGTTCCCTACACGCATGTCCTTAAAGAAAAACAGGGGTCTATTATGTTTCAATAATGTAAACATTGAATAAAATATCAGTTGTTGATCAATATACATGTACCACGCAAGTCTCTCATTACCCATAAAGTTAATGGACCAGAACAAGTAATGTCTCATTTTTGTAAGTCTCAGGGGAATTGAAATATAACTTTGAACAATTTTAAAATGTTACATATCCTTCCTGCACATCAAATCAATATTGACATATGATGCTACAAGAAGTTATACAATACAAATATTACACCAAAAATACAAAATCAAAATAAATGCATTACCAGTTTAAGTTCCTACATATCCTCAAACGTACAGTAAATCTACCCATCTTGTATGGCGAAGCCTTACCTCAACACAGCCAACAAAGCCTTTAGATATAGGCCCTGTACCTATCCTCTCAGCTCCCACATATATCTCTCCAATCTTCTGGTTCTTAAGATCTCCAATAACTGTGTCAACTTTCTATAATGAAGCAGAAGAAAGAATACCTTGGTTGTAGTACTATAACATCAAACTACCTGTATTTGAAACTGTAAGGCTATTACAGCCTATTAGAGAGTGTATATTACACTCCCCATCTTCTATGTTTCTACAACCCTGTCTGACAAAGTATTAAAATTTATTTCAGACTTTCAGCCTTTGCCATGGATAAAGTTAAAACAATTATCAAATAGTCAATCTGTAACACCAAAAAAAGAGATTAATCTGTGATGGAAATTGTTTGGTTTTTCTACTGACCTGCCAGTGTCCATAGTCAAGCAGAAAGAGTAGCTGACCACGATCCTGCCACCTAACCTCAAAGTAATGCCATTGGCCATCATTGACCTTGACAGAACTGAAGGGGAAGTTCTGGGTCATATCATCGTTTTTGTAGTTGTAATGTACGTAGCCATCGACCAACTGAAATAAAAAAGCAATGTTTCAAAGTTTCATCATGTCTGGTAGATCATTAAGATTCCCAAAATTAGAAACGTGTAACTTTACAATTACCTTTTTACTAGCTGGTGATTGTGAAATTGAGAATATTTCTGAAACAGAAGTCTACAGAGCCTCTTTTGACTAAATACTTGGACAAAATGGAACTGCCAGAAACTGTTGGCAAGCCTGTTGTCACTCTAAAAGACATATCTTAAAGCTGATCACAGATAACTATCCATTATAACCTCTTAAACAAGAGCGCCCTATTGTTGCTAACGGTAACAAATGATAGTCCAGATAATGACCTGCATAAGTATGGAGTGACCGTTGACAAGAGTGATATACATAAGAGCTCCTGACTCGGCACGTGTCCTAAAGGACAGACCGTTGTACCATGTTGTAAAGATCTCCACACTGCTTAAAGAGTTGTTACTGAATTTCAGAAAGCCATTTCCGTCCAATCGCTTTGGTGTGTCAATCCCTGAAAAAGTAATACAAATGTAACTAAAAATTCTCTATATTATAGTTCGTAAATGTACAGAATGGAAAATAAAACAAAAAATCCTGGAGAGATCTTGGCACCCACAACTTTTTGATCTTCATTTGTTCTTGCACAACAAGGGACCAATAACATGTGTTTATTTTATAAAAGATCAATGAAGTACTTCTCCAGAAATAACGATAAATCTTTTTGTCAAAATCAAAGATGGCTGCCCGTTGGCCATGTTGTTTTTCTGATCAGCAACGTCTAGGAACAAAGGGGAATCTACATATGAAATTTGAAAAAAATCCATCCAGTTTAATGAAACAGTGATAAGAAAAACTGTTTAAGGACTGACAACAGATGAAAAATCACAGATACAGGCCGATTTAATTGAGTAAAATTGAAAAGAAATGCAATAATTCATTAACTTAACATCATAATATTTCAGAATTAGATTTAACAGGTTCTGTATAATTGTCAAGTCAACTGGATAGAAAAAAGAAATCAATATTTTACATCTAGTTACCTTGACTACAGTCTTTATTTCCAGCTTTGCTTGGACACTCACATCTGTAGACACCCCAGCCATTGACACAAGTACCTAAAGAAACAATCGTAAATAATACAGATATATTCAAGGAAATTTTAGAGGTCACAGAGAAATTATCCGGGTGAAAGGTCAAATGTCAAGAATAGCAGCATTATTTAATGTCTGACTGAACTCCTAACAATTTTTCAAGACAGTTGATAGAAATTTTAAAATGCTTGCTGCGGCCTTGAGTAAGGTCAGCAGATAATCAAAGAAATAAGCAAACCATGACATCAACAATCCCAAGTAAACTTTCATATCATATCAACGACCCATAAAGATCATACAATATATAAGCAGCCTGATCAATTGTTGACTGACCTCCCATCTGACAGGGAGCTCCGGCACAGAAGTTCTTTTTCTCCGAACATCCCATCTGTGTACCAATATTTGATACAGATTTGTTCAGGTCCAGCAGCTCCTTGTCTATGTAAATATCTTTCATACAGCCTTCAAAGTCCTTGTTCTGGATCTGGAAGGTGGAGGGAAGCCGAGGAAGCCCTCCGATCTGGAATGGTCCAGTGAGGTCCAACAAACGATAACAGATGTTGGTGTTGATAGCACACCTGGAAAACAGACAGAAGTGTTCTGATCCATGCAATACATAAATCTGGAATCTGTTTAAAATGTCCATTTGTAATTAATAATACCTAAGGCAGAAATGCCATAATGAAGATTATGTCATGAAACCCAAATGTCTTTCTACTGGTTTTAATTATATATTTCATGGAAAATAATACAAATGATTGTATGTGATCACAATATATTTCTTAAAATTGTTGTCTTATCCATGTGTCACTAAGTCTCATCTCTAAGGAAATTCTGCATCGTTTGAATAGCTGATTTACCAGAACTATTTTAAGTAACATACTTGTATAGTTAGTTTGAGCTGAAGTAAGCTTGGATAAGACAGGCTAGGATTAACATTATCTGAATGTATATTTGTAGAGTATACTTACATTTCTGGGAGAAAATGTGTTGTCCGGGAGGCACAAGAGTTGTTGGTGATCTGATCTCCATACATAACAAAGATCTGTGTGTCACAATCTTCTCCCACAGTCAAGGTCACCGTCTGTAAATAAAAATAACACAATGTAGATAGCACAAAGCCATGGTCAAAATCTGTCAACAGTACTCTCAGTAAGAAACATTAATCACAAACTATGTCAGAGTGTTTCAAGACCATCTTACATAAATCATAACACAAGGTCAAGGTCGTGGCCTCTAAAAATCAAATCCTAACATAGTCAAGACAATCCTATGTTAACACAGCGCAAGGTCAGGGTCACTGTCTACAAACATCAAATCCTAACCAAGATGGAAAAAAAAATCCTTCATAACTTAGCACAAGGTCAAAATTACATCCTAATGGGAAGTGAAGAAAAGCCCAGATAAATCAGAATAAATCAGATCAAGGAAAGAGTTAATATAGAATTTTAGGAATATTACATTTTTGAGATGGAGAAATTTCTAACATAACATTTGGTCAGATTTCAAAAGAGGGAAAGGATTTGAAAATGTTTAGTAAAATACACTTAAGTAGTTCTGCTCTGATTTTTTCCCTATTCCATATGCTATTTAGGGGAAATTACTACTAATACACTACTTAAAGAATACTTCTCTTTACCAGTAGTAAAAGTTATCTATATCAGTTTCTGCAAGGCCACTATTTGTAAACATACAGATCAAGGTCACTGGTCTACATAAAAACATCAAATCATAATAAAGTCAAGATGATACTTCATAATTCACAGTACAAGGTCAAATATCTGTAACAAAGTACAAGGTCAAATATATGTAACATAGAACAAGGTCAAGTATCTGTAACAAAGTACAAGGTCAAATATCTGTAACATAGTACAAGGTCAAATATCTGTAACAAAGTACAAGGTCAAATATCTGTAACATAGTACAAGGTCAAATATCTGTAACATAGTACAAGGTCAAATATCTGTAACAAAGTACAAGGTCAAATATCTGTAACATAGTACAAGGTCAAATATCTGTAACATAGTACAAGGTGAAATATATGTAACATAGTACAAGGTGAAATATCTGTAACAAAGTACAAGGTCAAATATCTGTAACAAAGTACAAGGTCAAATATCTGTAACATAGTACAAGGTCAAATATCTGTAACAAAGTACAAGGTCAAATATCTGTAACAAAGTACAAGGTCAAGTATCTGTAACATAGTACAAGGTGAAATATATATAACATAGTACAAGGTCAAGTATCTGTAACAAAGTACAAGGTCAAATATCTGTAACAAAGTACAAGGTCAAGTATCTGTAACAAAGTACAAGGTCAAGTATCTGTAACAAAGTACAAGGTCAAATATCTGTAACAAAGTACAAGGTCAAGTATCTGTAACAAAGTACAAGGTCAAGTATCTGTAACAAAGTACAAGGTCAAGTATCTGTAACAAAGTACAAGGTCAAGTATCTGTAACAAAGTAGAAGGTCAAATATCTGTAACAAAGTACAAGGTCAAGTATCTGTAACAAAGTACAAGGTCAAGTATCTGTAACAAAGTACAAGGTCAAATATCTGTAACAAAGTACAAGGTCAAATATCTGTACCACGGTCCAAAATCAAATATCTGCAACACAGTACAAGATGAAATATCTGTATCACAGTACAAGGTCAAATATCTGTAACTTAGAACAAGGTCAAATATCCATAACATAGTACGAGGTCAAATATCTGTTTCATAGTTTAAGGTCAAATACCTAACAGTACATGTCAAATATCTAAGTAATACTGTTGGTAGGAAGCACATTAATATAACACTTATACATACATAATTAATAACAAGCTTTTTAACAGAATTCATCTTTCATCTATTTGCATTGACAAAGCCTAGACTTTGTATATACCTATTTGTCCAATAACAGCAGCACTATTCCAGAATATTATATTACAATTTATAGGGTACCAGAGGTTAACCTTCAGGGATGTTAGATTTCAGCCATGATAAAATACTTGTGTGATACTTATGAATGAATGAACCATTATCTGTGTTACAATCAGGAGTCTGACTTGTAATGACATCATGATTGTCCTGTTGTGTATGGAGGTCGGCCCTATTTGTAAGCGAAACAATGTCTACATCCCCCTACAAAACATCTGTTTTGTTCCTGTTCACTGTGTTGAGAAGTGTGATTTATACACTAAGATATTATCTGTGTTGTAATGGGGGTCTGTAGCTCATGATCTACTCTGCCTTCTTCTCATAAAACCCTATCACCATGCACAGCATTTCCTACACATACATATCCATGCTGTCATTGTAAACGAGGCTACTTGGTTCACTGATGAAGATTAAACTTCAATCTTGGGGTTAAAAGGTATCTTGTACTCAACGGTACAATTGCAGGGGTAGCAGAAAACGAACAATAGTTTCAGCTGATATTACAATGAGCGTTTGTAGTCTTATCAACACTATTTCCTGTTTGTTTTCTTTCTCAAATGTGGAAGATTGGGAACAAATGTTGGCGTCTAATCTATGTTATACTGCTATATACTAAGTGCATGTTTGATCCCCAGCATCAATCATCCTTATACACTATCATATTTATGAAGGCAGCCAATACATATGACTCGAAATAGAGAGGCTTTATTACACAGAAATGATATGTGCTTATTTTTACTTAATTTACCACAGAAATGACTTTTTTCCTCTTAAATACGATACATCATGTATGGCTGATTTCCATCAGAAATTATTCCAATATTGAAACATTGATTCAGAAAACACTACAACATCTGCATTTATATACTACAATGACAAATTACATCAGTCATGTGATCAGTAATCCACATCGGTCATGTGATCAGTAATCCCCAAGGTTTCCGCGATCCTTGCTGCCATGTAGTGGCACTATCTCAAATTTCCTATATTGATCAGCATCATTCGAGAGGACGCCATCATTCATGACTGTTATTTATGGAGACAAGAGCAGAAACGACCAAGACCAATACTGTGATGCTGATAGATTTCCAAAGGATTATAGCCAGCATTAGTCGTAACATGCACAGCAACAGCTGATTGGACTGTAATGAACAGAGTAACCAAAGCAGCATTCACAGACATTGACAAATGACTGTCACATATTTCATTTATTTTTCTGCATGAAATTGTTGACTCCAAGATATTGTCAATGTAAACGATATGAAACTATGAGTCTTTAAATGTTTGAATACCTCCATTAACTGTTATTACCTAACAAAGAGTTCTATGTACAATATCATGTTTAGCCATCATACGTGACAGGTGAGTGCGAGACACACTTAAAAGGCCAGGAAATCAGGCTGGTTATAGATGGCCATTACACATGCTACCCTATAGCCTCTTTATGGACCGTCAGAGGTGGGGCCAACGGTTCTCTGAGCATTGTGGTTGTAGTGAGTTTAATGAGGATAATATTCTGCACGTAACAGGGTTTTAGTACATAAAGGATACTATATCAGTTCACATAAAAATCACATCTGTTGTTTTATTTACTCATTACAACACTTAATACACCTGAAAGAATAGTGAATTATACCATTAACTTTGAAGTGATATAGGTGTGAGAGAAAATTTGCAACAGATTAAATTTTTAAATCAGCTAAAGGCAATGAAGCAGTGAAATAAAGAGTAAAATATGTTAACGACAAAAATACTAAAAGAATTGAGAAAAGTACAAATATACACCTTCCACATTTACCCAAGGGAGATTAAGCAGCTGGATCATAAAAGTCAAGTCAGCTAAATGTTTTGAAAGATATTTATGCTTGCGATGACTCATACATTTAAGAATTTAAACAAAGTTTTAAATAAGATCTCCCAACTTTGACCATGATAACGTACAATATTTCGAATTAATTTCATAAATTTGAATTGCTGTTGCCAATCCTAATGAATTAACAAATATATCACTAGAATGTTGTATAAATGTCAGTTCTGACAAACGTTCAAGTGACCATGATTATCACTGTTCAAACATCAATAAATCATCAAGTGTATCATTAGAAATCATTGATTTTTATCCAAGACAAGGAGGAACGTGATTGTCTCACAAATACTCATCAGACAACCTGTAAATGAGGTATACCCGCAGATCTCTTGAATGGGATAGTGATCCCATAATGACTACCTGCATACCATACGGACATATATCTAGACCAAACAGCAAAGATATCGGGACGATTCTCCAATAATTCCCCAGCTAATTAACAGAAATCAAGGACACATCAAAGAGAAGGACGCTGATGTTATTACATAAACACTGGTGTAAAATCCGTGACCCATAAGCTCTTGTAATTTCCACCACTGTCAATGTGGCTTTAATATCAACTTGTACAAACAAACCATTCACTGAAGTATCCATAAAAATCATTACGTAGATAAATACACTTCTACAAACTCTGTATCTATGATCAAAATGGCTAGGGAGAACTGGCAGAGACCACTACGTACTTGTGTAATATACCATCATTTTGGTATCTTAAGTCTTCAAACTTGCATCATCAAAAATAGATGAGACAATGCAAGCTGTATCATGATGATAACAAGCCTGTCTACACCTGTTTCAAGTGCTATTCCCCAGAGAAGACACATGCACATGCAGGTACCATGGAAAAGGCTTCCCATCAGTAGCAGCATGGATGTATTTTTACTTTATATCTAAGACAACAGCTTCTCCTAATGAAAAACAATCATATCACATCTCACACACAAGTTGACAAATTGATTTGGTTTCTTTAACCCAGAAACATCACTGCAGCACTACAGTTTAGAAAAGATTTCTTCATTAGCTTGATACGAGACTATAATTGTCTTTAGGGGTGAAATCCTTCCTTGCCCTGCAGAAACAGATGCCAGTATGAGAGATAGCCTCCATCATTATCAATGTCATCAAGATGGCATGACTCGGAGACAGGCAAACTACATCATTACCATGTAAATTACTATAATGGTGAGGTATTGTGAATTATTACAAAACATATCTTATAATTAACATTGAGACATCTATGATATTGCCATCAGTGGGGTAGATATGGGGTCGACCTAGCTGTCACACACCTGATTTAGCCCCAGGTACCGGCCTTCAGACAATCTACATACACAATCCAACATCAAAGGCATCAATTCAATTATATCTTTTTTTTCAAACACAATAAAATAATTCTGGAGATGCTTGGATATGATAGTATTTTATTAATTTATTTATTCTTGAGCAATTTATTGCATAATTTAATGTCTAAAATCAATAATTCCCCTACAGGTTTTACTCCGAGTTAAGATTTTATAGTGACAACACAATCCAGGGTAGCTAGGCTTCTACCATAAATCTTGTATGTTCATAGACATTATTGCTCTGTTTAAACAAAATGCACAGTTTATTTTATGGGTGCTTTGGTCATCATAAACATCATATTCCACCAGCAATTTATTCTCCCAGAAAATCAATTACATTAATTTCACTAGTAACAGATGGCAAAATATTTTTTTTGTCAAATCATTATTTGACTTTTTTTCTTCCATTAATTATGCAACACAAGTTGCAGTTGAAAGTGTTCTTTTTCTGTTTTGAATTTCACATACAAGTGATCCGCATGACTAAAGCCTATTTATTCATCAGACTATGACTTCTATTTTATGAATTAATGGTACAGCAATCACCTTAATTACTTTTAGAAGTCCAAACAAGTCTTTCACATTTCACTTTTACCAAAAAACTGTCTATCTATTGCAATCAAGTTTGTTAGAGACATGAATTTTCAATTTCCAGAGTGAAAATATGAATTGATAAAATCAGATTTGTGTTGTTTGAGAAACTGGTATTTCCACAGGACTAGAAAAAAAAAGCACATTGGGGAAATCAATTAAAATCAAAGAAATACATATGACTGATAGATATTACTATCTGGGATTCCAGTATTAGACCAATCATGGTTCCTCTAGGGCTACAAGGACTTGAAACACTTCATCATCATGGAAGCCAATGACATGCATATAACTTCTATCCAAGGTTATTGTTTCAGCTTCATCATCATTCAAGCTTTTTTCTAACAGATATTTTGACTTGCTAAACCCTTAAATGAATCAGAAGAAATGACATTCTGGATATTAGCAATTCTATTTTTTCTTTCTTCTTCTTTCAATCGTATAAATAAAATCCAATTCTTGTTATAGGATTTTTAACCTGTTCCTGTGCCTTACATGTCATAAGAACAGATAGATACTTAATGGTGTTCCACTCATCACCATTTCATCACCATGACAGACATTCTGATATTGATTTCTGGAGGAAACCTTACTTGTAGGTATATGTATCTGATGTAAGTTGAAACCACAAATAAACACAAGCTGCAATTATAAATATAAAAATATACCTTGCCAAATGTCAAGAACACATTTGAAACGAAATAATAAAGTGTTTTGCTGTGCAACAATTCATTTTGTTAGTATACCCAGGAATCTGTGCAATCTAAGACTTAGGATAGAGACGGACTGCCCAAATGGTTATGTAATTATTGAAGAGACACAACAGCCCTTACTCTAACGGGTGTGCTATATAATCTGGAGCCACAGAATCCCTAACATGATCAGACAGCGAATTCAGAGACCTCCAGTCTCTTTGCCTGATCTTTACACTGGTGACACAATTCCTGTGAGATCGAACATCAGCATATCGGAGATGTAGGGGGGTTGTAATTAGAACACAAACTGCAGACAAATGGCGTTAACATTCATTTCTCTGTAGATTGACTAGGCCAGATATTCGTTCTGGTGTGTTGTGGTCGAACATTCACACATCAATCTTGGGACTAATAGAGAGGCTTCGTGTTCCATGTCTCCTTGGGTAAAACTCTGCATGTCAATGTCTGTTTGCTTGTCAATACCCACACTGGTGTACTGCTAAAAAGCCTTTGTACCAAATAGAATAGTTTATAGTTCTTATTTAGATTCTGCCCTTGTTTGCATGAAAATCTCATATATTTAAATTTCATTGAAATGAAAATTGCAAGGCAAAGCTGAATCTAGCATCCATAATGACTCTAAGATTGCGGAAGTTGGACACAGAATGAAACAGCACATAACTTACAAAAATCAATTTCCTATTGTTCCAATACACATTTTAGATTTCCCATACTTAATTATGGAGATCGACATCTTTTGCATTAACAAAAGATAACATATCTCTCATCTCAGAATTTCAATTTATACTATCAGAGAAAGTACTTAACAACACACTACATCAATGGTTGCAAGAGTTCCAAACAAGACCATCTACGAAGTGATGTACTGCTACAGACCTATAGGTTCCAGACCTCGACAATGGGCAATGAGGGAAAATAATTAGAGACAAAGGTTCCCGGTGTCTGGTGGATATAAAACACAGAATTAAAGAGGACACGTCAGGAGATGTAGCCATCAATTAATTCCTGTCTAATAACACGCTGCACCGTGAAGAGATTGGAGTCTTTATTAGGCTCACAAATCTAATGATAACACACAGATCTTCATTAATTTTACTTCCGAAAGAATTTTTTATCAACCAATGCAGACAATGCTTCACCTGACCTTTACATGACCTTGCTATCAAAACCTTAATAGAGAGGATGGCTGAAGATCATTATTAAAACCTAATCCTTTATCATTTTTCAATAGGAAAAGGATTCTACCTCAGCAGGAAATCCCTACAATGGTGAATAAAAAATAATCTTGACTTGCTAATGTTTTGATAAAATGAAAATGATCAATCTTATACACACAATAGTACTTAATGTATGTAATAAGTATACTGTCCCTCACTTTTGTATAATTTTCTATTGTTATTTTTCAATAGCAATTTCATTCACATTATGAAATTCTTTAAAACAATCTTTCAAACAATAGCCATGTTATGTAAATCAACCTGACCCTGTATGTTTTACAGAGAGTGACAGATATATGACACACAAAAATAAACAGTGCAGTGTGTGTTTAGACTGATGTAAGTATTCAATGTGAGATAAAAAAAAATATGAACCAGTTATTAATAACAAAATCTGACCTCTGTGACCTTAACCTTTGACATAGTGACCTGGACTGTTATTCATGTTCCCATATACCTTTCATTCTGACCATTGTTTTCATGTTTCTTTAAAATCTGTAATATGTTGGTTGCATAGCAATGCAAGTCAAATTTTAATTTGGGAACTGTGACCTTGACTTCAACGTAAGACTCAAATTTCTCAGAGATATCTGAAAATCTACAGAAAAAAACTCCATCAAAATTAATCTAAAATTAAAACCTGATATAGCAGCGACAATCCATTGCTCAGATAGACAGACACCACCTTACCATAATATGACTTAACGAAGACAAGTGAGGATGCCTAATTTTACCAAGTTGTACTTTACCTTACTACGTTTGTATTGGGTGCACTACAAGAAAGCGTCCTATTGCAAAATAATGATTATTGGGAAAAAACCCTGTTACAAAATAGCATTGTAATCACAGTTTATTCCCTTATAATAAATATCAATGTAATTTACACATGTGGGGCACAGCAAATAGCATACATTGCAGTTATCAACTAATATGTCATAATTGAATAACAATGCACATGTCATGTTTTATTGCAGCGTTCATGAACAGTTGTGAGCCTGTAATATACAGGAAGGCATACATCTAATAACTGTGACAGATGTTTGCACAGATCAGGCTCCTTCAAATGTTTGTATTTCTTCCTCGTTGCAACAATTGTGCAATCATTAGGGTATAAAGTTTCTCAGTATTCTTGAGTTTAATGGCCATCTGTCTCACACCATGGTGCACTACAGCAGTTATCTATCAGCCAGCTCTCCAATAGCTTACAGTCCAGGAAGAGTGTCAAATATCCCAAGTTACACAGGAAGGAGAATTATGCATAAACCTTGCAGCATGTAAAACAAGGAGCCAAACCATCAATATTTGATAAAGATGTCGTGTTTTTATTCCACTATGGCTTAATGTTGTCTAGCTTTTGATGTAATCCAAAAGATAGAGAGAATGACCTTGGACTAAAGTTAATAACATTTAATAGGACTACTGGGAGTACATAAATAAAGACCTCTGACCTTGATTGCATACAACTTGTATCAAATATTTAGTTACAACATACACACAAGTAATCTGATTTACTCAACACTTCAGCCAAAGCTGATCATCACCATGGCAATGAGTACACCACATATTTATCCTCCGTCTGCCGCTAGCCTCTCGAAAATGTCTAAAAGCTGGTCTCATATCAGGCATATTTCAAAAATGTAATGCAGCTTTCTGCCAAGTACTTAAGACATTGAATTATTGAATCGCAGATAACTCTGCATCGCCTGTGATATGTATTTAAACATCTATATATTGATAGGTCTGAATATCCAAACTGCAGTTACAAACACCGAGATGAAAGCTATGTCTCTTATCTGATTTCTATTATAAGTATATCTAATCCACAGTACTTCAACGTTCTCTACCTGAAGACAAACTTATACAACTGAATCATCACTGTATTTACGAAATTCTCAGATACAAGAGCTTGATCTATTTGTGGAAAGTGATATCAAATGTCCTTTTAAATAAATAACACATAAAGTTAAATAAAATTGACCTTCACTGTATATTTGAATTGTCAGCCAGGAACAACCTTTCCAGACAGTTCCTTTGTATACTAGAATGCACACTTACATTCCCCTGAACATCATCCTCTGATAACCCTGATCCCTGGACCAGCTTGTGTAATGAGCACTCAATCCTCAGCCATGAACAGTTATCTCCCCTCTTTACCCTCTTCTTTGCACTGTGAATATCTTTCACTATAACAGCTTTTCCTGACATCTCTCCCCTTGTTACTACTCCTCCTTCATGTGATTTTGAATTTATATTGTAACCTTTCCCAGAACATCCCTTCTGAGGCAAATTTACTTAATCCATTGACCACATCTTGCATTAGTTATCTGCCCCTAACAAATTCTTTGGGTATATGTGACACCTACCTTGTTAACATAGCGAATTTCAACATGCTGCCACTCTCCGTTGCCGAGACCCCCTAGTACATTGGAGGAGATAGTGGTGATGTTTGACCCCAGGGAGAAGGAAAATTGTACTTGACCATTGATCAATTCCAGGGCAATGAAATCATGCTTCTCATTGAATCGACCATTATAAAGCAAAAGTCCATTCTGTTGTTGGGTTGCAAATCTGAAAAACATAAGTTTGTCACATAAAATTTGTAATTTCTTGTATATAAAATTTCCATCTATTGCTATCACATACATCTTTCCAAGAAATTAACGAACACCAAGTACCACTCAAAATAAACAAGATCTATTGTTTATGGGGTTTTTAAAAAAGTTTTTTTCTGTCCAGAATTGTTATCCTTTCCTAGAAGTAAAGTTCTAACACTTTGATTGCTTTCATACTTAACGTCAGTTACAGCTACAACATTTATAATCATTGGTAAAATACTGAATATTTATCTCATTTACTTGTGTTACATAACAGCTATAAGTACAGTTGATTCATTTTTATAAAAGTTTATTTCATTTCTCATTCTGGACTATTTTTTCACCTTTGTGTGTGGAACATGTGCCTTTAAAAGTACACAGCTGATGTATATCAGTTTTCAGACAACAGATTATAGACAATATATTTGTTATATTTAATCCTTAAATGTACTTGACACTTCACCTGATTTCATTAAAAGCATTCACATTAATCTAAAGAAATTGTGAACAACATAACAAAAAACAGATCATGTGTCTTCTTTTGCCTTAAGGTAAGTAAACAGGTTCTTTTGTAGATCTTGAAATCTAAAATCTTACTAAAATGATTCTAATGGACTTGGCCTTTTCATTAAATCTGTATCAAATTAGCCTAAATTCAAAATAATGATTTAGGGGTTACTAATTAAATTCAATCCTATACATAATTTAAGGATTATTTCTAATTCTAGAACTGGTGTGAAATCAAGATCAAAAGATCATGGTCGGTCCTTTGTAACACCTGTACCAGAGGCACGCCACTTCAATCACCAAAGTGTGGCAAAGCCATTTACCTGGTCAGGTAGGTCTTTGTGTCCAAAGCACCATTCAGAAGAAACAGCAGATGATGGTAACATAAAGAGTCATACACCACATGTCTTTGTCCCTTTATTTGGCACACAGTTCTAATTGATAATTAACTAGAGAATGCTGTGTCTGTCACTACACATCAGTTCAAATTTACAAGATTATCATCCATTATCAATCTCTGTTGTATTCTTCCTTTCTAGGTGGGATTGAGTTAATTATATTTTGTCTGTTTAAACCTGTTAAAACTGATTAAGAACAGGAAAAAGTACCTTTAATTTCATGCCTTATTGGCGCCTTTGACCTCCAATTATGAATTCCAACACCAGTTACCTGTTAGGCGAGACTTTTGACCTTTGACAGTGAACATAAGGCTACACCTATACCTGGTGTCACTTACAGGTATGTATAACCTTATCATAACAAATCTGTAAGATTTTCATTCCAATTTCCTATATGTATATCATTTTTATTACAAAGAATTATTTTCCTGACAGAAACATTTATCATACATTGACTTCTTTTAAATTTCAATAACAAATACCTGATAGACAATGGACATTGTATACTCCAACATATCTTTTATCAATCACTGGCTATGAAAACCCAATGTAACATTTTTTGTAATATGACCAAAATAAAATCACCGAAACACTTGTTTATTCTTGTTTGGATTATCTTCCCCAGAAATCCTTAAGTTCTGAATCCTTTCATTCAGGTATATTTCACGAAAATACATCAAAAGTTTAGCCATTTCTTATCTATTTAAGTATCCTACTCATTAAGAAATATACGTCAGAGATCTTTTTCAATAAGTTTCATAATTTTCTATAAAAACTAATATACAGGTAATGCAGACGAAGTTCTGATAAGAGCAGTTAAAATCTATTGGTTAATTTATGATAAAGTCATGTACATCCCAACAAATACCAACTAAGTATATTTTTGTCTTGACAAAATACTACAAATTTTTAAAATGCCTTGATATCTGTATTGACATTCCTGTTATATAATGATTTCATTCTGAACAAATGAGTGATATTTTTGACATTATCTAAGAATTAACTCTTCAAAACAGCAGTGAAAAGAAATAGGACCTGGTACATTTTATCAGACACATTCCATCCCCCTCCCCCTTAAACAATAAACGACCTTGACACCTTCTAGGCCTACTCAAACACACATTCAAATTCTAGCTCTTATCTCCATACCATTTTTTATCTCACAAACAGCTGAGAGTGTGTCCTTCTACATTCAGTAAGTACACTTCACATTAGGGTTCACCCTGCAAAACCTACACACTTTCCCCCCTGGCATGAAACTCCAATTTTAAGCTTAAAGCTAGCGTGTTTGTACAAGAAAACAGTCTAGTTTAAAGATCAAAAGCTTTGTTTACGATGATAAACAATTCACACAAAGGCAAGCGACTGGACATATCTTACTTAAGGTATGAATACAAACTTTGGCCAGTTTAAGATAGACAGCTACTATATAAACAGGTATTCTACAAGCTTTCAATACCTGACTGATACCCAATGAAATAATACTTCTAACCATCAAAAACAGCTTAGATGTCTCAAATTTTTATCTTTATTTTGTTTTACATAGAATAAGAGTTACCTTGATGAAACTTTCAAAGTTAACATTTTATCAGGGTATTTACTGTACTAAAAATAAGCTCCCACAGGTATGGAAAACACATTACCTAACAAAAGACACAGGTTAGACGACCTGTCGACTTAAATGCCTTGTGAACTGTCCCATTGTGTTTACATAACACAGTGAAAGTCTCTGTCCATTTTGTCTGTCATTGGTCACTTTCAGCTGACCATCCAATGTCTATAGGTGAGGAATTTGACACCATTTTGTTAAATATTTATCAAGGAATAAGTACAACACAAGTCCCATACCATAAATATTCTAATACTCTGCTGTCAAACCACCATCAGTGAATACGACATGGATGAAATTTTTAGAATGCTTGTGTTTACAGTGTTTATACATCTATCAAATTTTTGCAGTTCCTTTCAGTCAACAAGGCTAATTTTTCACCAAAAATATGAAAACAATGAAATAAATCAATGTAAACACATTGGAAAATAACTTACTTCAGCTCGATGGTGAATCTGTTTCGTCTTTTGAGTGCCGGGAAGGTGAGAAAGGATCCCTTTGGAAACCTGCGGGTAGTCAGCTGACAGAATCTGTTGAAGTGTGGCTCAGATGGGCAGCCCTCACAACGGAAACCTCCTTTGATGAGGGGCACGCAGGTTGATGGGGGCTGACACAGGTCACTCGGACAAGATGCAGCATCATACTTTTTTGTTATGTTGATATTACAGTTCCTCCCTAGATAAAGAACAAAGTACATTTATAATGTATGTAATCAAATTGAAGAAAAAAATTAAATGACAACCAATTAATTTAAAAAAAGAAATTAAGGAAAATTTGATCAACCAATATCTAGTAAAGAGTGTAGTTGTAACTTCATTTATTGTCTCTGTTTTAATAGGATTCCGTGTTTCTTCACTGTGACATTCTAAGATCTAATCAAAGAAACTCATCCTGTACCCATTTTTTTTCTGTGAATGTTTCAAAGATACACAGATAAAAAAAGGAATTCACACAGTTAAAAAAATATTACAAGTGTTGATAAAGATATGAAGTGATGTAAAGCAAATTTAATGATTAATAATTTACATAAATTTTGTTAATCTGATGAAGATATTAGATACATATATCAAATTTCATTTTCATGTACTGTTAACACAAGGAAATCAAAAATGCAATTTTACAGAGCTACATTTGCAGACAGATAACAGCTCCTACGGAGACAAGATAGCTAACTTCAATAATATTATTCATGTTCAATAAAGACATACAACATCTACCTGTACCAAATATATACCTGTAGCATTCAATTACTACTACAGGCAAATCCGATAAACCTGTTTGACTCATCTATCCATAAAAGTTAGCTTTCTTTGATGTTGACAAAATAAAATCTCTATCTTCCCTGTTATCTACGAGTTATTGTTCGGTGTCAAGTGGAACTGATATAGATATACATAAGTTGTGTCAACTGAACTAAAACATTTAAAAGACAGATACTTAACACAAGAACATTTATCAGGACTTTCAACCAATTGACACAAAAATGATAGGAGTATTGAACATCAAATATAAACCTTTACTAATAAGCCTGCACCCCACTTTTGTAGTTTACTGTGATGTGGGGAATATCAAAGAGTAGACTTACTTCCTTACATTAAAAGACTCTCCGTCTTTGTATGGATATTACAGCTTTAACAGCACGTAGGAAAAAAGCTCTAGATCAGAAACTGCCAAACACAGTTCATGGACAATTTAAAAGTCAGCTACTTAAAGCTTCTTCAATGTCTTTATAATTTTTGATATGTGTTGGCACCATTGCAAACAATATCTTCTACATAGAATTTTTTAAAGTACCTTGGTACTCATCATTTATATAAATATGAGATTACAGTACTGATTTTAGTAGCCATATTAATAATTTTCATTGTATTATAAAAAGTGCAGATCTCAATTCCTTTGTACATAAACTGCTTTTTACCATGACACTATATCTAATAATATAGTTTATTGTATGTTTGCTTGTGTGAAATTTTCATCTTTCAATTTTTTTGACAAATTCACCCAAGTTTGATGAATCCATACAGGTATATTTACCTGTAGCATACTGATCTCTCATTAAGCCATTGCCTGGCAATAAGCCCACCCATACCCATTGAGGTTCAGTAAACATGCAAACAAATCATTTTTCAATGTCCTGCAAAAAGCTCACCAACTAAATTTAAATCAAAGTTTGTTTTGTGTATCATTTTTTACTTCTCTTTTGAAAAAATTCTATCAGAGTGAAAATGAAACAATGAAAATGATTTAGTTGAGCAATGTAATAAAGTAAATTTGATGTCATATGCGTGGCTATCAGTCTGAGATTAACTCAAAGTTGCAACAAAGTGTATTTTGATGTTTATACCGATATTTGATAACTAAACACAAATATTATTAATTGTTAGATTGGAAAGTAATGGGACTCCTGGTGTGCTGTTTAATCCTGGAATGTTTTCAATGTTGTAATCAATAAAGGATGTCCATATTGACATGGAGGCTCACTAGTGTTGTTTTAAAACTCTATTGATTCTTTAATGATGCCCTGAGGTTTTCCACCGCCTTAATGGAGATGCCAGGATCAGATAGTTATTAGTCTTAATTTCATGACTGTTGTTTTCCCCAATCCTATCTGATTTTCAGTTGTCTCCGATTTCTACACCCTTCGTTTGTGACAATAAACACCTAACATAGACAGACACCCACCGTTATTACCACACCACTGAAAGTATAGCACATGCAGCCAGCCGACTAATATACCTATACACTTTGTGACAGGACTCGTCATAGCTTGACCTTCAGAAATGGTAGGGATTGGAAACGGGAAGACATAATTACCTGTATTCTAAACTTACACAAGGAAAGAAAATATCTACCAGCATGTAACAGTGCAACAAAGATTTTATTTTCTAGTTTTCATTTTTTCAGTTTTTGTTCTGTACTTAAGGATGAAAATTCCTGAACATCAACAATAAAAATGTCATATTTCATAATAGTGTCTAAACCCGCAGATTTCTGACTAGAATACACTGTATACTATAATTAGATGTCCCGATTAATTCACCATTAAATCTACCAATCAAAGCAGGAGGTTTGGTGGAAGATCATCTCTCAGCATAATTAAAGGATAGTTTTACATTTTTAATCTTCTCTCGAACAAAGAATGGTAACTAAATCCCAGCGAATCCCTGATCAACTTAAGGTGATGATATGTAGTCGATTCCTAGCAGGTATAGGGGTAGAATGCAGTTTAAAGGCAAGTTGTATTAAAATAACTGAACACCAAAGATTAGAATATGCAGGTGTTGTCATCTCCTCGATCAATAATAGTTTGCACAAATAATTAAATGTGGACAAATTTTCGGCAGTCATTACTCCTCCCACTGTCATTCAATGGAGATTTTCATGATAGAAACCACATTCTGAGCACAGATTTAAAGACTAAACAGGTAAAGAGTCGCAGATACCTGGAGATAACATCAGGTTTAAAAGTCGACTGAGGATTGATTAACAGCTGATAATTTGAAATGTTAATCAATACCATTCATTACATTGAAGGGTTAAATACAATTGGTCTAACTCAATTTTACGAATGCATCAACGTCTGGTGAAAATTCCTTGTCTAACAGCACTCACAGCAGTCTCTGTCTATAACTATTCACATCAAAGTCTAAATTCAGAACAACCAAGCTTTAAATCTCACCACAAAACAATAGCTTTTGAAAATTTCATTTTATTAAAAAACCAAACAATGAATGGAGATGACCAGTTATCAGTGGCTTGGAATCAATCCTATCAGTCCATATTGACGAAGGTGTAACAAGACCCTGTGATCCAGTCAGCTAAATACCCATACACAAAAGACACTAAACACAAATTCTAACTGTAACAATCACCATGTTGACTAGATGTGAACGCTGTGTACGGAGAACGACCAGATTACTCCCTATCACAATACCCTCTATCTGTAATGATTGCAGTTGAGGGCTCCACAAAGGACAGCCATCATTCCACATGGCCTGTGGACCTCAACGACACAATGTTGCAATTTCTCTCAAGAATAATTCCAAGCTACTTTGTTATACACAGAAACAGTGGCCTTGATCTCTTGGTTACGCTACGTATCACACGACTGCTTTAATCTCTCACCTGCTCAAGTGTTGCACATTTTATCTAAGATCTTTTATACTGACAGAAAAAAAAGAACAACTCAGTGCTACCTTAATTATAATGGAATGTTTCCGTACAGCATCCCTATTAATATGGCATGACAGAGTGACTACCCAGGGTTTTGTGAGATATTAAGGAAGATATTGAATGGACAGATAAAACCAGGATCAAAATTGGAAACTAAACTTTACTGATGTAAACATTATCTCTAAACTAGAAGCTTTCTACGTCTCAGATTCACTGTGTCTGGATGTTGGGGTATATCTGATACGTAATACATAAATCAGAAAAAAATAATATCCTGAAAGTTTTTAATGATAAAGAGTAAATATTGGGCTAGATCAGGTCCTAGCAGGCCACTTATCACGCAATTACAAAAAATACAATAAACTAAATAAATAAGTTTGTGTCCAGCACCTGGCAATTACCAGATCCTACTTATTTTGATGTTTTTCCCCAAATAAATTACTCTTTTACCAATAAGGAAACTGGCTCAAACAGATGTAAAGAGATTTAATTGAGTTTCAATTCATACAAGCTATCAGAAATGTGCCTGAGAATGGTTAACATTACTGGGTCTCTGATGGCAGGAAAGTTATGTGATGATTGAAGTTTTTGGCTTTTGAAATAGCATGACCTATTAAGAGTCTTATATAGAAACATCTTGTTTACCTGTAAAGTTATCACCACACTGACAGGTATATCCACCTTCTCTACGCACACAGGTTCCTCCGTTAAGACAGGGGCTGCTGTAACACAGGTTAACTTCAGTATCACACAGGAAGTCCCTAGTCATACCTGAAAGGAAAGGTAATTATTACATATAAAATTGTTTTACAGGTGTTTTTAGACAAAATATTTATGCATTTTTGAAAAAAAATTTAATTCCATCATAGTTATGATGATGCTGAAACAAATATTCCAAAATTATCAAGATTGTATATCGCACCAATCCTCTATCTGCAACGTATGAGAATACTCATTTGATTGGCATCACTTTTACTGAGGACTTGGATTATTCTGCAGGACATCAGTGATACATTAAATCAGAAAGTTTAATATAGATCACAGAACCCCTGATAAGATTTAATATCAGCATTTTTGCCAACATGAATTATCAGAAGTTCCTACAGCACTACTACATGATAACATAGAAATGATTGGTGCTGATATCACTAGACTGTAACTGACAAAGGATTACCTGTGAAACCTGTCGGGCATTTACAGGTGTTTCCATTGTATGGGCGTATTGGGCGGAACAGCATCATATCCGATGTTATAAAAGGTGCAGCCTGGTCGAAGGACACGTGGGACAAACAGATCTCAAAGTTAGGACATGGTTCTATGACACATAAGTTGTCATCAAATGGCAACACCTGTAATTGAAAAAAAAAAAACAGTAAATATCAGAGCTCAGAATGATGACAACATCCAGTAAACAACAGAGCTCACAATGATTACGACAACCAGTAAACAAGAGAGCTCAGAATGATGGCCACAACCAGCAAACAACAGAGCTCACAATGATGACGACAACCAGTAAACAGCAGGGCTCACAATGATGGCCACAACCAGTAAACAACAGAGCTCACAATGATGACAACAACCAGTAAACAACAGAGCTCAGAATGATGACCACAACCAGTAAACAACAGAGCTCAGAATGATGACCACAACCAGTAAACAACAGAGCTCACAATGATGACAACAACCAGTAAACAGCAGGGCTCAGAATGATGGCCACAACCAGTAAACAACAGAGCTCACAATGATGACAACAACCAGTAAATAACAGAGCTCAGAATGATGACAACACCCAGTAAACAACAGAGCTCAGAATGATGACCACAACCAGTAAACAACAGAGCTCAGAATGATGACAACATCCAGTAAACAACAGAGCTCAGAATGATGACAACACCCAGTAAACAACAGAGCTCAGAATGATGACCACAACCAGTAAACAACAGAGCTCAGAATGATGACAACATCCAGTAAACAACATGCTCATCGATTTTCAAACAATGATAAACATGAACAAGAATTACTAACAAATGACAGATACAGTCATCAAACACTTCCTCATACACCCAACATACTCTAGGTTGCTTTTTCGTAGTTGCCGCCTAGCTCTATCACACTAAAGACAATTTTCCCCTTAGCCAGATCAGTAGAGTGGTGGACCAGTAAGACTAGTGACATATTTGATCCCTGGCAGAGGCACTTCTTCTTTCCCATTATATCTTTGTGCCATATTAAGCACTCCACGTAAAAACCAGGGGAGAGAGATTTCATTGGAGCTAGGTAAGCTGACCATGAACAGAACATATTCGAAGCATCTTCTTGCTTCAGTATTCAAGGGAATTTCTCTTCATCTCTATCGGTAGAATGGAAGACTATTCCTTCACAGGTCTGAGGGGGAGGCAATGCTAATCCTTTCCTGTTACACAGGTATGATTAGTCAATAACACTAAGGTAAATGTCAAAAGCTGATACTCAAAACATATAGTAGAGAGATCAGACTGAATTATCAGTAGCTGACTTCAATTTACTTCAGTTCAGGTAATATTTTGATGTCAAAATTTCACGATACGTATTCTACTTCCTATTCATTATGCAGTCACCACATTCCAGTGAACATTGAAGATCTTCCCTATTCAAATACTCTAAACCTTCCAGTCCTACATATTGTATATAGAGTAATAGGATACATTGGCTTTGTTGATGTAAAATTCCAATTACTTTTATTGATGACAAATTTTAATAGCTGATGTCAACGAACAAACTCATTAATAATGAGGACTTCAGCTTATGATTTCACAGGTATCAAGTATGTATTAAAAAGTATCGCATTTCCGAATTCAGTCTGGGATATGTGTGTAAAGACCAGTAATATAATCATGTGTGGTCTTCTTTAGGTATCAGCTTATAGTAGTGTAATTATAGGGTTTCATAATCTTGCCGGAGTTTAACAACATCAGAATATTACAACTATCTTGTCCTTGAAAAAGAAGTCATTATATACACATTTTATTAGATTAATATTTCCTCCACAGACTTTTAGAGTAAATCACTTAATAACAAAGATACAATCTTGTCCAACCAGGAAAAAATACATACCATATTTATTCTACATTAAGGCCAAGGGGCAAACACATAACCTCTGACTAAAATTTTTTAGTGTTTTTCCTACCTGGATTTTACAGCAGCCCATACCTGTATAGATTGGTAAAAGATAATGTTTTCTTTAAAATTTGGGAAATTTCTTAATTTTTCCTTCATTTTGGTAAAGTGACACAGTTTTGAATGAACAGAAAAAGTCTGGTTTTATCTCTAATTCTACTGATCAGCAATAAATATGGCCTGGGTTTATTGCCTGATAAATACGGTACACAAGGTAAAAAGTGTGGGACACCTTATCCCTGTTGCTGGGGTATAACAACATTATAACTGTGAGGAAGGCTTGGCAATGATCTACCGTTCAAAGACACATTCCCTGACACCGATATGAAGTGCATATCGATTACAAGAACCTGCCAAATCATTTTCTTTATCATTTAGAAACAAAGAGGAACTGAAAACATATTTCTTCGATATTTCATGTCAATATGAGTGTTTTTTTTTTTTTCTTAAATGCTTTCCCAGGTGTGGGAACATAAAACCATGTTTTGAAAGTGCATCGAATGGAATTCTTTTAATGAGGCAATCAACATACACAAATGTAATTACTGGTACCATTATTTCTTAACACTAGAAAAGCAATGACGTTAAGATTTCATTGAGAACCAGTTTAGTCATTGTGACACACAATTTAAATCCCTTACACATAACAGTTTTCCGACGGCTTCAAATGCATTTATCGACCAACCTACCACATTATTATATAGGTACGATTAAACAGGTATTTTTACTGTAAACTGTTTGTGTGTGTTGGACGATATTCCTTATATAAAAAGTTTCTGCTATCTGATCAATACATTATAATCATATCTACAGCAGATCAATATGTAGCTTCCACTTCAAATCACTTATGATGTACACAACAGCTCCTAAATAGAAACCACAATTATTTTTAATTGTACACAGGTTGTTCAAACAAAGCTTGCCCCATGTGACCTAAATGTCTGATCATGTACCTGTCAATGTGAGTTTTAAACAGTCTGATGTAGACAATACTGATCTCCAATGATGGGTGTATTTTATTCACAATACCAACAGGGTATCTAGTTACACTCAGTGAAAAAACATCCATCAAATATCATTTTAAAGAAATACCAATAACTTGTAAGCCTAGTATTCATCGCTGACAGGTAAAATATTCCCGGTGTCCGGAGATTACCTATTCACTGCTGATTTTCTACGGTCAGAACTAATCACATCTTTGCCATCATTGTGCATTGTACTATATGCAGTAATAAATCAAGGATTCAGAGGCTAATATATAGGACAGACACGTTCTAGTGATATTCAAAGGAAAATTGTGAATAATTTAAGAAAATTGGTTTGAGAGATTAATATCTATTCATTCTTCCACAAAGCTGAAATCACACCAACATCAAACTGGCAGAACATATATAGGTATACAGAATAGTAGGTTTCCTGAACAAGCCATCATGACAAGATGTTTAATGGGAAATACTGACGTTTAGCACCTTGTGTAAATACTTATGGTAATTTTAAGTCTACACAACTTTGATATCTCAAAATCATTATACCAACTATCAACAGAGTGCCAAAATTGTAATGCAAATATTCAAAAAGGACACAAAAATTCATGGAAATTTCACAGTAATCATTTCAATGGACCTACCAATACCAAACTGAAGAATCAACATAATTATGTACAGGTAAAGAGCTGAAATTCAAATCGCTGGGGAAAAATAGCAAGTATGAAGTTTTTAAATTATCTGTGAAAACTTTAAAATTCTTATAATGTAAATTCTAAAACTTTAACTGACATAAGAATGAAACTGGCTTCACACCAACTGCAATCAGATATCATCAACTGTATCACCCGAACGTTTTATTGTATACCAAGTTATATTTTGGAGTCAAAGGTCATAGGTATGAAGTTACTAACGTATTATGCCAAATAAACATCCAGGGAAGTTTTGGATGAACAAAATTGAAGTTGAATTTAGAAAATTCTTTTATAAAACAGCTGCGTTGCTATGAAGCAAGTCCTCAATAACTTAGAGACAGATACATAAATAAGATACCAGGAGCTTTCAACTTGAGTACTGGAGCACTAAAAGGGGGTTAAATACGGTATGGAGGCTTTGATGCTCCAAATTTATTCATTTACAGGTGAGAATAAACATAATAAGTTTAAACATGTAACACGACAGGTGGACCAACAAATTGTGATCTTGACCTACCTGGAGGGTCGAGAGATTGGCCAATAAGATCCTTTGTAGATAAATCTGTTCTTTGAGATATTCTGCTGAGTGGAATGTTCCATCAGGTTTGCGGACGGATACACTTACATTCAAAATCTGAGCACTCACATCAGTGTCATTCTGAATGTTGAGAACAAACACATGTTTTTCCTCTGTCAACATAATGGTTGCCAAGGCATCCACAAAGAACTTGTAAAGTGGAGAGAGGAAGGCTGTCTGTGTCATGTTGTTTAGTCGGATGGTGACACTGTTCTGCAACATCTCAGCTCGAACCAATCGCACATACAGCTGACATGTCGCCTTCACATCATTCTTCCCATCTGAAAAGATTAAGATTTCATTTATATCAATCACTAAGACAACTTTAAGCCTTTGATCAACCAATATCATATCTAACATTTATATCTTAGAAAAATATACGAAAGTTTAATCTTTTTTGACTTTATGTCAAAACCAAACCAAGACATCTTCAAATGTTTTGGTGATTACATAACGATTTGGGCAAAACGTAAACAAGTTAACGTACTTAATTGTTCTATAAACAACCTACAGACACTGTGATAAAAGTAATACTTTCAGAGTTAAATATGTTTATCCCTAAAATGTGTATGTTTACAGTACCCATGCATACGATGAAAACTCTAGCACCTATGTAGGTACCAATATCTTATAACAGAAATGGATCTCAAGCAGGGCTTGTCATGTGATAGCTTTATAAATCATTCTAACTGATGTTAATGTATTTGTATGTAAACTTAAATGGCTGCCGTTGATAAATCTATCACAGTTGGCTTACAATTCAAAACTATGATTGGTCAATTAGTTTGTAAACATTGATCAATCTGACAGGAATTGTACATGTTTCTATGATATGTTATTTGGGTAAGAAGTACACATGTATATTTTTAAACATGTAATAATGATTTTCGACTCGAATACTAGACCAGAACATCTGGGCCTGAATATTATATAGGATATATTGCGTGACATATAAATATTATATAAATGGTTAGAAAACAGAAAAAAGACAGCATAGATATATTTATTATTTATATTAATATATATTAATACACAAATGTGACAATACTGAAATATCAATATCAAAGAATAAGAGCTAGGGTTTATAAGTATTACAGCAGAAATAAAAAAAAAAATGCACCTAATGGCACCACTTAATTTGTATACCTGACGACGGAGTATTGACCCTGCGTGATACACTGGCTGGTTTATTTACCAAGCCATAGGTGATTACTTTTGTCTTTATTGCATCATTCCCACAGAGACTATATTGCCCTAGGAAGTATTCCTTTGAGACGAGATAAAAATAACCCTTGTCAGGTTTGACCTACTTATTACAGGTCAGTTATTAATTATGCAGATTGCTGTTGCTGGTTATATTCTTTATTTGGTTTCATTCTTTTTTTTTTTTTCAGAATTTTAATAATAATAATGATAATCATCTTTACATAGATTCACAACTGTAAGAAACATGTGTTTTTTTAAACAAATAAAAAAAAAAGGGAAACTTCCAAAAAAAATAGTGTTGTGATGGTAATGCAATTTTCTGTTTTTTCATTTCTGTTCTTGCAGATACACTTATCAGTATGAGTCAGCTACTGTGCTTAGGGAGCCGACAAAACTGCAGTAATAGTCTGGAAATCTATCTTAAAATCCACAAGACAGCCTGTGCAAAGAAACAATAGCATTGACAAATTCACGAAGATCTGGCAATGCCCCTTAACATTTAAATTCAAACCAGAAAATAGACCTTTGCCAGACAAAATGTATAGCACTTTTGAGAAGACATGCTTGTACAATTAGCTAGAGTGTGTTGGCTCCTCCTACATGTAAACCTCAAACCTAAACACAAAATTAAATTCTTCAGACACTACACAACCTTCAATGACCTCTATTTCGAAACTCATAATCTGTTATGTCTGGAAATGAAGTTTTTCATTTTTGAACTCATTAAATGATGTTATAACAGTGGTGAGTCCTTTAAAAATGTCAGTAATTATTTCCTTTGACACATAACCATCCTTAGCTTTTATTATATCACACAATAGGCACCAATGGAAGTGCTAATACGCAGTCCAATATTTTACATAGGACGGCAAAGACCACTTATACCTACATTTCATTTATCAAAATTTCAAGAAGTCTTTAACAAATTTTTAATAGTGATTTAGTACTCATATCCGGACTTTCACTTTCAATTAATGTTTGAAACATGTTGTAAAATTTTGACAGATTATAATCCTCCCTCTATTACAAAAACTTGTGACCTACTTTAACATGCTCAAGAGGGAGTGAAGAAAGGTTTTAACACAAGTCCCGATGCTAAGGCAAACAGTGATTATAAATCTGGTATTTTTGCCCACCATCAAATTGGGACCATTCCTTTTTAAATCCTTGCTATTCGAATAGCAATTCTTTATCATGAAGTTTTGACAAGGCACACATAGAAGACCACAGAACTCTACCTAACAAACTTTACATTCCATGCCCATACCGTCGATCTGCATTGTATATCACTGTTATACAGGTAAAAAGCAAACATCCAGGATGTGTTTGGTCTATAGACTTACTGGTTGTCTGAACATTCTATATATTACATCAAACATCTTTACTAATATTGAAATCACAAAAGCTTATCTGCTTTGCTAGTATTTTTAGATTTACCTTAGATATACACAAATGTGAGAAAAATCTAGTTAAATTAAATGTAGTTTAAATCTGGTAGTCAAACATGATCTTACTCAAGTGCATCCAAGGCATACCTTAATTAAAGCTATAGCAATTTTTTTCTGTATGTAATTTTGTGGTATATGGATTACACCTAGAGTGCACCAGGCAGCATATATTTTGCAAGTCTTTACAATACTAACATTTGTTTCATTAAAATTTGATCCTGGATTTTCAAAATCAAAAAAATAATGATGTTGCTTACTCACTAATCAGGTATAATTTCAAAAGTATTCACTAAACATTCATTTCCTCTTATCGCAAAAGAAATAACAAATATGAGAATTTCTCTGTTTTGATCTATTTAACACCTGTACATATTGTCTTCATTCTGAAGTATTTTCTTCTACAACGTAGGTGACATGACACCTTAACTTAACACTACCACAATGGGTGTTCCCTACAGACACCTGTAGTGTTATTTACCTAGAACAACTTGACTAATGGTGCTATGACTTATCCTCTGTCAATATTTGTACCTAATGGTCACCTTACCGTGCGTTCTGTATACTCTATTTACCAGTACCTGTTGTCCATGCCGACTTAATCTTGGATAATGTTTGTCAACTGTATCGTTAAATAACACCTCTGCTAATACCGTTCCTGTCTTAGTATTGGTATGTAACAGGGGTTAGTCTTACAAAAAGTCATGTTCCACTCAAGCTCTTAGCTTTAGTTTCTGAAACCAGACTTGTCAAGTATTTCACTTAATCCTGACTCAATGTTTGTGTGAGCTATTTGTATATGATTAAATATCACCTTAGTTCACCAATATTTGCTTAGAATTAACTGACACCATATTTACCAAGAACCTGAAATAGTATTGACTTTCCTTTTCCTGCTGGTTTTTAATTTGTGTTCTGTATATACAAATGATATGGTGATGCCATATATTACTGTAAATCTAAAAATAACAAAAATACTTGGGCATAAAACATGATGGTAGACAATGCTGCATCCACGCTACATCTTGTTTAAAAAAACAATTTGAGTGTCCAGGTCCAATAAATGTTAACAACTGAACACTATCTACATATTTCGAGGCTCGAATTGAACACATTTACGTTATCTACATATGTATTTTGAATCTAGATAAAATTTTACCGGTTACAAACTTTGAATTAAGAAGAGACAATAAAAGTTTTATGAAAAACTAGCTGTCATTACACAATATTTATCATCACTTTCTCTCTCAATACTTGTGGAGCAAACATATGCTTTTAATACAATTTACAATGGTTATTACTGAAATGTTATTTTTATTACTATATTTATCCCCAATAAGCCCATGCCTGCTAATAGGCCCACCTATATATATTTCTCTTAAGTAGAATTACATGACACAAACACCCCAATTCCAGAATTGGTATGTTGGCCGATTAGCCCTTTAATTGTGGAATGAATAAATAAAGCCAAGGTTCTGCCAGGGGTTTTATGATATATATATATATCAGCACTGCTATTTCTATATGCATTAACACATAGATTCTGCCATAAAAGAGCAAAACTATTCCCAGAAATATTTACCCTGCATGTAGCCATTACTTAAAGATTTTAACAAGGTGATGAGATAAGAAGGTAAACATATCACTATACAAACATATGGAGTTTACGGAGTTAAGATAAACCACAGGGTCTGACCCATTCACTCCCCATAAAAGTCAAGAGGGGTGTCCAACCTTGTCAACAAGCTAATAATGTTGTCACAGCAGAAAGGATGCAATCAGGTACCTCAATGTAACTATTGAATGTTCTTGTTCCTTCATACCACACTGTACTCATCGTATAAATGGCAAGATTGAAATTCTTCAGATTGATTAACTTAAACATCACAGAACAATTTTCTCCCTTATACACACTTCAGAAAAAGTTGGCGCTATGTTAGGAGCTCCGATATATAATTTGTTTAATCTCAGGGGTCAGACTTGGAAACAAAACGTTTCATCAGTGTCTATATAGCATGTTTTGTCAGACATTGTGTCTATGCCAAAACTGATCTCATGTCAAATCAATATTTAATGACTACCAGGATGCTTTCTGCTGGCAGAGATCATCATATCTGTCTGACATTGGCTTTCATTATATACATATAATGGAGATCTGAAAATGTTTACCACAAATTCCGCTCGATCTTTATCAAACACATATCTTTTCATAAACAGTTGTGCATTTGTTTTTCTGAAGGTTTGGAATGATCTGAAGTTAATTCCTTTATATTTGTGAGGTTCTGATATTTCACAAAACATGTTTTGTGTTCAAAATTACCATGAAATCAAAATCAACTAAAACGTATGCTCCAAAATATGACATGTTAGAAAAAGCTGAAAGGTGCTTGCTTAAATCCATACAGGCACTACATGCATGAGAGACACAAAAATGCAAATGAACTACCAACTTTCTAGGATACAAATCATGCACTATGTTTGTGAAGATTTAGAGAGACTGTACACTAGCACGTGTTGGACAACCAGATTTTAGTTATAGTATATACACACAACTTAATCCCCCAACTTTGATTTATTGGGGCATTGGGATATGTAGGGGGATATACAGGTGCAATCAGAAGATTAATCCA